AACACCTACCCAATTCCGTTGCGCGTCGCCCCTTCAAGCTATGTTTCCTCCCCACCCCACCGGGCACCACCGAAAGCAAAGACAAAAAAGGACAAGTCACACAAGAATGGCCGGCAAAACAGGGCAAAAGCAAGATCCCTAAAAAAAAATTAAGCCAACGGACTACGGACTATCAATTGTTTAAACCCCGCTTACGCCTTTTTTTTTGGTCCGTATAATCGTGGCGCAAAAAAGAGAGCATATACGACAAGAAGACTACTTTGCTGACACTGGTGACGTTTGCTTACTTTCGACCCAAGGGCATCTTACGCGCGTGCACAAGGCAAAAAGACAGGGTTTCTGCCTATAGAGCCCTTGTTCTTGGCAACATACTCAGCGGGGGTAGGGATTGCTGACGGAGAGATCGATTTAATCGCGGGGGGGGTGGTGATAATGCTGGTCCAAAAAAAGGTTACCGAGTGTGATTGTGGCATAAGCTTTTTCCCTCTTCTTGAAGGGAAATGAGGGGGGTGGGGGTAATTGACTTTTCAAGGCGGCACGTGGAGTAGGGGACCCCCCTTCATCTCTCTCTCTCTCTCGCTAAGCCCCAGAAGAAAGAATGGACGGCGAGGTGAGGAAAGGTAAAGCAGGGCAACAAAGGAAACGGCGCTGACTGTCCATGGGGCCTGGTTTCGTTTGCCTCCCAACCTCCTCCTCCTCCTCCTCGGTGTCCGTCTGACGTCCGGGGATACTTGCACATGGAACTTGGCGGAAGGCTGATAGGTTTGTATGTGTGTAGGTCTTACCCGTGATAATGTGATGTGTGATGCCCAACTAACCTACAAGTGACATCTGCCGTAAATCTCAAAGTCCATTATACGAACCTTCCAAGAAATTCAAAAAAAACGTGGCATTGCTAAGCCACCCTCCATCCGCCCATGTACATATATCTTGCTTAGCCACATGCGCACACGTGTACTTGGCGGTATGTATTTTGCCAAGACAGCATAAGTAGGCCTACTTTCCAAAGTAATAGTAGTGTACTTATGTATTTAGGGGGAAATTGAAAGAAAATTAATAAGAAAACCAAGTCGCCCATCGAACGCGCGTCTCGAATTTCGGTATTGCTAAGTAAAATAATGCTTCTAATTATGTGTACAAAAAAACTTATCGTTTGTGTCTAAAGCGCTCATAACTGGTATCTTCATGCGCAGCAGCAGTACCAAGACCATGATGACCCGGGGCGTTGTTGCTGTGTCTGTTCTCAGTGCCAACAAGAGGCTGGCGGCTGTGCACACCATGTAGCATTACGTCAGTGTGCAACGGCGTTACCGGCGACATGTCAGCATCATCACCAATATCCTCATATTCATAGCCCTCTTCTGCCGGCCGCGATGGCCGCTGGTAGCCCTTGGCGTACGACGTCCCCTGCTCGAAATCACCGCCATCACCAAGACGCGTGCGACTTGATGACGGCGATGCAGATGCAGAACCCCGATGCCGGCCATAAGGGCCCATTTCCGTAAAAGTGGTAAATGTGGAGGGGGTACCCGGTCGCGAGACGTCTTCGGGCCTTCCATACAGCTCGCCATCGCCACCAAATGCATCCCGGAACTCGGCGCGCTTCTTGAAGTTTTCAAAGTCGAGCTCGGATTCTGCCACGATTTCTACGTGGGGGATATCGGCATTGGCGGTCTGCTTGCCTGGCTCCTCCGAGTCCATCTCCGTCATGATAAAATCACCAAAGCGCTCATAGCCAGGTGTAGCGGGCATGGCGCGGTCGATCGAGCGACGTTGCGCCGTATCAAAGATGTCGTGGCCTGTGCTGGAGCGATTGCTATACACTTCTTTGAGCAAGTGCTGTGATTTAGCATGCACCATGGGTGTCAGCAGCTTCTTGTAGAGCGCCGGATGACCAAATCGAGTCAAGAGTCTGTTTGTCTTTCTTTGCTTGCGATCGTCAGTGGCATGTGCAGCCTCGGCATCCGAGAAGGGCCGCGTAGAGTAATACGATAGCTTTTCATCAAAGGATCGCTTGCAATACCACTTAAAGCCAAGCAGGAGAAATGGAAGAGGCACCATGGCGAAGAGCATGTTGCCCGTGCCCATTTGAAGAGAGTTAAGATTGATCGATCCTATCCCGTTGGCGCCAACCACCAAGGCGATCACGGCATTGGCAAGAGCTACGGCGAAGAGCGTGCGGTTGACAAGAAGACGCCAGAACCTGCCCCCAGACTCGGTCTTGGTGATGAAGACGTATTGAAGTAGGTACTTCTTGAATACGCAGTCCATGGCAAGGTAGAATGCCGTAACTGGAAATATGACCGGTTGGAGTGCCCCCATGCACAGTCCAACGGTAGTCACAAAGAGATAGTTGTTGTAGTAGTCAGCGTAGGGAAATGGCTGCGGTGCACTAAGCTCGATGAGTTCTCGTGGGGTTGGTGAGAAGCACTTGCGCTGGATCCAGCTCCAGAGTAACACCCATGCTTGCGAAAGATCGATCGCCGCACCGAGATTGCGTTGCATCTGCCAGGTGAGCCAAAAGGTGGACACATTACACAGCCCCGACATGATCTTCGTAAAGAGGTGGTTATCTCGTATAGCCTCCCATACGCCTTGGTCTTTGGCCGCGATGACTGCCGCCACAAAGCGCCAAGTTGACCCAAAGACTGAGAAAACGAGCAGGTTGTTGAAAACAAAAAACGAGTATAACCGGGCTGTTACATGGCGTTCTCTGGATGTTTTTGAAACATCGCCAGAGTGCGTGAACAGGCGACGAAAGACTACGGGGACTCCCATGTACATGAGAGTTTGTACCAGCGGTGCCAGAATACCTTGGGCGATGGCCCAACTTGTGGGGTGAGCAGAGAGATTTGCCTGGAAAGTAGGCCAAACCAGTCCAAGATGTGAAAAGTCGGACAAGAAAACAGATGTGAGCATGTTGGGTACAATAAAGGCGACGGTAAATAGTACGATCCACAGACCATCCCAGAATGCGCGTATTGTTCGCGTCCTTCGTGACATGGCAAGATTTTGCCAGAGTAAATCGTGTGGTTTTGGAGCAAGATAGACATCGCATCCTTCAGGCCCTTTCTTCCTCGCAGCAAAAGCGACTGCGTGAGCATCTTCGATGTGTTCGTAGGACGCGAATCCATAAGGCATGGGATTGCGCATGTCCACAGTTTCTCTCACTTCCTTGATTGTCGTCTCCAATCTTGTGATGCGCTCGGTAAGATAGTCGATTGCGTCCACTTCGTTCTTTCCATGAATCCCTTGGTCATCTTTCGCTGGTTTACAAGTCGGTCGTCTTGCGGGTAGTCTATTCGGGTTGGATAGGTATTTGGCCAGGTGTTTCTCAAGGTCGCGAACCGTCTTGTCATGGTCTTCGATCAATTTTGGTAAATCCTTTACGTTACGGCCAATGACTGCCCGGGGAACGCTATCAATCGGTTTTGCTTGTTCGATGAGCTTGATGAGCCCAGCGTCCGTCCGATATGATTGTGGAACATGTGTGAGCTTTTGTGAGTTAGCATAAGTATGATTATTGATTTATGCCATACATACTAAAAGTGTCCTAGCGTGCAAACTAGACTTGTACTCTTCGGTGTCGAAGTACGCACGCCGGAGCTTCAGAACAGCACTATAGTTCCTCCATAAAAAGAAGCACACAGTGCCCTGGATCATGTATGCGAAAGCAACATATGCCCAAAATTTTCTTCCGAAGATATATTGTGGTGTGAATTTCATCAATGTCGAAATCGAACTCCATTGCTTGTAGAAGGGCGATCCTCCAACGACGTTGACGGGGATCAGGATCAGACAGCCGACAACAGTCAATACGAAAAATATATTTCGAATCATGCGCATGAACCTCAGGAAGATGACAGCGTCGAGCCCGATTTTATCCACCAGATCTTGTTCCCGGACATTCCGGACGGCAGACAGCCAACTCAATGGCTTGTTGCCCAGCGGCAACGGCCGATGTTTCTCATCTGCATGTTTGGCTCGTGGAGCATATACTCTCGAGTTGCGCGGTCGGAGGAAGCAGAATGTGAGGACTAGTAGGCCTGATACTGCAAAGGAATATACAATGGCGGCGTAGATAGAGGTCTCTTGAACCTGTAGTGGTGTGAGTATGGTGCTGGCAACATCGTGTGTGTGCTGGCTAGATACTTACCTGAGACTGAAAAGGATCTGAGATCAGATCTATGAACCTATCAAGACTACTCTCTGCGTTTTGGCGTCTTTCCGCGACCATAGTTGGACCCTCTTCTTAAGCGAGTGTATGAAGTTGGGTACCCTGGAAGCAAGCTGCGGTGGGGGGATATATGTGCGGCATGTATGTAAAGTAGTAATATTTACAACGGTCGAGGCGAGGAAGAAAAGATAAGAGCCTTGTTGGCAAAAGGGTACTCTCCACTAAAGAGCCTCACATACGAGGAACGCGTCACTCGTGACAATCGTGCCGTGCTTGTTGGGTTAGATGCATCGTGCTAGAACTATCTTTCGGCCCATCGCACGTCATTGCCGCGGCCTAGTGTGGGGCTCCAGACACTGGACCATGAGTCGCCCCAGAAAAACCCTTTTTCTCTCCAGCCATTTTGCATCATTGTGGGTGGTGTAAAAGGAGTCTGGAACTTCTATGAAGCCCTAAAAATAAAACACATGGTCGAGTGCTACCGTCATGGGACCCAATCCTGTCTGACACCTTGGCAGCCGTCCCGAAGCAGCAACATTTGCACGTCGCAGCCTTGCCAATCACACTACAGCCGCCACAGCCCATGTGCACGCTTCAATATTACTATGCATTTATGTGTATCACGGAATAAAGTCATTTGATTCGACTCAAGACTTGTGCTGTCCTACTCTATGACTCCAGAAATGCAATTAATAAATCTCAAGATTCGGCAAGGAGAGCCAGGGCACATGCTTGTGGCAAATAAAAAAAAGCACACGCCCTACAATTTTGTGTAACCCCCCCTTTTAGGAATAACCATCGAAGTTTTCACAAATTCACCAACCTAATCATATCCTGGGTCACCACTTGGTGCTGGCGTTGCAACATCCCAACCACCCGGTGTCGGTGCGGTAGCAGCACCGTATCTGCCACCAGAGCTATCTCCTGGCGTCGGCGCAGAGTAGTTGCCCGGCGTAGGAGCGTCCATTGGTGGGCCGCCCGGTGTAGGCGCAGAGTATGCACCATATCCACCAGGCGTAGGAGCGGCATACGCACCTGGAGTAGGGGCGTTGTATGCCCCAGGCGTAGGAGCAGACAGACCTCCCGGCTTCGAGGCGGCGTTGCCAGGTGATCCACCCCATGCGGGTGTTCGCCCTCCTGAACTGAAACCACCATATGATGTACGGTTGCCGTCGTTGCCACCATACGCCGTTCCCCCACCATACGATGTCGCACCGCCATATGCAGTTGCGCCGCCGTATGCCGTTCGGGAGCCATCACCACCATAGGCAGTTCGGGAGCCATCACCTCCACCATAGGCTGTGCGTCCGCCATCTCCACCCCATCCAGGAGTTCGCCCACCAGCGCCCCCGCTACCTCCCCAGCCTGGTGTGCGACCACCAGTCCCCCCGCTGCCACTACCGCCCCAGCCAGGTGTACGACCACCGCCAGAGGTGCCCCATCCAGGAGTTCGCCCGCCAGATGCACCGCCGCCGCCGCCATAGCTTGACTGTCCACCGGAGTACCCGCCGCGCGAACGGTTGGGGAACTTGCCGCCAATATCCATGCTGGCACCAGTAATGGGATCCTTGACTGTGAGAAGTTCCTTCTTTACCGATACCTGCTTGTTCTTGGTATGCAATTCAATACGCGCTTCATCGTTCATGGTATCCTTGACAATTCCGAGAAGACCCTTGTAAGCGCCCTTGCGGATCGTCACAGTCTTGCCAATCAGCTTGTCACGGCCAAAGGAAGCTCGTGGTGGCGGCATGGCATTCGCGTTCCCGTTTGCGCCTGCATTGAGAGCAGGGTTGATACCGCTGAGATCAGGACCTTGCGCTTGAGCACGACCGCTCTTTGCCGCCATGGTGACGACGTTGTTGCTGCGGACCACAAAGATACCCTGGTTCTCGACAAGCTCACGGTTTCGGACAAAGAGTGTACCCCTGTGAATGTATAGAACCTTTCCTTGTCGCCCTTCTCCGCCATGCTCCTTGACGTCGTCCTCATGTCTGATTTCAGATCCGTCGCGGTCGGTCGCAACTGCATGTTTGTTTCGGCCAACAATCTGTGAGACTTGGGTGTGGAGGAGTGTGCGAACATCACCTTGTTGATCGACGATTCGCAGAACTTCGCGGTCGACGCGAACAACGCAACCAATGGTGGAGGCACTATCGCATGTTAGCTGGATATCCTGCCAATCTTAGGGCTCAACTTACTCAATCTGTACAAAGTCGTAAAGGTCAAAGTTAGAGTCGGCACCAACGTTTGCCGAGTCGGCAGCACGCTTCAGGTCCTTGCTAAAGACAGTGATTTCCTGCTGCGTCGAGTCGCAAAGCAGCGTAATCTTGTCGTCCTTGATTCTTGTGACGAGACCGACCTCATCGACATATTTACTTCCACCAATGACCTTGACGTGGTCACCATCGCGGAACAGTTTGCGCAGTGTCTTGACAGGAGCGTCAATCCTTCTGCCCCTCAGGTCGCCCTCGCTCACTCGCAGCGTGACAATGTCACCTGTTACAGTAACAGTCGTACCGCGAATGCCCTTTTGTTCACCAGTGTAGATCTCGACGTTGTCGCCGGCAGCAAAAGCAGATCCGGAGTCGGCAGCCTTTTGCGCAGCCTGAACAGCCAGGAGATCCATGGTTTCTGTGCCATCAGCGTTCTGAACCGAGAAGAACTGCAGTTCTTCCATCTTGGGGTTGACTTTCTCGGTGCTGACCCAGTTGACTTTGACTTCCTTGATGAGGAAACCATTCTGGTAGTCTTCGCCTTTGTATGTGTATGCCCTTTGGTTGCCCGATCCAGTCATGCTGAGATGCTTCATGTGTCGCTTCTTCGCCTCGGCTTCGTTGAACAGTTTCGCAGGAGGGCGCTCGGTTTGTCGTCCGAAGAAGCCTCGCTTGCGCTTGTTGTCTGCAGCAGCATTTGCGTCGTCATTGAGGCCATAATCGAGACGTGGGACGAGTTGTACGACACAGTCAAGGCCGTTGGTTGAGACTTCGACGACCTTTGCAAGATCGCCCTTGTATGTGGGTGGCCGTAGCATGCGCACGAACTTCCCGACTTCCAATGGCGCACGCTTCTTCTTTCGGAGAAGATCCGGACGCTCCTTCGGGGGGATTGAGAACTGGCCAGAGCCCATGAAGACATTCTGAATACCCTCAATAAGCTCTACCACAGCCTGCTTCGAGTCGGCTTCAACGTAAAGGAATCCAGACTGGGGACCTGTAGGACCCCGTTCAAAGGCCGAGTAGACCTGCACAGGCTGGCCAGTGCGAATCTTGTCGTCAAGGCGCTTTTGGATCGCCATGATGATCTCACGTTCTTTTCCAGGACGGCACTTGCAACCCCAAATGGACGGATCGTCAACCGTAGGCAGCGCCAAAGGTACAGCGCCTGCACCACCACGACGGGCACTCTGCATTTCCCTTCGCCTGTACTTTTCGTCGAACTCCTTTGCGATTTCTTCAACGTCCCTTTGAGCGTTGACCTCACGGCGCATGTCGAGCTCGCGGTGGTGGCGGTCGTCGAGGTCGGCGCCTGTGGGCTCGAGGAGGTCATCGGGATGCACTTCATCGACACCTTCGTCGTCGCCCTCTTCCTCTTCCTCTTCGTCCTCGTCGACTTCGGCTTCGACATCAATGAACATGTTGCGCTTCGCCTTCTTTCTCCGTTTAGCAGGTCGGGCCTGGGAAAGATTAGCTGTTAGAACTTCGGGGGCATTGCTCCATAAGACGTACGACAACATCTTCGTCGTCCTCGTCTTCTTCGTCATCCTCGTCATCCTCGTCGTCGTCGTCATCATCGTCGACGTCTATGCCACCACCCTCTTCATCTTCGTCGTCGTTGCCTGTCATATTGATCCCATCGCCCTCATCATCGTCATCTTCGGCGGCTGCTCTGCGCGAGGCGTTACCGCGCGGAGCGACGTCATCCTCATCAATTTCTGGCGCGGGGTTGAAGTCCTCCTCCTCGTCCTCTGGGTCGCTTCCGTAGGACGCCATGGCGGTGAGAAAATGTGAAGTGATGGATGAGCGTCTGTACGGGGGTTGTCGCAAAGCTCAGCAATGCAGCCGCGGTGATTAGGCAGACGTAGAGACGGTACCGCTGGCTGGTTAAGCTGTGGTTTCAGCGCACTATGGGTGAAGTAGAGGAGAAGAGAAGGAAAAAAGAGAGAAGACGGCGAGCGTCGATGGCAATGGGCTTTGTTTGAGACTTGGAAACTCGGAGGAGGTGCGCCCAGAGAAACCGCGCTATGCTGGCGCGCCGTAAGGGGCCGTGCGCACAGCCTCCAGCTCTATCCCCAACGCGTTTGCTTGGCGCTTTCGATACGCCCCAAGGGAGGGCAAAAGTGTGACCGCTATCCGCTCACTATGCCAGTCGAGTACGACTCTTGAAACACCCCACTGGAATGGTATAAGAGATGATCACAATCTCGCCTTGTCCTCGTGCTCACATACTCTCACCACTGCTCTCCCCCAAGCCTTGTGCGCCCTCACATCCTCCAGCGCCCTACCAACTGCTTCCAGCCCATGATAGTTCTCTTTGTAAACTACCGGTTTTATACTTCCTGCATCAACTAAGCGCATAAAGCCATCCCATACACCCTTTGTTCTCTGTGGATCCCTTCGCCCGTCTTCGCCAAATCGCTATACGTTGTGAGCATATGTAACAAACCAAGGGATATACGAATAGGTGAATGACTTACATAGCCATACACTGCTATTGACTTGAGAAGGATGCGGTTTGCACGGATGTTTTCAATGTTTCCGTTCCTTGCTGCAAACCCCACAATCACCAGACGGCCACGGTACTTCAAACACTTGATTCCGCTCTCCACAGCGCCAATGCCATCGTACACTACATCTACGCCCTCTCCGTCTTTTGTTAGTTGCTTGACACGGTCTTCCCACTTTTCATCGTGGTAGTCAACAACATCATCCGCACCAATACTTCTGGCCATGGCAGCTTTCTCTTCGTCACCAACCACAGCAATAACCTTTGCGCCAATAGCTTTTGCAATCTGTACCGCCATGACCCCGAGACCCCCACTCGCACCCAACACGAGTACAGTCTCTCCAGCTTTGATTCTGCAAACGTCGAGCAATGCACCGTAGCTCACTGCTCCGCTACCACCCACCGCACATGCCTCGGCATTCGTCCATTGCTCCGGTACATGGCGTATCGCTCCTTCAGAGGCCCAGATTTCTTCAGCATAGGCACCTAGCCCGCCCCCAAATACGCGGTCACCAGGCTTGAAAGATGATTTTGGAGGACTGGATATGACAATACCGGAGAACTCGGTGCCTAGCACAAATGGGGGCTTGACATGACGTCGGTTATTCTGATGTAGACCTTGGGCATAAAGAAGATCGACGTGCGTTACAGCTGAATGCGTGATCTTTACATGGATGTTCTCTGAGTGTTTACGTTCCGGACTGGGAATGGAGCAAGGCCTGAGGTCTGCAATGTTCTGCACACCATATGTTAGTCTGAGAGCATGTCGTATTTCCATCGGGAACTAACTGTGACGAACTTTCCAACATGAATGGCCTTCATCGTAGTTGAAACCCGGAGGCTAAAGAAGCTCCACTTGAGCCTATGTTAGCTGATAATTCTTTAGTAGGGAGGAATACACTATGCGCATAATGTGGTTGCCAGATATATCACGGGAGATCAACGCGAGTGGGGTACGTACACGAAGTTGCCGAGGTTTGTTTACTCGCAGCAACAGCTTGGTGAGCATACAATCAACCTATTACTAATATACACATTTTAGCGAGGCAAATGGATGCTCAAGATGGTGAATTCATTGAATTGTTCCTCGACCCATCATGTTGGGAAATTCTCCAAAACAACTACAGAAGCTACAAAATACAACAGCAGACCGGTCTTACCACTTATACGCCACACCAGCCATTGCGCATTGTTCAGTGTAAGAACACGTATGTATGGATGCAGGTACTCAGCCTCAATACTACACAAGGAGTTGAGTTGTAACCCGCGGAGGCGAATGTTTGCGCTCACCTCCATGTCTTCCATTCACCATCCGGAAAAGGCAACGTCAACCAATGATATCATTATCTGTTCAGTGGCGAGGAATATTTGATTAGTATTCGAGTTTTAGTTATTCCTGCCCAACGTTCTAGAACTACGATCTTTTTCATCAAGGGGCTGACCGTTCCCACGGCATCTCCTATTCCCGTGTCGATCAACAGTCCGCGTGGACGGAGGTATCTTCAACATGATTAAAAAGCCACCAGCGTTACTGGTCAACATCCATTTACTTTCAACGAACCATCAGGCATTCCGCCAAGGCCGGCAGGTAATTTTATAGATGTAAAAAAAACCTTCGTTACGAACGTTCACTGATCGGTATCTGCCGGATATCTAGGGGTGATGACGTCTAGCGGGAGGATATTTGCTTTGGACGGCAAGCTAGACACATTCTGCCAGGGCATTCCGGATTTTGGGCTCCGGTAACTGATCGGCATTCGACTGACGAATAGGAAGGCTATGCTCAACAGAAGCAGATAACAATTGGTCCTCATATTGTAATCGTTGCTGCTATTTTGATGCTGTACCCAACCCCGGCCACTACCACAAACCACACATCCCAGTGCGATCAACGACAATTCCAAATTAAAAGACTAATACAGTACCAAATAAGCACCACATGTAAACCTAATGGTGTATGGTTGAAATTCGCTCAGCGTAGGCGTATGGGCAACCACCCTGTTTCTTTCGCAGTTAGGATGTTCGGCATTGATGCAAGTTACAGGAGAACAGTGTACCTGCATATGATAACTGTCTCCACAAGAAGGATCCATCTCAAATGAGATGGAGTTAGCACTCTACTGGTAGCGGCTTAGTTTTACGGTCCCGATCAAGCCGATGGTGCCACGGACCTCCTATGTCGGATCCAGGAATGCCAGCCTTGCGATCGAGTTTTCATTCTACTTTGCGATATCATCCAAAATGATAGCATTTTACGATCATGTGGAAGGCTTCTCGGGGTAACCTAGCAAGAACATACAGCTCATCATCGGTCGCACGACATGAACCCAGATCGACAACCCTCCCGGGACTAGAGTACTGCGTAGTAAATGAGCATTGGGATGGGCAAATGTACCGCGCAATGATCTTGTCGATCAACGGCGGTATAGTGCAGCTAGTTGAAACCCACCGTTTCCAGTATGAAAGATGTAGTCATACCCGCGCATTAAAAGGAGGACTAAAAAGCAGTATTTGAAAAGCCTCGAGGCTAAGGACTACTTGTACCTCGTGTATTCCCAGGGGTTTCGGAGCATCTACTCGACAGTCAACAAACAGTAATCTCTCATCGTCGCAGAGATGATTTCTATCAAGACGCTGCTACCTCTCGCCCTCGTTGGCCTTGTGACAGCCCGGAACTGCACCAATATCATCATTGAGACTCCCATAGTCTCCCGGCAAGGCAAGTTTCGAGAGGTTCCGCTTGAGAGCAACGTGGAAGTGGGCGAATTTGCAACTCGGCTCGCCAAGTTTCAAAGCAACTACAGTGCGGAGTTGCTTGAGGGATACCAAACTTTGGAAAAGACCTTCAACATCTCCGCTCAGTACTGCGAGCCCGATGGCGGAAGCAGTGATACCATTCAGTTGTTGACTCACGGTATTGGGTTCGACAAGACATACTGGGACTTGGAGTACGACAACTACAACTACAGCTATGTCAACGCTGCTCTAGACGCAGGATACAGCACACTCGCCATTGATCGTCTCGGCATCGGAAATTCGTCCCACGGAGACCCTTTCAACGAGTAAGCAACATCCAGCAGCAGTGCACTTACAACACAACAAACTAACCCGCGTCCGCCCCCCAGAATCCAAGCCCAGGCCGAACTCGAAGCCCTCAACTCCATCACCCTCCAACTCCGCAACGGCACAATCTGCGCCATCGGCCGCCCCTTCAAAAAAGTCATCCACGTCGGCCACTCCTTCGGCTCCATCCTCTCCTACTGGCTCTCGTCCAAATACCCCTCAAACACCGACGGCCTCATCCTCACCGGCTTCTCCATCTCCTCCCAATTCCTCCCTTACATCATCGCCGGCTGGAACCTACACAGCGCACGCCTCAACCAACCCTTCCGCTTCGGCAACGCTTCCAGCAGCGGCACTCGGAAACTCGCAACGCAGTACCCCCTCCTTTCCAACCTTGCCTCCGGTCTCCAACACGTCCTCAAATTCGCCCGTGTAAATCTCCCAGACAACGACGTGCGCAACATGCTCTCGACAACCGAACTGTCCAATCTGATAACCGGGTACGATGGCGTCCACTCGTTGAACTACCCGTCAGGCTACATGACGCACGCGAGCCTCACAGCCCTCCAATACGCCTTCCTGCACCCATCAAACTACGACTTCAACCTCGCGCTTCGCAGCGAAGCAACAAAGCAAGCCGTTACCGCCGGCGAGCTACTCACCATCGGCAGCGCACCCGCCTCATCCTCCTTCACCGGCCCGGTCCTCGTTATCACGGGCGAAACAGACGTCCCCTTTTGCGGCGGAAATTGCTACGGCAAGATTCCTGGGTTCCACCAGTTTGAGAATGTGGTTCAGCAGGTTGATTTGGTGTTTCCGCGCAAGGAAGGGGGGGTTGCCGTGTGTGTGCAGCCGCGGACGGGGCATGGGCTTAATTTTCATTATAATGCTACGGGGGGGTATGGGGTTATGCAGGATTTTCTCGCGAGTAATGGGTTGGCTGCGTGAAAGGAAGTCACCTTTGCGGTGTTTTTTTTTCTTTTTTTTCTTTTCGGTAGTAGGCTCGATTTTTGATTTGGGATTGGGGTTGGGGTTTATTAACTTTCGATGAGAGTGCGGGTTGAGCACACTCGATTGTATATTATTCAAGTCTTCAAAAAATGAACTTACATTTCTGTTTCTTCATTCGAAAGTTCTGGGTTGTGTTGGGGAAAAAAAAGGTTATCTTGCGGTGAGGTTTGGCTGGGTAGTACTAGTTGCTTACTCATTACCCTATCACGACTCATTGTCCCGCAAATTCAATGCACCTTCCGCTTTTTTGCTTTTGATAATTTGCTTGGCTAAGTCCCATCTGTGTAGGACTGGAAGCCTGAAATGGCGCCGGAAGGAGGGGATGCGGAGTTGGGGTACAAGGTGCTCCTGGCTTACTGGTTGCAGTAGTTGTCGTAAGTAGTTGACAACCCGTATCTTACTCACTGAACAGAGTACTGACATCTCAGTATACATTCAGACAAAGTAGCAGTCGTAAATACCATGTAGCCTCGTAAAATCCCATCTCATCTTACAACCGCAAAGTTTACCTCTGCAGCATCCTAACCACCCTTGCCTAAATCCTTCCCTAACCCATTCTCAAATCTCCCACCCCGCGCGCGCGCCAACACTCACCCCTACTATCAATATCCCAATCCAGCACAAGCGCATAAATGACATTTTTTCCCCACCCATAGCAACTACTACTACTCATCCCTAATCTCCATCATAATTCCGAAATCCATCCACCCCAAATTTCCAATCCCTGACAAAAGAGAGACAAATCCCTCTACGCCCCATACTTGAACATTTGCATGGTCGAACCGTGCATACGTACATACATACACGCCCGCAACCCAATCAACGTCGGGTGGGGTTGCAAGTGCAAGTGACAAAACGCTGATGAATAACCACGTCGCTGCTTACAATGCTGCAGAAAAAAAGCGGGGGGGGGGGGGGGGTAAGTTAGACTCGCGTACTACCAGCCTACTAGTAAGCGAAGCTCGCAAAAGCTCCCCCCGGCATGTGGGGACTGAGAGAAACGTAGAAGCTTTGCAGATGGCATTGAGTTTGTTAGTATTACATTGCACCGGTGCTTGATTACCAAAGAGTTACTCAGATCCGTGCACCACGTGGCGAGTATCCGCCTCCCATTGTCGTGGTTGTCGGGGATATCGGCGCCGGCAAGTGAGGACGGACAGAGTGGGGTGCATTCTTTTTGGTCGTGCCTTGTTAGATGTGACTATGCTAGGTATAGATCCAGAAGGATGGAGCCAATGGGATGAAGGGACTACCGTGGCCAAGGTGGTTTGTCATGGCTTGGATATGCGATGTTGTATGCAAGAGAAGAGTGAATGTGCTATGGCTTGGCAAATGCCGGGTTGTTTGGCCATTGTATGGTTGCGATTTGCGAGCGGGTCAGTTGGAAGGAAGATGCGCGTGCAGTGGGCGGGGGCGATTAGGGGCGGGGGGAGGATGCAAGATGGGAAAGAGTGGTAGATGGGAGATACAGGGGGGATTGGGAAAAAAGTATAAAGATGGGGGTTGAGGTGCTGGAAAGTAATCACCATCCACAGCTTCGAGATTGAGGATAGCCTAAAGAGCAATACTTGTCTACCGTTCAATTACTTTTCAAGATGAAGTTCTTCACCAACTTGGCTCTTGCGGCTTTGACGCTCGCCCAGACTGTTGTCAGCGATGGTATGGAGACTCGAGAGTAACAACGGAGATCCGTTCAAGTCACTGACCAAGATCCAGCTGTTCCTTGGGAGCGTATCGACAAGAACAACTCTGTACGTCCCTCCTTGCCTCATAATCTTGGGATATCCTCACTGACTTCTGGTAGCTCCTCCTCATTCTCGACCTGCAGGTCGGTCTGTATGGCGTCGCCCGTGACTGGGACGCCACTCTGTACAAGCAGAACATCCTCGCCCACGCTGAGATCGGCAAGCTCTTCAACCTGCCCGTCATCATGAGCACGTCCGCGGATACGGGTCCCAACGGCCCCCTTCCCAAGGAGATGCTCGAGATGTATCCCAATGCACCTCTTATCCGCCGCCAGGGTGAGGTCAAGTAAGTTTTACCTGGAGAGTTGAAAAAAAAAAGAAGCAAGGTCGTCTAACAATACCATCCAGCGCCTGGGACAACCCGGAATTCCAAGCCGCTATCAAGGCCACGGGCAAGAAGCAAATCATCGTTGCTGGTATCACCACCGACGTGTGCACTGCATTCCTCGCTCTCTCCCTGCGCGCTGAGGGCTACTCCGTCTTTGCCAACATCGAGGCCTCGGGCACCTACTCTGAGCTTGTGCGCGACACTGCCAACTCGCGCATGGAGAAGGCGGGCGTGCAGCTCGTGTCCATGTTTGCCATTGTCTGCGACCTTATGCGTGATTGGCGTGCTACTCCTGGTGCCAAGGAGGTTCTGCCTTTCTTGGACAAGTACCTCCCTGTCTACGGTATGCTGGCTAGGCACCACGCTGCGGCTGTTGAGAACGGCACTATTCAGCCTGGTGAGCTCGACACGATTACTGGATCCAACGGCACCATTCTTCTCTAAGCGGATCGCATGAGGAAAGATGGGGATGCGAGTGTATGGTGATAGGGAGTATTTGGAGGGGTTGGGATGAGGGGTCCAGAGATAGGGAGAGATAGGAGAAGATAGGGGAGACGAGTAGACGGTAATGGAAGATTAAAAAACAAGGGATGTTGCATTCAAGTATATAGATAAAAATTTGACTGTTGTTTCTTACCTGGCCGACTTTGTATGCTCAAGTCTCTGAATTATTCTTACCCAGAAGCACTGGCTGATGCTAGTTGCAGCTACCAGAGTACCTGTGTACTTGACTCCAATATGATGGTACTGCATTATCCCGCCACCGTCTTCCCGTCTCTTCTTCTACAAGGTTGTACTGTGAAAAGACACTTTGAGTTTAAGTGCGTCGTCTCCGAGGAAAATGCGCAAACTCAAGATTACTTCTAGGCAAGAAACCGAGCGTGCCACTAACTTCGGATAAATGAAGGCAGCCGCCTTTGGAAACTTTGTCGCTGATGTGGGACGCAGAAATTATCGATTTCCAAATGAAAGGCAGAATTAAGGCTTGCTGCATCGCCAAGACGATAGATTGGACAGGGAGGAGGGCTCCGCAGCAGGATAAACAGAGCGGATTGATAGTACCTTGGCGGAGGGAGCGACTTGGCAGACTTGCTGGCGACGACTCGCTGCGTACCTTTGTTCGGTGAATATTATACTTTTGCGACCCACGCGCTGAACCAAACATCAAGACGTCTGTTTCGAGAACAAGCGCGCCAAGCTCTGGGCACAAGTGAAGGCTGACAATGTCAGTGGACACTGCAAGCAGGATTCTTGACTATTGACGAGATTTTCGGGACAAAATGGTGCCACTTTGTAACGAATGCATACAGAGCTGAAACCGTACATGGTTCACAGGCCGTGCTACACATATCAAGCTTTGCATGGCAATCTTAGCATAGCAGATCTTGTTTCGGTATGCAAAAGGGCGGATTGTCATAGGCTGCAGCGTTTCGGCATCCGGGCAAGAAGGACGAGAATGACAAAAAAAAAGTAAGGCACGAACACGGGTTTGCAGGAGGTTTGATGGGCAATGACTCGGGGCCGGTTTGGTACTCCGTTCTTTTTGCCCCATGATGCGATGGTGAGGATATATGCGCACAGCGAGGCGAGGGCTGGAGACATATGCCCTGCGTGATTATCATTTTTTTCTGTTGGCATGCGCAAAAAGGGCAGGTGACGGATTTTTTTTCTTGTGTACAGTTGTGAGAAGACTAGAAGAGCGCCACGGAGGTCCAGAGCGTCTGGGTAGCACAGCACGTGTGTGCGGGCGAAGTATTAATAGGCCTGGCTGAGTCGGTGGGCGAGGTCTGTATACGGTAAGCACGGGCCGGAGCCGAGTCGAGGGCGCACCTGGCCTAGTCTGTGGGTGATGAAGGAAGGGCAGAGATGGTTTGCAAAAAGGCAGAAAAGCAATGACGGGCATATGCTAGGTCGGAAAAGGGTATCGCCTGCGTGTCTGTGTGGGCGAGATACGTTTCGCCATCCGTGCAGGGAAGCGAGAAAATCCCCCTGGAACACACGGTGCCAAACCGCGACGGAGGGGCCCGCCGCCTGTCCGCACGCGCATGGAGAAGTGTGTTGGGGCCGACGAGGAAGGGCGAGCGAGATGATAGGAGGTGGACGAGAGAGGGCGAGAGAGGACGAGAGATGGAGAGAGCTGGAGAGGGCTGACACGGTTGGCATGGCGCGCGAGGGCAGAGCAAGTAGGGAGCCGGGTACAGCCTAGCGCGGCGGTGGTGTCGGCAGCCCAGGCCTGCAATGCACATCCCCATCGTCCAGGCCGGGTCGTAAAAAACCGCACCAAGCATCCCATACGAGACCTAGCCCTGCTGGTCGGTGGCTCCGATGCTCTGGCGCTGACTGTCTGCCTCTCGAAACGGCATCGTCTTGTGGTGTGGGCGTAGCTGATACACATCGCGGCTGGCACGCCATATCACTCCGCCGTCCCATGGCGCTATGGGGTGATAGTCACTGACGTGTGGAGAATAAGAGTGAAAGGCACGAATTCCATATATCCCCCGCTGACTGGCCCACCTGTCGCATGTCTTTCTGTCTTGCTCTCTCTCTCTCTCTCTTCGCCTTGCTCGTCTCTGCCTCGACACTTTGTCATCACACTACCTCCCATTCGCCCTCTTCCTCTCATCTTCCCCGCATACCGCTAGGTGCTTATACGCCCGTTGGCAATTTCACTTGCCAAGCCCGCCAACTCCTTTTTCTTTTTGCTCTCTCTCTTGGAGCTGCGTATATCCAGCCTTATCTAAGGCGATCCTCGTCCAGGCGGGGCTTCCGTCTAGATCCGCCCCGACGCATCCCCTCCTCCGCAGTCTAGGCCTGCCAGCGCGTCGTACTCGCATAGACGTTATCGTACAAGTACACAGCGTATGTCTCGACGTTCAACTAGCCGATTTTTTTAATTTCTCCATCCATATGTAACTAACATTTGCCCCCCCAGTAAACCAAACATCTGCGCCTCAGTGAAACATCTGCACCTGTCTGCACTGCTCCTTCCGAGTTCCCTAGTAGGAACTCACCACAACCGCCATCATGCTCTCCAACACCCTCCTCACAACCCTCCTCCTCTTCTCAGCGCAAACAACAACCACTCTCGCTCTTCCAACAAAAACACACTGCCAATGTAAAATCGTGCCAAGCACCCCATCGTCAACCTCAACCACATCCTCACCATACGCCATCGACTCGCCCTCAGCCGCCCACTGGGCCCCCGCCTCGCCCTCAGAAGACGAGTCCGCCTCGCCTTCCCCCAGTCCCTTGGCCAGCAGCACAATCTGCACAACCCTCGCCTCACAACTCTCGCGATTCCAACACACCAACCCAGACCTCTACGCCTTGTACCTCCAACGCGCCCCCACACGCTCCATCGATGATTCAGTCGCCCAAAACCCAATCCCCACTTCAGTCCTCCTAAGCGCAACCTCCTCCTCGTCTTCTTCTTCCCCCTCCGATGCCTCCTCCGCAAGCGCCAATGGATTCAAAATCGTATGCTACGAAGATGAACCCACACCAAACGCCCCAGCTCCCCTACGCGACATGCAATCCTCACCCCTAACCCTCCTCGTCCTCCAACTCGTCGTCGTCCTCTCCATCGTCGCTTGCATCGCCGAAGGCCTGCACATGCTCAAGAACCTGTACGTTCCCCCCCCCCTTCTTCTTCTTCCTCCTCCCCCCAAAAAAAATCCAACAACAATTGTGTTTTTTTCTAACATGCGAAATAAAAAAATAGTATCTCTCCACCCCCCACACCCGAACACAGCCTTCGTCTCGCTGGCGCTGAAAAACGCCTTCTTGCTATCCCATCTGCCCCTTACGACTACTCTGCAGACGCAATGGCGAGCCCGGGCGCTGAGAAAAAAATCCGTGCCTACAACGAGGCGCCACGCTATTTTGTTGCCCAAGGGAGGAATGGACGCAGAGAGTTTATTGCCTATGACGATGATAGTGATGATGAGATCAATCGCCCTGTCTTGTAACTGGCGATTCTTCTTTTTTTTTCGTTTTTTTTTTGTATGCAAAAATCAAAGCCATGATTTGGCCCGAGTTTGTTTTTTTCTAGACTAATGAAGTTATGACCATTTTTACTTTTTTGCCTGTGAAAATCGCGGGGGGGGGACGGAGGTAGCGAAAAGACGGTTTTGATGAACAAGTACATGTGATATTTTTTTTATATTTTGTTTCGTAAATTTTCAATTGTACATTGCATAATCTGTATATGTAACTTTCCGTAACTTACCTCTAACAGAGCCGAGAAACAAATGACAAAGTGTGAGACGACCGCCCCCGCCCCCCCCTTCTCTCTCGTACCACGCAATGTAGAAAAGTATTAAAGAATATACTTTTCCAACTTACCTTGCACTCCATCCTCCCTTGTCAAATGTCTAACGCGCGCGCAAAAAAACAACAACAACAACAGCGGTACCGGAAATAACAAGTAGACTGGAAAAGTATACAAACCCTAACCCTAAACCCCCCACCACACAAAACTAGCAAATCATTACGCCAGTCTTCTCAAACCTCTCATCCGCACCAATACCATCGCCTCTGGGTCCACTCAAATCTAAAAAAAAAGGAAGAGGAAGAAAGTCGCGCATCCAGGGAACGGGATGGGGAAGGGGAAAAAACCAGCAAGAAGGGGAAAAAATCTGGTAAACATGTTCCGTAGATGAAAAGAAAATGTCGCTTAGCGGCATTGTTGCTTTGGGGATTTTCTTTTCCAGTCTAAAATCTCTTTTCTTATGTCTCTGGCGGAACGGGAGGGGGTTGGTTGGCGCGCTGGAAGTTCAAGAAGAGAGAGTGTGCCATTGGAGTATGTCAAAAAAAAAAGGTCCAGGTAGTAGGTATGGGTGTTGGCGCAGTGGTAGTAGTGGTAATAGTAGTAGGCAGGTCCAGAGGAGGGTAGGTGGGGGAAGTCCTAGAAAGGCTGTGTGTAAAGTATGATTTCCTAGTAATAAGGTCATTTGCTTTCTCGCAGTTGGGGGGAGAGCTCTGCATGTTTGCAGTGCGCAAATTGGGAGAGAAAAAAAAAGCTAGGGGTTAAAGGGGGTCTTGGTTGAGGCAGGTAAGGAGGGAGTATACTTTGGATATGGTTTGTCGCGATCGGATAGTATGGTCGCAGTTTGGAAAAAAGGTTTGTTGCTTTCTCTTTGGTTTCTTTGGATGGGAAGGCGCAATGGTCCTGGTATGGGATGGATGGTTGGGGTTGGGAGGAGCTTTCGCCAGCATTAGGTATTATTTTCGCAGTAGGCAATGTTTCGGTCTTGGGGATTGGTTTCTATGTCGCAAGTGGTTTTTTTGGTCGCGCGGGGCGTGTTGGAGGATGTGGGGGGTATCGTAAGGAAGTTGTGAAGAAGAATGGCTTTTTGTTGAAGCAGTGGGCGTCCACATTTGAGTCTTCACATCACCGGGATGCTGAACCGACAGGAGGGTATAGGTGGAAGCCGTACATTAAGAACAAGTACTTTCGTATCGAAAACTGTTGTCGTAAGAGGTGGTGGATCAGATAGATCTTTCGTAGGAAGGACAGGTGGCGTGTAGGAGATCTAAAGCAGGAGCAGACTGTCGAGCGCCGTCGATGATGTAAACGCCGGATCCGGATAAACGCCAAGCCGTATTGTAAAATGTGTCGTACAATGAACCGAGTGCTGATGAAGTAAAGATTTTGGCAAGGACTGGCATGGCCAGAAAGGAAGAAGATGGCTGATGACCGTGACCCGCATCACATGATGGTATGATAACCCTTCTCATTCATGACGTCAATCCAAAAGGCATCGTGACCTTCATCACACTGACGCCATGTCTCCTTGAGAAGCTGAATCATTGTGCGAAGGGGTTTGTTAGGCAGCCTCAACGCAAACTCTTGCAGACGCCGAATGACAAACTCTCGTGCAGAGACAATCTCACTATCGTTGGCATGGACATCGAAAAAGTCAACCGACGAGACGAATCGAAGCTCAGATGCAGCAACGACAAGTATCAGCGGCTGAATGCAAAAGGTTCCAGATGAAGAGGGTATCGACTCTAAAGATCTGATAATGTGCATGGCAAGCGAGTTGAGCCAGAGCTTCATGTCGGTATCCTCAAACTGAGTCTCAAAGCGCGGTGTGGGAAACTGAAAGTCGACAGCCTCAGTGCCCTTGAACTTATCAGACCCCAGACGCTTGCGCAGGATAGATGGGAAAACACGGTAAATCTCTAGCAGACCAGCGAGACGGTAGGCTTCAGCAATGGTGACAAAGTGTTCCTTGGGGGTACGTTCGTCGCCATAGTCAATCACTTCGTCAACAGATGGGCAGTCGACAGCAAGGAGATCCTCTTCCAACGAGGCAGCGTTTTGCAGGTTCTCTTGTCGTCGGCGAAGATCCATGGAAGACTCACGGTCCATTGAGCGTTCCTTACGGACTAGACGACCAACCTCTGCAAACAAAAAGTGAATCATGGGCGCGATGCCTGTCCAGGGGTGTGGGACAACCTTGCCGTTGGGGCCTCGTGCAACTGGAGCATTCTTCCTCGAGGTGACGCTAGGTCGCAGTCCGGATTTGGGAGAGAAGCTCATGGCATCTTCTGTCACAAAGCCCATGAGCATCTCCCAATGGATCAAAGATTCTTCAAAGAACTGTGCCTCTCGCTCCACTTCTGCGCCACGTGATCGGCTGAAGAGCTTGGGTAGAATGAGATCTCTTGCAGTGGAAAGGTATTCGAGTCCAAGAGCGCTGCTGTCGTGCCACGAGGTTGTAAGACCGAGCAGCATGATACTCAAGAAAGTCTTTGTAGCGCTCGTCTGCCCACTCTGAGCAAGAGGAAGCTCAGCCTCTAGTGCCTCGCGTGCCTTGCGCTGGAGCTCAACTCCTGTTGCTGCCATGTTGGGAAAAGTGTTAGCCAAATGTGCCGCTGCCATGGATTGGATTGCGTAGTTGATGGATGGAGAGTCCTTATAGATACGGCCAATGGTAGTTCGGAAAGGATTTAGAGGAGAATCGAAAGAAGAAAAAATAGCACAGACGTCCTTGAAGTAGTGTTGGACAAGAAGAGACTCGACATCGTCAGACGATGTCGGGCTGGGAGAGGGACTTGGAAGACGGTACAAATCAAGAAGCAGTGAACGTGAGAGTCTAGGGCTAGACTCTCGGTGTGCGTCGCGGTCCAACAAAGGCATCGAGGAAGACGGGATGACATCTAGTTTCTGTGATGGTGAGTCGTGCACGCCAAAAGTAATGTCGTCTAGCGAGCCAGAATCAAAGTCTATGTTCTCAAAAGGATCGAAGCTGAACTCTTCGTGAGGAAGATGCATGGCATCGACGAAGCCATCCAACATAACATCCTCGATTGGAAAGGGCTCGTACTCTCGAGGAGAGTCGCCATCCTCGGTAGAGGACTCTTGGTTGGATGCAGGCTCCTCAAAGCTAGGTGGAGACGGGATTGCAGATGACGTTTGTATTGTGGGGGCTGGTTGTGGGGTGGTTGTGGTTGTTGTCGTCGTCATCTTGTTCTTGCTTACAGGGAGCACTGCAGCCAAGGCTTCGATGCCGCTGGCGACATTCTGAGGTAGTGTCGACTTGACAGCAGGAGGAGTTGTGGAGTTGAGGTTGGAGGTAGGGCTTGACTTGGGAGGCGCTGCCCTCGAATGGCTAGGAGGCGTAAAGACCTCGTACTTTGTCGACCATTTCAAAGTCTTTTCGTACCCAGGGCAGGGCACGTTCCTCTTCTTGCATTGCAGACAGCCAGGAGCAGTCTCGTCGCATTTGAGCTATCCCTTTTGTCAGCACGCGTTCCCAATAAGGGATGGATAATGATGGTGGCGGTGAGACTTTACCCTCTTGAGCTTGCAGCGGCCACATCCATTCCTGGACTTTGTCTTCTTCGCCTTTAGATCTCTCGCCAATACCTTGTCTTGAGCCATAGCGGGTATGTTGCAGATTCAGATTGACGTAGTAAAAGAGGAGAGGTCTGGGAAAGTCAAACGACAATGGGGTGAGATATCCGGTGCGAAGGAGATAGGACTTAAAATGCGGATCCATGGGTTGGGGGACGCCCACAGACTTCTAATGCGCGTGACGGGCCCATGACATACCCGGTCGTTCTTCTGCCTATCATTCGACTAGGGGCCGGCTAAGATAGCTGCTGATAAAAATGTCGCGCTGGTATGGTTGATGCAGGGCGTGTAAGCCTAGATTCCGAAATTCGGCTCTTCCTATGCATTCTGCATCGGTGTGAGCCTTATTGGCCAGGCCCAGCCGCGACGACGGTTTTCTTTGCTGTACAAACCCCTCTATGGGAGGACGCCCGGTGGGCGGAAAAGTTGGACACGAAATGTACTGCCTGTGTGCATCCTCTGCCGCTATGCTCGCCTACAAGCCAACGACGGACGAGTTTGCGAGAAAAGCATCGTGGGGCAAGACGAGGCGCCATCGATAGGAAGATGGAGAGGCTACCCCACAGTCAACTCGAGGTGGGACGGAACGAGTGGATGGCATGACTGGTTGTGGATTAGGGCTAGGCATACTCGCTCCACTTGTTGCTTCACGATAGCCTTGTTCCAAGATAAAGCCACGTCTACCCGCATGCCTCATGACGATGTCGGACCGCAACTCCAAGTCTGTGGGCCAGACTAATGCGTAAATATCAGTGTGTACAGCAGCGAGGTGCGTGTTGCGTCGGTACAGTTATCTTTGGAGATGAATCCGTTATCAAGAGCGGCGATAAGGACCACCACCATTCAGCAGGCGTCGTCATCTCTCCAAACAAGGCGGCTCTGCCAGCAACCTGCTTGGCTGGCCAATCCTGCACGTGTGTTTGGTGATGACATCTTTTCGTTCTTTGTCCTCGACGAGTGCGGTGCTATTCCCCCCGGACCTTCTCGAAAAGTGTGCCGGCCACCGAGACGAGGGCCAAGTCAGCCCCTTCTTGTGCGGCTTTACCCAACCCGATTTGCGTTTATAACAATAACACAAAGGTATGGCAGTCTACCCCGCAAAGAGCCACGGATGGGTGTGTGGATGTATGATTTGTCTGATTTTCTGGGGTAAAGGAATCTGGGGGACGGGTACATCATCCACAAACGCACGCGATTGAGTAATGCCAAGCTCAGCAAGACCTGGCTGAACATCTGGAGATGGGGAGGCAAAAAGTTGAACATGTGGCTTCTGTAGAATTATGCCCGCATTGGGCAGTATGCAAATGCCCCCTCTTCACCGTTTGTGTAAGTACGAGCGTATGGTTCGCGATGCATACGATGCATCCCGAGCTTGGCGACATCCGACGGAAAACTTTGAAAGCGCCCGTGTGACATAATTCATGTGCACCTCCATGGAACAGTCGGATGTTTGTTATCTGCAACTCGCGTGGAAGAAAACCATGTAGGCACGCGGGAGGAGGGAGAAGAGGGGGGTTTAATTCGAGGCGTCTTGCCGATATCTTGTGGGCTTGTCGTTGAGCCCTAGTCCTGGTACACTGGCGTGTTGGTGTGTGTATCTGTGCTGAGCTGACATTGTCCATGTGGCACAACAAAACAACCTCCAACAAATTCGTCACATGACTATGCCACGCGGCCGCTTTCGACACATCAACACATGAAAATACAGTTTGCACGTCTTCATTCTTCACCGCTCCATCCAACGTGCACACGCGTGAACAACCACTGCCCACCAGCTAGAACAGTCTCGAACCATTTTTTACTTTCACATATGTTTTTGCATTGATGTTACTTATTTCTCTGCCTTCATTTCCCAACATCTATGCTATCCGCGGAGTGGAAAAAGATACCTTGTTGACCACCAATCAATGAGAAAAAAAAGGAAAAAAAAGAAAGGACAGATCAGAAGCTATATACATTTGCAAAGCCTCTCTCCTTCCCCCCCAACTTTGCCAAACTGTGACAAGAATATTCGAAGCCCACCGCGTCAGCAACAAAGAAAAAAGTGCGTGTTTCCTTGCTCGCTTGATAAATCAACAATCCACCAGAACGATCCAACCGTGATTCCAACGCTTTCCAAACCAAAAGAATTGAAGAAAAGGAAAAAAAAAGGAGCGACCCAGATGTATGCGGATGCATATGTGTTCGTAGAGAAGAAGAGAAGAAAGAAAGAAGAAAAATGAAAGGGTATTGACTACCATGACGACATTTCAGAGGTTCGGGTCACCGCCAGCGACATCTTTTTCCCTTCAATCTCCAGTCCAGCTGAGTTTGGCAGAGGTCCAAAGAAGAGGGTTGGCGACAGCGGCAGCCCGATGAGGTTGCACTAGAAATTATCTAATTGCTGGGGGCCAGAAGAAGAAAATGAACAGGCCCCCCAGTGTGTTCGTAAAAGAGGATGGATGACATGCAATGGGATTTTGTACACCAAGGAGAAATGGAAAAAGGACTGCTCTTCCAGCACATTCAGAAGGAGAGGTGCCATCCCTACATGGCATTGCCACCGGGATATCTGGATTGGTTCGACATGCCCGGTCCTGGTCCGAGCATGGCAGGTGGCATGGGACCGCCTCTTCCTCTGCCGCCGCCGCCTCGACCCCGACCGCGTCCCCGTGTAGCACCTGGGATCACAAAGTCTGGGTTTGCTGCATTGGCTTCCAGAATGACGTCTCCCTGTCGCATGGGTCTTCGGGGACCAGGAAATGGACCAAACTGACCTGCCGCGGCGCCCATCTCTGGCCGCCAGTTGGGATTAATCGGGCGCTGAGAGACAGAAGTAAAGTGCGATGCTTCGCTGGCTGCAGGAGAACGTGAGCCATCTGGCAAGTCGTCGTAAGAGCTCGTGCGAGGGAGGTTGGGGTCACTCAAGTTGGTTGTGGAAAGAAAGTTGGGGTTCGGTGGTGCGAATCCGCCTGGCATCAGTGAAGTTGGCAGTGGTGGAGGCGCCTGGGGCTGCACGGGTTCTGCGAATCTGGGATCGACATCTTCATAGTAGTCAGAGCTACGCTCTGGTCTGTTGACTGCTTTGACCGGAGCAAGTTGGGCATTCGCCATGACAGGCGAGTCCTGAATCGGAGAGAGTCCACGGCTGCTGTTGCTGTTGTTCATGGTGCTGAGCGTCTGATCAGATGGCACTTTTTGCTGGTTCCATCCGGCCCGAGCTGGGACAAACTGCTGCTGTTGCGGGGGCAGTTGTCGTGGTTGCGCATCACTATTTGATGTTAGGAAGACAATCGCAAGGAACATGGTGGAAAACACTTACGATGTCGAGTATTCGCTGGTCGGGCTCACGATTTCTGGAGAACGCCTCTGGGGTGAACCAGCCGGGAAGGGGCCACCCTGTTGAAGAGCAAGCATTCCTGCAACATCACCGTCACTCTCTCTCAATCCATAATTGTTAGCAGGTGTGCCTGTGCGGTTATCCATTTCGATAGCCTGGCCAATGGGCATTTCCGGCATTGGTCCAGGTGGCGGGCCTCGACCATACGGCGATGGCTCACGAGGTGGCGGTCCTTGGCTGTAAAAGTTATCGTTATTGTATCCTGGAGGGGGGGCACCACGAGCCATGGGAGGGCCGTTCGGAGGTCGTCCACCACGTCCATTACCATTCCAGCCTGGCGGGGGAGGTCCTCGCATAGCTCCTCCTCTTGGGCCATATCCGCCTCTTGGACCGTAACCTCCTCCTCTTGGGCCTCCAAACTGTCCACCTCGTGGTGGTCCTCCTCTTCCTCTGTATGGACCTCCCCTGCCGCGCGGGGCTCCGTTCATCATGACAAATCCATCGTTGGGCATAGGTGGGAGAGGGTTACCGTATTGGTCTACTGGCTGTCGGCGACCGATAGGGCCACCAGGCGGCGAGCCCATTGTGTCTGGGGCAGTACCACCAGCACTGCTAACAGTCTTGAGTGAAGGGTTGCGTTGGTTCAAAGGCACCATGTCGTCTGTGGGAGACGCTTTGGAAGAATCAAAATAGGCCGTGTTGCCGTTTGATTTGAGGGCAGACGACATTGTGTCGTTGTCAAGAGGGGGCGGGGATTCAGCCTTTGGATATTCAGTGGTCACTGTCGCGTTTGCGCGATTCGCATAATACGTGTTGCCGTTCATCTCGTCGTTTTCGGCAATGCGTCGCTTCCTCGCCTTGCGGCTGACCAGCGTACGTCTCATGGCACATGTTACAATTCCGCTTGCAACAATGATAACGGTGGCACCTAGTACAATCCATCCTCCCCAACCCACATGGGGAACGAACAACAAAATGTCGACGAGAAACGCGAGCAGTGTGACGAGCAGGGTTGGGAACGTGAATATAAGCAGGGCAAGAAGGTAGCGCGGCGAGTGGGCAGGCGAATGGAAGTGGGCGGCGACCGAGAGGGCGAAGCAAATGAGTGTCATGAGGGCCGCGACGGGGTGGACGATGAGGATCGAGGATAGGGCATGTCGCTGTGCAGAGGGTAGCGAAAAGTCGGAAGTCCGGTCACCTGCAAACAGTTTCTCTGCATTCGAGTAGTTAGTTTGTGTTGCACGCGTGCGCTTGTAGTGTAGCAAGACATACCTGTGTTGTACCCAATCATGGGCCCTTTGCAGCTGGAATCGCCATTTTCGCAGTAGCCCAAGACGCCAAAACGAACGCCACGGTAGGTAGCGAGCGGGATGCTCTTGATGAGGGGCGTCGAGAGGGTGGAGAGCAACAATAGCACGAATGCGACGAAGAATAGAATGGATAAAGGGGTGGCCGGCCGCAACATGATGGCGACAAAGGGCAGCGTCTAGTACTACCGCAGTGGGAATCCGGACCGCCAGCGACCGGCTTTGGAGACTCGGCGATGTAGGCTTGGGGATGGAGGGCTCGGAGGGGCGTGTCCTGCGCGACTGTAGTGAATGCGCAGACGTCGTTGTTGGAGAGGGCAGTGGAAAACGAGCCTCAGCGCGGCTGTGTCCGAGGTGAAACGAGTGACGAGTGAGGATGCACGGGATGCCTGCAGTGTCATTGATGCCTCGACCCGGGAATGGCACGATGCAGGACGGCGACGCAATTGACACAGACAGCCGGCGGAAGATTGACGGTCGCTGGCTGTTTCGGTTGCGGGGAAGCGTGGGCGTGGGCGTGCTGGCGGAGACACGAGGTGGAGGATAGTGGGTGGGAGGCTGGAGGGCCAAAAGAACAAGCTGTAAGCTGCAACGGCGCACGCGGGCGGGCAGCCAATAGCGCAAACGGCACCAGAGATGGATGCGAACGTTGGGGGCTTTGGCCGCTAGTCACCGATAAACCTGCTTGCGGCTGCTGGGAATGCGGGACGCTATCCAGCCGTCAAACCACCGCTGCGGACTCGATCGTGACGTGATGATGGCTGAGAGCGGACGAGCAACAGGAACCAGGCACCGGCACCAGGAACAGCAAAAGCATGAGCACCTCGACCGCCATCCGATGGGACTGAACGCGACAGCCTCGCCCTCGCAACCATGTTGTGTGCGCGCAGCCCCCCTCCCCCCTGGGTCTCCTCTCCGTCGCACAGCGCCAACCAGTGTGCTTCCCTGTTCATAGTGCGTGTTGTTCGGCGCAATATTCACCAGCATGCGCGCCCGTGCAGCCATGCCATTTGCCATTTCCCCGACAAGTCCATCGTCTCATCTCGTCTGGCCTGCACGGCCCTCCCCAGAGTGATCGTCCAGGCACGCTCGATGCTTCAAACACCGCTTCTGCTGAAACGCGCAGAGCCTCCATAGCCTAGTCCTGAGGCAGAGCAGCTCGCCTCAATCCCTCTTCTGTCGTGTCTCGTCTGCTTCCGACACGCCCTCTCTCTACGCGCGCTTCCTGTCCACGCCAAACAGCCTCGCCGCCAAACAGCGCGCAAACACAGCCCTGTGCTCCCCTTATCTCGTACCGCCATGCACCCCCGTCTAGTCCTCGCCGTCTTAGGCCCCCGAAATAAGTATCCTCTTTTCGGCGCCACCAACTCTTCGCTTGGTTCCGCGTCCCATTGGGCACAGCCGCCGCAATGCCTTGTTTGCTTTTGCACGCCTCCAAAACCACACTTCGCACACGACACTGTCTCACATTCACAATGCTCCGCTCACACAATCATGCTCAATGTTTGAGCCCCAAGGCTTCTCGACTGTTTATTTGTTTGATTCTCGGCCTCACTCATGGTATTCCTATGATAAGCAGATCCGCAAGATCCGCGTCAACCTCCCCACACGGGGTCACGAACGCCTGGTTTTTTTTTTTCGAGTTTCCGAGTCCTGCACCAATGCTCATGAATTCATGGGTACTTCATACGCTAACCTACTACTACACACCCGCCCGTGTCACATTTAGTGACCAGCGAGGGCGTACGCACGGCGACGATCACGCTCCTCAGCGATCGAGAGCTTGACACCCTTGCCCTTTGGCAGAGAGATCCATGGCTTCTCCTTTCCAATGATACTGCTCGCTTGTCAGCGCTTCAATCCGGCAGCGTCAATAGACAAAGAAACTTACATGACGTTGGACTCACGAGTGGTGAACTCGTTGTCAACAGCGTCCTTGATGTGGACAATGTTGAAGCCTCCGTCGTGGCGCTCACGGTGGGTGATGACACCAACACGGCCCATGTTACGACCACCAGTGACCATGACGATGACGCCAGTGTCGAACTTGATGAAGTCGGAAATCTTGCCGGTCGAAAGGTCGACCTTGACGGTGTCGTTGACCTTGATGGCGGGGTCGGGGTAACGGATCCTACACATAGATATTTAGCAGCAATTCGGACATAGCCAGACCCTGGTCGTATGCCTGGTGAAAGAGGTTTCCCTTCAGTCACCTAGCCCAAACTGTGGTCCAACGGCTGATAGAGCGAGAACTTACGTTCGCGCATCGTGCGTAACCAAGTAGGGAATTCCGCCCTTGCCAAGCTGAACACGCTTGACCTTGCCGAGCTTGTATTGTGCCTCCTCGTCTGTTATCCTGTGGACGGTGAAGCGGCCCTTGGTGTCGTAGATCAGACGGAAGTTCTCGCCAGTCTTCTCAATGGAGATGACATCCATCAATCCAGTGGGGAAGGTGCTGTCAGTGCGGACCTTGCCGTCGACCTTGACCAGACGCTGCATAAGGATGGCGTTGACCTCGCGGGCGTTGAGCGCATACTTAAGACGGTTGCGGAGGAAGATGATGAGGGGAAGGGAGTCGCGGAGCTTGTGAGGACCGGGCGAGGCCTTGGGGGCGTAGGCACCTGCGGATTGTCAATTTGATGCTCGCCATGTTGCTTCGCACTGCCGGTTGCGGGCGTGCAGGAATCGAGCCTACCGGACAGCTTGTCCAAGAGCCAGTGCGAGGGCGCGCTGAGGCGCTTCTGGTGCTTCACGGGTCCACGCGCCATTTTGACTGTTGTGTGAGGTTAGTCGTCGAGGTTGTCGGAAGTCCTGTCAGAGTACGAAATCGAGGTGGGAAGATTTGATCAAATTCCCACACTAGCGCCGTGTGCTAACCGAGCACTAGCGCCGCCGCCAAGACTAGCGCCTCCCTGTGGATCATCCTCGCAAATAGATCATGGAAACGTCCAGTAAAATGCATTCAAGTTGCAAAATCCAATGGTGGAGGTTGAACCGTGTGAGAATCCTTTGCTTTCCTCAAATCTCGCGTTCGGGTCTGTACAACCCTTCAATGGGAACATTGCCAATTAGTCCATCACAACACGTCAGGGTATCAAGTCTAGTGAATTTCAACCCTGAAATTTTGATTTGTCTTCAATGCTATCAACCTTCTTTTCTTTAGCGTCTATCTTAGGCGTATCCCTTCAGCACTGCCGCTTCGGCATTGAGAATAGAAGAACCTGCCGCCCCAATAACCGCTACGAATAGTTAGCTTCATGTTTTGATCTTCTGTATGATATTCAACTTACTGTTGTGGCTTAATGCAACAAACTTGATATCGAAAATACCAGACTCATCCTCCCGTATTCTGCCCACACTGACAGTGTATCCTCTGTCAGTCTCCCTATCCAATCTTGGCTGTGGCCTATCAGGCTCGTCCATGACTGCAATTGCCTTCTTAGGCGCAGAGGGGCATCCTAGCTTTTGCGCATCTGAGACATAGTCCCGCATTGCCTGCTTGACCTCCTCTGCACTGGGCGGTGGGCGACGCTCGAAGCGTAGCGATACACATGCAGTGTGTCCATCGAGGACTGGAACGCGGTTGCATGCAGCGGAAATCTTCATGGGCTGGTCCACGAAACCAGTGACGCCCTCGTTGACACTTCCAAGGATTTTGGAGGCCTCAGTCTCTAGCTTGTCTTCTTCGCCAGAAATGAAGGGTACAACGTTGTCAATGATATCCATGCTGCTGACGCCGGGGTAGCCAGCGCCTGAGACTGCCTGCATTGTAACGACTGACACTTGGTTAATGGGACCAAATTTATCTTGCAGAGCCGCAAAAGGTATCACTATTCCAATGACAGCGCAGTTTGAGTTGCACACCAGAAATCCCTTTTCTAGTTTGTGGTGCTGTCTCTGGTGCTTGATCACATCGAGATGCGGAAGGTTTACGGTGGGAACGACGAGTGGGACGAGGGGATCGCGGCGGTAGTTCTTTGCGTTGGAGAAGACGGCAAGTTCAGCCTTGAGGAAAGCCATCTCTACACAAAAGGTCAGCTCTAGCGCAGGATATTTGAAGCAGCGCACCTACCAACGTCTCCAGCAACATCACTGTCAAGTCCAGAGAAGACCAGGTCGCAGTCCTTGAACTCTTCTGGTACGCATTTCTTCACTACCAATTCTCCAATGCGCTCCGAATACGGCAGCGCTTGCTTCCACTTGACCGCATCTTTGTACTTCTTGCCAGCCGATCGCTCCGAGGCTCCGACAGCGTGTAGTTCGAGATGTGGGTGGAGAGCGAGGAGAAGGATGAAGCGTTGGCCGACAGAGCCAGTTGCGCCGAGCACACCTGCGATTGAGTCAGTCAATCAATCGTTCCTTTTGGGTGGCAAGCACTTACCGCACTTCTTCTTGGGAAATTCCCGCTTAGGAGACGTAAAATGCTCAGCGTCCATGGTTGTAGTAGAAGAGAATGTGGAATTATGAGATTGAGTCAATCAAGTTCATAAAGTTCAAGTCGGGAAGTTATGACGCGCGGGGGTGGGGTGGAAAACGCGACCACCGATCGCGGAGGTCCCACGCTCGCCTTGTCAGCTATGGCAATTTAGGTCACTTTCCCCCAAAACTGCGGAGTGTAAACTTTTCATTACTACTAAGAACTTTTTTTAAAGAAAAAAAAGAAGATCAATGGCTGAGATCTATGCATTCCCCCAGCAGATGCAGTGCAGATGGTCAGACATCCCTCCCAATGCATAATATCGGCTTTTGAACGAAAAAAAGAAAAAGAAGCAAAGTGGTGGCGGTACTAGCTATGCCTGAGCATCCATGATTTTACCCGGGTTCATGAGCCAGTAAGGGTCCAAGGCGCCTTTGATGCACCTCATTACGTTGATGGTATCAACACCGAGCTCTTTTTGCAGCGATGCCTTTTTTCCGAGTCCGATGCCGTGCTCGCCGGTGCAAGTACCCTCCATCTCGAGCGCTCGGTCGACCATGTCATGAACACATTTTTCAACGGCAGCTCGCTCTTTAGGGTCTTTACTGTTGTACATGATGCTTTCGTGAAAGTTTCCATCTCCGATGTGACCAAGGATGCTTGCGAAAAGGCCAAGGTCGTCCATCTCCTTCTTGGAGATTTCTGTAGCAGTGTTAGACAAGAAAGGAAGAAGAAGGTCGAGCGTGAGTGCTATCGCAGGGCCATACCTATAATGTCTGGGAGCCGGGAAATGGGGACTGCGACATCTGTCGACCAAACCTCGTCACCTTCGCGACGGAGTGCCATCATGCTCCAAAGTGACTCTTTGCGAGCTGACCAAAGAGTTTTCTGCTCCTCGGCATCCACGGCAAATTCAAAATCACCGCTCTTATTGGCTCTTGCAATAGCCTTTACCAGCTCAATGTTTTCCTGTACCTAGTATGCAGTTAGTTACGTTCTGGGTAAATGCGCGGCTGTAGGGCTGAACACACCCCTGCTTTTGTTCCCGAGAACCTGTTTGCAGCTGTTAGCTCTAGCTTCACAAGATTCAATCTATCTGGGGGAACCTACTTGAAGAACATGGTCGGCAATTCCTTCCATTTTTTTGTAGTCGCACCCGCTTTGTTGATGACACCCATTTGCACGTCATCCATGATCTCCATGGCGGCTACAGGGACCCCGGCCCGCAGCACTTTAGAGGCTGCAGCTGCAGCATCGCGAATTGTAGGAAAGGTCACGACTGCAACACTCGTCTCTTGGGGTATGACGGCTAGCTTGAGGGTCACCTCTGTGACGATGCCGAGGGTACCTTCGGACCCAATAAAGAGGTTTGTCAAGTTGTAGCCAGCAGACGATTTTCTAGAAGGCTATTAATGATGCTGTGAAGCCAATACGTGGGAATATACATACCGGGGCCGCTGTCTGGTCTTGATGACGGTGCCGTCAGCCAGTACCACGGTCAGGTTGATAACCCAATCCTTCATGGTGCCGTATCGCACGGCGTTAGTTCCGCTGCGATGATTAGTGGCAATATCCGTGCAGCGTAGATAACCGCACCCACCTGCAGCTCGTGCCTACCATGCCTCCAATTCTGGCCTGACACGTTTGTTAATAAGCTTTGGGTGGCCATGCTGTGCACGTTCAGGTGACAGATGTATGCATACCGAAGGGCCGGGGTCAACAGGAAAAAAAAGACCAGACTCTTTGATCTGATCGTTGAGACTCATCCAGGGCACAGAAGGCTGGACGACAACGTCCATGCTATATAGGTTTCGTCAGCGGTGGCCTCGCTCTAGGTGCAAAGCATTGCCGACTCACTCATCCTCGTGCAAGGCAATGATTCGATCCATAAAGGCAAAGTCGATGCTCATGCCGCCAAAGGGAGCCGAGAAGTTTGCCTCCAAGCTTGATCCACCAGAGTAGGGAACTTTGCAGTGTCAGTCGGCAGGGGTTGGAGAAAGCATGGCGGGCGTACTCATTGGTATCCTGTACTTGAAGCAGATTTTGGCAATGGCGGAGCACTCTTCAGTCGACTTTGGGTATGCCACGGCGACCGGGAGCTGGTCAATGTTGATGGAGGACCATTCCGAGTAGCCGTGTCTGTGTAAATCTTCATCGTCGGTGCTGATTACTTCCTCTCCCAGCAATTCTCTCAGCTCCGTGATGGCCTGGACTGTTGAGCATGGACGACGTGCAAACGTATGGTCTCTAATAAACCCACCTTTTCCATCTCGTGCTTGTTTGCATACTGAGGACCAGTGGACTTGAGCCATGGCATTTGGATGCGGTGGGGTTCGTCATTGGCACCATAAAAGTAGGTGGTTGTGCCAGTGACGGCAGAGAAGAGCAAGGCTCGCCCAGAGTTCCAGAAGGGTCGTTGGTTGGCGTGGGATGTGAAGGTTCGGTCGGCTCCGCTTCGTGCCCGAGTGCCTGCTCGCCTGAGCAAAGGCGAGACAGTGTGCCTGGCTCGCGCTGCTGCTTGCCAAAGCATGGTTCAACAAAAGAGAGGCGAGGAGAGAAGTACGAGAGTCGGAGAAAAAGAAGAAGAAAGAACGAAAGAAGAAGCTGATCTGCCTGGCCAGACTACAGGTCGAGGCAGGCTTCAGTGACGGAGACTATGGGCCCATGCGCGATTTGCGAGCTAGAGCGATGGATGGCAGCACTAAGCATTTTATGGGGCTCACGGGCGAGGACAAGGACAGCAAAAGCGGAAAGAAGATAATTCAAGGTACAGGCATAGGGCGCCATTGTTGTTTTGGGCAAGGCTTTGGGCGTCATGGGCCAACGCACGGGCAAGGCCGCACGACGACATAGTGTGGTTGATGGAGGAGGAGAGGCATGGGGCGCGTGGGAGGCTGACTGGGTTACCGATGTGCAGCAGCAGCAAATGAAGCCGGCTGAGCGTGATCAGCTGCAAGGGGGCTTGGAAGCCGGCGAGGCAATTGCGGGGAAGGCCAGGGCGGCAGCGGCAGACAGAGGCGGTGGTCAGTATGGATATGCAGCGTGGCGACTGATGGTGGATGACAGTCAAGGCGTCGTCGGTCGCGTGACGGGGCGCCGGCTAGGGGCGCAAGCAAATGCAGAATGGAGCAGGGCCGCGTTCTTTCTTTTTTTTCCCATTCCAGATGGATATAATATGGATTCGAGGGCCCGCTGGCAGGCGAGTCGTGTGTGTGCCTGGAGGCGTGGCGGCCGCCACATGGATACACAGACATGGCATCTGAGGCTCAGCAGCAGCAACAGCAACCGCCGGGGAGATGTGGATGGCGAGCACGAGGGCGTGGATAGCGTGGATTGGATGGCCGTCATCCAATTACCTCAGCAGTGGGGGCCGTTTGCATGCACATGGACATGCCACGCCGCCGTCGAGAGCCGCTGCAGTCGGCCTTTGCTCGTCGGCCATGGCCATGCATGCACCACGAGCACTTCTGACAAGACACAACAAGGCACGGCGGACGTTGACGGCCCATCCAACCAGCCGTGACGCAACACCATGGCCCAGCGTCAATCAGGCGTCCAGACTCTGCCGGAAAAAGCAAACAAGCATGCGGTGCAGGCGGCGGTGCAAGGCGGGGAATGCTCGCGGCCCTTGTCTGCACATACTCTGATGCTACATCGTACATGCGTATACATAGTGCAGTGTACACACGACTACACGGCCACAACGCACAAAGATTGGCTGGCGCGGTTGTCGGAGGAACGCGAGGGCGCCAAACAAGATCGCGTATGGGCCATCGGACGCGCTGCACACTTTGCACGGGAACCAGAACACCCTACGACCGACGGACATACACACGCACTACTAGTTGCAACGTGCGAAGCCCGACCATGCCAGACGGCGCCCCCACGGCAGACTTGGGCGCACAGCTCAATGCCGAATTGACGAGCATCATCAAGTGTCCATATCCTCCCTCGCTGTCTGTAAGTACTGTACTCGTATTGCCGAACGTATTGCACCATCCACCACATGACTCGTCACTTTGGCATCCCACCATGGTTGTTCGGTGATAGATGGTCTGACCAACATCTCACACACAGCCTCTGTCCCACCTACTCGCGCGTGCCGACCTACCCACCATCCGCGCTTCTATCCATCACCGTTCCCCATGCGCCCTGGCCGCCTTGGCCAAAATCGTCCGCGATGCCTTGCCGCTGACGGCTTACACGCTGCCTGTCCTGCATCGTCTGTGTAAGCTTTTGACCGCTTCTTGTTAACACATCGGCTGACTGCCTGCCCCTATGCAGGCCATGCACCCGAGTTCCGCGACCAACTATTGATTCGCTACCCGGGCCTGCTAAACGGTCTGCTCGAGAAGGCCGTTTCCTCCAAGCAAGACTTTAATGACGTGAGTCGTACACACTTTGCCACCATCCCATCCCCCTAACCCACCACCAGCTCGGAGAACTCTGTGTGCTCCTTCTGTCCTACCCTTTGCCAGAAGCAATTCCCTTGCCTGCCGCCGCACAGAGCTTCCTGCTCCACGTCTTTGACAAGGCTTCACAAAACCCAAGTTCCGATGCCTTGAAGTCGGTATATCGCATGCTCAATGGAGCATGCCCCCACCTCTACCGTCTCCTTCCTAGTGCTGCCAGACGGCGCTTCGATACCGAGCTATGTCGCATCTTGCAAAACAATGTATCTGGCGAGTCGGCCATGCTGCTGTTGTGGCTGTGTGGCATAGTCATTATCGTCGAGCATCCAGAAGGCATCCAGCCTGCCCACGCTTCCGACACCAGTCACCAGCCCGTCTCTACCCAGACGCTAATGCAGCAGTGGTTAACGCCATCCGGCCAAAAACTATTTGGCTCTACCAAGGACTTGTACAAAAACATACAAATGACGTGCTTGAATATCTTATGGCTCCTCAAAGCCCCCGTCGTCGTCGACGACGACCAAGTAACCGAAGGCTTGCGTATTGCCTCTAGAATCATGCAATGCATCGACGTAGACATCAAAGATAGTTGGATCAAGCATGAAAAGGGGGCACTGCTGTTTGATAAATGCCGATCGAGGATAGGAGAGTCGGCTTCTGGCCCCATCATCCAGTTGGAGGCCCTGTCTTTCTTTGGCCAGCTTTCTGGCTCAAAGAAACTGCCCCAAAGCATAGTGACGCAGTATTCATCATGTGTCTTTGATGCTGTCTGTACAGCGGAGCCAGCCAGCGTTTCCGAGCTGCTATCAGTATCACTCCCTAAATTCGGGGTAAGCACATTTGAAGCCATTGTGAGCCACTCAACTGATTGAGACAGGCACATATCCCCGAAATTCAGGCACTGTTTTCCAGTGTCCTAGATGCATGTGCTGAGCAACCAAGCCCCAGGCACATGTCCAATCTTGTCAGTTTTGTAGATGAGCTCACCGCTGCCACCCTGTCTTCTTCCATATTACGGGGTAATGTACTACGCGGTTTGTCATCAAAGACATTGCAAGATAAGATCTGGCGTCTTGTGCGGCTCGACCCAAATCAGCAAGCCGTCTGCACTCATGTAGGATCGATCCATCGGCAGCTCATCACTGCCACTATTGCCTCTCTGATCACCATCATCCTCGCAGCTGAGCCAGGAGAACCGACGTTAACTCAGACCCTCACAATGTCTCTTGTGAAGGCACAACGGTATCTGCCGCTTGTAGCGGGTGCTTGCCCAATTGCCTCTGAGACGCCAAAAAATACACCCATATCACTATTCCAAGCTGCAAATACACAAAACACTGGCCAGCATCTGGAAGACTGGAGCACACGTCTTGAATCAGAACTACAAAGCCAGGGCAAGTATCAGAGAGACGCCATCTTACGTTCAGTAGCACAGATTTGCACTGACCTCGAAACGCGCTGCAACACGGTCGAAGAGCCACTACGTAGGGAGAAAGAAAAATCAACCAAACTCGAGGAGCAAATCCGCTCCCTAAACGATGAAGTTGAGTCATTACGAATACAAAACGAAGACTCTGTCGATCAGCTAGAGGGCTTAGAAAAGGAGCTAGAAGATTTGAGAGAAGACCAAGGCCGCTTACAGGAGGAGAATGCTGCTGTTACCCAGGAAAAGGAGCAAGCGCAGTCTAGGGCCAAAGAGTTGGAGACACTACTCGAAGAGTCAAAATCGAACGCGAATGAAGCACTCAAAGCTGCACAGGAGAGTTTCAGCGCCAAGGAGCTCACACTTGAATCAAGAGTTCTTCAATATGAAGAAAATAGCCGCGCCCATGATTCGCAGATACAGCAGCTGAACGATACTATCAGTGAGTTGAGACAATCCGGAGCTCAACTAGAGAAGGATCACAGCACGCTTGCTAAGGAATATGAGAGTCTCCAACGTCGCTATCGGGATATGGAAGAAACACTTCAACATGAACGATCAAACGCCGCTAACCAGAATGACGGCGTTGCACGCCTCGAAATACGAGTATCAGAATACCGCCGCCTCCTAGAAGAGAAGGAAGCTGAGTTGGAAGAAGCCTTGAAAAACGTGGATACATTGCAACGCATGCACCGAGAGCTTCAAGAGACGTCGGAAGCTAAGCTCAAAGATCTGGCAGCTCAGCATACTAGCGATATTCACGCACTCAATGAGAAAGCCGAACACGTGTGCAAGTCTCTTGAAGATCAACTCCAGAATGCTCTGGAGGATTACCAGCAAGAACAGCATGATCACGAAAAGTCGCATCAACAGATTGAGCAACTACAGGAAATCATCCCACACCTAGAGTCTAGAATTCAAGAGCTCGAAGACTTTTGCAAAGAACAAGAAGATGAACTTGAGGAACGCAGAGCAATCCACAAGAATGTGTTGGCACATTTTGGTGTCTCATCCCAACAGCCACTAGCCATTCGCTCCGCGTCTCGATCCTACAAGGACATTGCCGCGACCACGACTACACGCGAGCCGCGAACTCAACGGCGACGCAAGTCCGCCTTTATTACGCCCCAGGACATCACGCCAATGGCAGACTCGACTACAGAAGATACTGCTGAGGCGTCTTTTGAGTCATCTTCGAAAGCCAATATCCCAGCACCCAAACGCTTGAAACCACGACCGACTTTCAAAGTTCCCACCATGCTCACGCCGTACGCTCAGAAGCCCAGCCTAGTCTCTAAATCCATCTCGGGCAGGGCATCACCTAGTAAGCGTTCAGCACTGCGACAAATGTCGCCGAACAGGCGGCATACAGTGGGTGCTTCCACAGCTGAGCAAGGGGATAACGATATCACTGATGCGAGTGCGTCAATGGAGAAGCGGGGAGAAAGTTTCCAGGATATCGAGTATGCCGACTTTGATACCGACGAGGAGTTTCTCTCTGACACACCACTTACACCAGGGTTTATGGCAGGAACAGGTAGAATTCCTAATGAGGATGAGACAAGCACGAGTGAACTATGAGCAATGTAAGACGAAAACGAATCGGAGGATCTGCTGGACGGAATTGGTTTTGCAAGAATTAGACCATCTACATCGACGTCATGTTACTTTACGTTAGAAAAAAAAGATAATTCTCAATAGAACCACTTGTCCATGTAACAAACCCACTCCCCCAATTTCCAAGCAACCCAAGATTTGAAAAAAAAAACCCTCAAACAACCGCCACCATCCGCCCATGCAACCCTCAACACTCCCGTATACGAGCTCCACCCCCTCCCCTCACCCACACGCGCACAAACCTCAAATCCCCTCCCCAACCCCCACGCCTTTACCACCCGGAATACCCAAAACTAGCGGGGTCCCCCCGCCCGGGCATCTACCTACGTACATACCCGCCGCACCTAATTGGCCCACTTTGGCCCCAAAAAGAAAAAGCTTCCCCTCCCTCCCATCGGCGAACGTGCCGAGATACGGATGCGTGGTCTGAATCGTTGTTTGGGGGGGTGAGAGGAAGGAAGAGTGAGTTTGTGTGGAGAGGGAGAGAGAGAGGGTTAAGGATTTGCACGTGTGGTATGTGTGTGTATGTGTGGATGCGGGGTCCGAGGGGGGGGGGTTTGGTTGGTTTACTACTGCAAAGTCTACGAAGTTTTGGTTGCGGAGGGGGCCGGACCGGTGAGCTTGGATAAGTGAAGTAGTAGTAGTAGTAGTAGTAGTAGTAGTAGTAGTAGTAGTAGTAGTAGTAGTAGTAGTAGGAAGTAGTAGGAAGTAGTAGGAAGTAGATTTTATATCTAGAGATGGGCTTGTATATAGTAAAAACCTTTTATTCACGATTCATCCTCGATTGCAGAGAAAATAGAAATCATACACATCTAGACCCTTTTTTTCTTCTTCATTTATCAACTTTTATCGTACCTTTTGCATACACACACACACACACATATATATATATATATTCTAGTGTGTTTCTTTTTTTGGTAGCAAAGTTAGGAAGAAGATGGGGTTCGATACGGAGGTTTTGATTGTAGGTGCGGGAATGAGCGGTCTTGGGTTCGCGGTCCAACTTATCCGCAAGTACAATCTGCGTGGTTTTGAAATCGTGGAGAAGAGCGAGGATGTGGGTGGGACGTGGAACGTGAATACGTATCCTGGGTGTGGATGTGATGTGAGTTCTCCCTCTGTCTCTCTCTCTCTCTCTCTTTCTCCTTTTCCATCGCAAATCACATTGCTTTTTGTTTTTATTTTCGCAGAGATAGAAAAGAGAAGTAAAGAAATAAAAAAGGAAGCGGATACAAGAAGAGGGAAAATTGATAAGGTAGTTTGTTTAGGTCGCTTCACACTTTTATTCGTACAGCTTTGCTCTGAATCCAGACTGGAGCCGCAAATACTCGCACCAACGCGAGATTCAGGCGTATTTCCGGGGCGTAGCGGAACAATACCGAGTCCTTGAGCATATCCAGTTTCACTCTACGGTAGAGAAAGCGAGATGGAATAAGGAGGATAAGATTTGGGAAGTCGAGGTGTTGGATTGGAAAACGAAGCAGAAGACGGTGCGGAGGGCGAAGATTCTCGTGTCGGGCGTGGGAGCGCTGTCTGTGCCCAAGGCATGCGATATACCAGGCGCAGAAACGTACAAAGGACGGTTATTCCATTCTGCAAAGTGGGATCATGAGTTTGATTGGGGTGGGAAGGATGTTGTTGTTCTCGGTATCCTTCACCCTTCTCCCCCTACTCCTTGTGCTGTAACTGTAAGATGACCTACGACTAACCAAACCACAAGGCAACGGCTGCTCCGCCACACAATTCGTCCCCATCCTCGCCAGCCCTCCCAACCCAGCCCGCACCCTCATCCAATTCAGCCGGCAAGCCCAATTTCTCTCCGCCCGCCAGAACCCCATCTACTCCTCCACCTTCAAAGCCGTCATGCGCCACGTCCCCCTCGCCATGCGCCTCTACCGTCTAAAATTCTACATCGACATGGAGCGCGACTACAGCGGCTTCTCCATCGAGTCCGGACACACCATCCACCAGTCGCTCGCACGGGAAAACGCAGCGTACGTAAAGAACGTGGCGCCGCCGCGGTACTGGGATGCGCTCATTCCTACCGTCGAAGTCGGTTGCAAGAGGAAAGTGCTGGATACAGAGTACCTGACGACGCTGTGGCGCGAGAACGTCGAGCTTGTATCTGATGATTCTGTGGAGAGCATCGTGGAAACGGGGGTTGTGACGAGGGCGGGGAGGGAGATTAGTGCGGATGCTATTGTGTTGGCGACGGGATTTGAGACGCAGCAGATGTTGGTTCCAATGGAGATTGTGGGGAGGGATGGGGTGGGGTTGAGGGAGTATGTAAGTTCACTTCCTACGACTAACAGCCCCCCCTACCCCGACTTTGAGTGAAGAAAGGAGTGGGTGGCTGACGGCTTGAGAAACAGTGGGATCAAACCTCGCGCGGCGTCGCGCAAGCCTACTTTGGCACCGTCGTCCCGCATTTCCCTAATTTCTTCATGCTAATGGGTCCGAATACCGTTACGGGTCATCTTAGTGTCATATACAGCGTCGAGTGCCAGATCAATTTCATCTTGCGGCTTCTCGATCCTATTGTCAAATCACTGCCGTCGTACCGGTCGCGGTCGCTGGTTCCGAGCTTCTTCGCTGCGGCGCCTGCGACCGTCGAAGTCAAGGCTGAAGCCGCGGCTACAGATTCCCAGTGGACGCAAAAGGCGGCCAAGAAGCTGGTCTGGGCGACTGGATGCGTGAATTGGGCTGTTGATCGTAAAACAGGGCTTAATAATAGTAAGATATTTTGCAACGAGAAACCCACTTGTTTTGAAAAGGGGTGGGAAGCTAATGTTTGTGTAGTGATGTATCCGGACTGGCAGTTTATGTTTTGGCTCAGAAGTGTCTTTTGGAAGAAGAGCGATTTTGTATATGTGGATGAAGAGACAGGCAAGGAAGTTAATCCACATGTACGGAAGACAGTCCTGCGGCTGGTTACTGTTGCAGCGTTTGCCAGTGGCGCTTTTCTGGGCCGACACTGGATAAGAGATGAGCTACCTCGCAGGCTGAAGGACTTGGACACAAGGGCATTGTTAGGGAGTCTGAGGGCGTAGATTGTATTTGGGCAACCCACTCGCTTTCTCTACGTAGTACCACTATTTCCCGAGGTATTGCAAAGGCGTTTGATGTGGTGGTTTAAAGTCTTGATTTTGTTTGAAGTGCTCAAGGTAAAAAGAAATGTTTGTTTGGAATTCATGTCTGTTCGGCATTAAAACTTTCCATGGTTTCCTCTAGCCCTTTTCTGTTCATACATAGCAGTATCTCGCAGACGTACGTAGTGGGAGAATGTTCATTCACTGTTTCATCGAGGGTTACATACAAGACGATTTAAGAAAACGCAAAACACATGTATTCCTATGGATCACAGCTACAGAAAATTCGACAATACTTCGTAGAAATACTACCTTTGTGCGTATCTCCTTCATAGCATACCGAATCAGAAAAAGGTCCATAAAAAGTCACACAAAGAGCAAACACGAAGAAACTTTCTCCCTTTCCTCCTCTACGTCGTATACCTGACTCTGATAGTTTCAATTTAGTCAAAGATCAATGATAAAGAAAACGGAAAAGAAATAAGACGCGAAGACAAGAAACACGCATTTCCTGCAAAGGAGTGGTACGCGTACTCGAGCCAGTGCCAAGGGTCGTGTAGGAAATTTCGACGGTCGAACCCAAGTCAGTCGAAGAGGCATCGCGACAATTTGTTGCGGTTTGACGGGCAATTACGTCTTGAAGAAACAGCCGTGCTCCGTGAGAACCAGTAGCCCGAGATCGTGATCGCAACATGTTGCTCGATCATGGCACGTTATTATGTCAAGAGGAGTTTCTTCAACCACTGTACAATACAGAGGCTGACCCTACTCGATCCCTTATCTATGCTTATGCCCCGTTTCTCGGTCATATGTAGCATTCCGGTTCAAACGCTCAAGATGGTAATAGGAGTTGTGACTATTGCGTCTCTGTTGACGCTTATCCCCATACGTCTAATTTGGCTCCCATAGCTTTCGCCTGTTACCGCCCCGGACTGGGCCTACCTTGGGAGCCGGACGAGAGAATGAGTCGGGGTCGAGTGGTGCGTTAGGATCATGACGAGGAGCTGGTGGGGCTCGGAAAGTCGGGCCTGGGGGAACGTACGCGCCCCGTGGAGCAAAGTTACCACGGCCTCGAAAGGATGCAGCGCCGCGACTGCGAGGCGATCCATGTCCACCGCGTCCACCACGAGGGGATTGCTGCTGTGTTGTACGCGCAAAGTCGTTGGGATCGAAGACACGTGGGTTGGGGCTATTGGTAGCTGCTGGACCTCGAGGTGCGCGCTTGAAGAGAACCTCATCCTCATCGTCCGATGTTTCCTCGGGCTTAGTCTCATGTGCGGGACTGGATTTGGGTCGCTCCGCTGCTTTGGACGCGCTTGAGTTGTTGCTCTTAGCAGCACTCGCCTCGACCTCGAGTTTGTGAATGGTTAAATGGTTCTTGTATTCACGGTCTTCACGAGCAACAGCATCCCGCAGCTGTTCGAGGCGCTTAGCGCGGATGCCAAATTTCTGGGCAATTGTCTGCTTCGCAGGGTCGTTTGTGAGGAGGATAAAGGACTCGAGGGCTGCATCTGGGTTTCCTTCCTTGTTGATGCGCCATAGGATGTGGTTGAAGAGGGGCTGGAGGTAGACGGGCACGGGGCCCTTGGTCGCCTTCCCAGAACGGGCGCCGCCGGTGCTGTTACGAGCGGTACGGTCCGGGGAGCCCCCGATCAAAGCGGCAGCCTTGTCGGCGTGTGTGGCTCGGTTGGCGGGCTTGGTGTTCCTGCTGGAGAAGGAGCGCGGGGACTCGAGCGTCTTTGACATGTCATCGAAGCTGTGAGTCGAACTCATGGATGTCTCGTCGGACATGTCAAGGGCGTTGAAAGAGCTCTCTAGATCTTCGTGGTAGTCATCGTCGTCCGACTCGCTGTCTTCCATGGAGAGCAGGGTCTCGGGGAGTAGGAAATGCTCCACCTCAGCCCAGGTGCTGTAAGCCTCGTCGGCGCCTTCGAGCTGGACGCGGCTCGCGGCCTCGTTGGACGTGACTTCATCGAGCCATTTGACGGCTTCGCGCGCGTCGGCGTTGATGCGCTCGGTGCCATTCTTGAGGCGATGGAGCTGGGTGAGTGCTTTATTCTCGTGTTAGCGGGGGGGACAGGGAAGCGGCAATGCTGTGATCGCCTACTGTGCAGCGGGACAAAGAGGCGGATGGCGTCCTGGGAAATCCACTTGCGGATGCCGTCGCGCGTGCTCTTCTTGACGCCGGCGATGAGGGCAGTGTCGTCGACGATGCAGTTGAATACCTTGCGTTTAGGCGACTCGGGCGCGCGCATGGCCGTATCGGGCTTGCTGGGCCGGGAGGGAAAAGTGCTTCGGCGCATGGTGGCGCGGGTGCCGTGGTGGCGATGGGGAAACTTGTCGCAGCGATGGGAAATGTGATGGTGGGCGGGCGAGGGCGGATATTGATTGCTGCGTCTGGGTTGGGAACCACGGGTGCGGCTTGCGCTGTTATTATCGGCGGCGGCTTTGCTGGGCGGAGCAACAATCCATTCGTCGTGGCGCAGTGTTTCAAGGCGTGGGCATTGTAGTCGCGCTGTGTTGGGGCAGCGCGCGAGGAAATGAGTCAGGCTGGGGAATGACGCAGCCCTTCATAGTCGTTGCGTTGGTGTGTTACTGTCACGGCGGTTGGGCAAGTGAAGTTCGGGCCCGCATTCCCCCCAGTGATGAGGTGCTCACGCCAAGTGGGGGTTGCGCCACACAGCCACAGTTCACGCAACATCCCATTCCTCGACCTTGTCGTACATAGTACTGCCTAGTTACTAGCCAGGCCAAAAGACAGCAAAGCCCCCCTGATTCCGCTCGTGCTTACTCAGTAGCTCTCCACCTCGTTGCTTCTACCACTGCTACTGCTCATGTCTGGCATCCAGCCCTTGGGACGCTCATTTCCACGCACCGTGAGCCCATACAGCCCTTTCTCAACCTTGTCTACACACTCCCGCATCACAGGCATCTTCTTCGTCTCCAGCTCAGCTGCAAACTTGGATCCCCCAGGTACCTCAAACATCTCAAGCTGCAGCCGAACCGCCCTCAAGTCATCCAGGACATTCCGCGGTTTCTGCGTCTCACTTGCAGTTGGCGTCTGTTCATCAATCTCCATCCTGTCACCGCCGTCTTCCTGGTCGTGCTCCTGCTTCAGCCTCTTGTTTGACTCTGTGTGTTTGCCGGATGGGAGTTTTCCACTGGTAGCCATGCTTGTGACAGCGAAGCGCATGAGTTCGCCAGTCATATCACACACCCCCAAAATGTAGTCTTCTGGGGTGAAAGCAATGGGCCCTGCTTCACCACTCATACTATCAATACGTGATTTTGCTTCATCGTATGATATGAGTGACTGGGTTTCCAGGTAATGTTGGAAACTGAGCGCTTCCATGAACTCTTGGTTTCCGCCGGTGATATTATGAGAGTATCGGTATGCATTGAGTCCTTGAAGATCGGCAGCAATGCTCTTGTATCGATCCTGGATAGTCTCCCAGTACTCAGCATTCTTCTTAGTGACCCAAGGTGGCAATGTTTGGCCAACAGCCCGGACCCTAGTCAGGTTAGATTGTATTACATGAAGACTGTAATGGCAAACAGCTCACCTTTGAAGGGTAAAGATGCTGTTCAATTGTTAGTTGCTGAGCCAAATTTTATTAAAAAATCCAATACATCTTCTTGCTTGACGCAGTAATGTCGCGCGATGCTTTGATAATCCTTTCTCGACGATCATGATGCTCGTCCAGCTCTGCACGGAACCCTTCAAACATGCTCACAAAAGGTGACGACGACTGTTCTGGCTTCTCGTCTGCCATGTTTCCGTCTCTTGGTCGCTTGAGCCCCATTGGTCTTCCTGGTTAATGCCTTGTAGACGAAGTCAAGCAAACGCTGCGACTATGCACTAGTGCACGTCATCACGTGAGAGCTATCCCCCTTGCAGACTAGATTTATGCGATTGCTCTTGCATGCTGCGGAAGCCACCATCTCCTTTCCCCTTGCACTAGGCCAATCCACGTACTCTCCAATCGTTGCTTCCTGCACCCTTTTCCTGTATTGTGTTTTTTTCTTTGAGAGTGTGCTTGTTTTGTACCCTCCAATGACACAATGGCTCTTTCCTCCTTTTTCCGCAGTCCCGTTCTAGTCTTCACAACTTCTATCGTCTTGCGCGCCGTTTTCCTCGTTTATGGTTTGTGGCAAGATGCGAATTCTCCAATGAAGTACACGGATATCGACTACTATGTCTTTACTGATGCAGCACGCTACATCTCCCGAGGCCAACCACCATATGCCAGAGACACGTATCGTTATACGCCCCTCTTGGCATGGCTCATCTATCCTACTGTATGGTCCGGAAAATTCTGGTTTTCTTTTGGAAAGATTCTCTTCGCTGTTGGAGATGTGGCTACCGGATGGATGATGTTCCGCATCCTGAAGGAGTATAAGAAAATGGCAGACGAGAGAGCTCTAAAATTTGCAAGCATTTGGCTACTAAACCCTATGGTAGCTACCATAAGCACAAGAGGTAGCTCCGAAGGACTGCTTGGAGTGTTTGTCACCGCACTTTTGTGGGCAGTGTTGGCGAAAAAGGTGCCGCTGGCTGGTTTTTTACTAGGATTCGCGGTCCATTTCAAGATATACCCATTCATCTACGCAGTCTCTATCGTCTGGTTCCTCGACGAGACCCGATTCCAATCCGCGAGATCGGCCGCTTCGCAACCTTCGCGATCACTGTTTGGCCAGATTCAGACCTTCATCACTCTACCTAGGTTGTCCTTGGCCTTTTACAGTCTCCTCACGTTCACTGTCTTGAATCTTGCTATGTACCAGATATATGGTTGGCCGTTCCTTGAGCATAGCTATCTCTATCACTTGATCCGTAGTGATCATCGCCATAACTTCTCGCCATACAACACATTGTTATATCTCAATTCTTCGCCAAATCCATCGGGCCTTGAATCAGACTCAGCATCCTTTGAGCTGGAGCGCCTCGCATTTCTTCCGCAGCTGCTGCTCAGCGCTGTTTTCATCCCACTTGCGTTGGCGAAAAAGGATCTACCAAACACAATGCTAGCGCAGACCTTTGCTTTTGTCACTTTCAACAAGGTTTGCACAAGTCAAGTAAGTCATGTGATGCATCTGGGATCTGACTGAGATGCTGATTTTTCCAGTACTTTCTCTGGTACATGATGTTCCTCCCATATTACCTTCCACAATCAACCTTGCTACAATCAGCCCCTATTGGCATCGCTGCTATTGTTGCTTGGATCGCTGGCCAAGCCGCCTGGCTTCAACAAGGCTTTCAACTTGAGTTCAACGGTCATTCCACTTTTTTACCGGGTCTTTGGTTGTCTAGCATTCTCTTCTTTCTCGTCAACGCTGGTATCCTCAGTATCATCATTTACGACACTAAACAGAAGCCAACACAAAACAATATTGTACAAGGGAAAAAGAAACAATAGTCAAGCTATGTATCCACATTTTGATGTATCTCCAATCGGATGTTCCCGTCGTCTTATTCAATGAATATGTTGAGTCCCGTGTTCACTGATGATCGCAAATCACTCTAAACGGCTCACCAAGGAAAATCAAAGAGGCCTGGAAGTCAAGATAGAGAAACAACGAAGACAAGGGCGTGAATACTTATTAGGGAACTCTGGGTTTTGACGAGGGCATGGTCCTTCTCCGCCCGATCAAATCGGCAACACGACCCAAGTAGAACTTTAACAAGAAATCTCGTATACTAGTTATATGTTAGCATATATTATACGAAATGAGCCTTCTTTCTCCTCTTTGTGAACAGACCTTCGTAGTAGGAACTGTTAACCATGAGCCCGCAACTAAAGAAACTTAGGTACCCGTTCTATCAACTCACCTTCAACTAGCCCCCCGTACTCTGCTGCAACTCAGGGATTTCTTCACACCATCGGCACCGCTTCCACAGTGGCGGTAGCCCAGCTTCAAGATACGGTTTACTCGCCACTTCATATGGATCCCTTCCATTATGCGCACCCGTCAGGTGCGCAGACCACTGTTGTTCAGAATCCTCTTCCTCCATCTCGGCATTACCGTAGCTCTCGATATCCGCGGTAACCAAATCGTTCGTAGCGGAGTAATCGGTGTAACAAAGTGCGGCGGTTATACTTTCCTGTTGCGAGGGCTCGAGCGTATAAGTCTCCGCTGTAGTACCTCCAGTCCTTGACGGGCCTGACTCCTTCCTCTTGCTCTTGTTTACTTTCTTAGTTGATGCTGAACGCATTTCACGGGCAGCTTTGATCCTGTTGAGCTTGCGTATGGTACGTGGGTTGCGGGGGAGGAGATGAAATGTCTTGGACGTGGGCCCCGAATTTGAGTCTGAGTCTCTCGTATTTATAGACGAGCCGGGTGCTTGCGGCGCGACAGGCGGAGTGTCATCTGAAGGCCCTGGTGGCTTGGGTTTTAGCGTACGGAGCATGTTAGTGAAAAGTGAAGGGGTGATATTCCTATATAAATATATAATCGTCAGAATTTGTAGTGGACGGAAAATCCAAGTTCTTCTGACAAATGCGTCTTCGAAAATTTGTAGAAGGTTTCAGAGGAACCATGGTTCACAAACACGATTTTTATCTCACTGGCTTGCTACAATTGCTGCTTTCCAAATTCAAGCATGCCTACTTCCCTTCTTCTCAGGAACCCAAGTCTTTTCCTTCCAAAATACACATTTCCTCTTCTAGAAGCCTGAACCCATATCAACACTTGCTACAAACGCCATAATCGATCCTCGTTCTTTCATCCCTTTTCACTTCCTTTTGTTGCCGCCGAACCCCTACAAAAACCTCTGGAAAACCATCCACACTGAACTCTCAAAAACATCTTCCCGTATCCCCAGATCCAAATCTCCCTCCTCACCTATATCCTTCCTACTTTCTTCTGATCCCACTACTTCCGCATCGCAAGACTGTAGAACAGGTACCAAGCGTATCGCACCAGGATTAAATGCAGAATATGTCGGTATCCAAATGTTATATTCACCTTCTACAACGTCTTGCTCTTCTTGGTGTTTTGACTTTGTGTCATGCAACTTGTTCTGTGCGGTTATACCGCTAGTATACCGGTACAACGCAAATCTAGCAGATCGAAAGGATGGGTTTGATGTCAAGATGCGTGGTGATAAAATGGGGGATATGAAGGAGTGCCGGAGAAGAAGCGTTTGGTGGATATACCTGGGTACGGAAGGAAGATGGCGGAATAGCATTCTAAATACTTAGAGGTGGGAGGAGATAAAAGGTGTGAATGTATTTGTTCCTCTCAAGCTTAAGTGAGTTTAACAAGTCGTGTGTTTGCAGATTGGGGATTTTATGGAGAGTCAGGACTGCGATTTTATACAGATGGGGGCCAAAGCATTGTGAGGCTGAATTGAGAACATTGTTGCAAGCATGTAGATATGAAGATGGTGTTTTTGGTATTGGATTTCCGTACTACGAGATTGGCTCAACTCTCTACGTAGTCGTTGGAGTGAGGAAAAAGTGGAGAGCTTATCTCAACCACGGTTTGACATGCGAGTCAAAATTATTTCGACCACAACCTTGTAGCAATATCAATTCTTAGCATTAGGATAGCTATGATATGGTTCCAATATAGTGAGTTACTAACAGCTGTTGCGTAACTTAATCCTGCATGCAAGCTCATTGATCAGCCAAGGCGATCCTGATATGTACTTAGGTTGACCACACGCTAAGCCACGACTGTCACAAAATGCATCCTACCTTAAGTACCACATCTAATTTACAAGTTGCAACTGTGGCAGTCTCACCTCTTGTACTCCTCTTTCATAGACACCTATCGTGAATACTTACTGCCGAGGAGAGCGGGTTGACCGGAAAGTTTGTTTTGAGTAGTTACCACGTGCTAAGGCAATGTCTGGGTCGCCTCATTTGCTTGCGGTGCTTTCTCGGCGGCAGCCCTGCCGCCATGATAAGCCATACGCGTAAGTATTTGAGCGCAGTGAATATATTTGAGTGACCTGTAGACCTGAAACAGTTGACGCTATTCATTCCCATCATCTGCTTCATTATAAACCCACTGCATTCATCATGGCGCAATCTGAAGAAACTTCATCCCCGATGCCCGTCTGGTACGTGCCAAATGCGACCGAGGACAATGTAGCGCCGGAAATACGCGAGGTCCTCGTAGGCTACAGTGGCATTCCGCGGGACCAAGTCCTCAACCACGTCGTGAAAATACGCGATGAAGCTTGGAAAGTCTATCCGTATCCATGCATCGGTCAGTTTCGATTTGTCGATCGCAGCTTCACAAAGCCATCCAAGGAGTTTGATGAAATCATACAACGCGTGCGCAACGGTGAAAAGTTGCTAGACATGGGGTGTTGCTTCGGCCATACGATCCGTGAGCTGGTGCATGCTGGTGCGCCAGCCGAAAATATCGTCGGTTGCGACCTCCAAGCCGACTTCATCGAATTGGGATACAAGCTTTTCCAGGACCGGGACAAACTTGCAGCCAAGTTTATCACGGCAGATATTTTTGATCCTGATTCCGCGCTTGCAGATTACAGGGGGCATTTCGATATTGTCCACACAGGCAAATTCTTCCATCTATGGGGCTATGAAACACAGCTCGTAGTCTCCAAAGCTGTTTTTGAATTGCTGCGGCCTCAGCCAGGTTCGATGATTGTTGGCATGCAGATTGGAAACCTCGAGGCTGAGGAAAGACTCTCGCCAACAGGGACGATGTTTCAGCATAACCCAGAGAGCTTCAGGGAGATGTGGGAGAAGATAGGAAAGGAATTTGGTGTCAAGTTGACCGTTGAGGCCCGAATGACAAAGCTCCCCGAAAAGCATTTCAGGCTCTCAGATCATATGAGGGCGCTTTGGTTCACCATCCGCCGCGAGTAGCTCTGCTGTATTTCAGAGCCTGTTCCGTTGTCTAGACATGTACTTGGCGGCTAAGCGCCGGGCTGCAGGGGCCGACTAACCTGTGGGTCTTCGAATCGTCTGGACCATGTACAATACAGATCAGCCAAGATGAAGGGACGATTTCCGGAAGTGATCGCGCTGGCTTGAGCTGTATCTGGAACGAAAAACAACTCGTGGCTGTTTTTGTCATAGTGTATCTGCACTTAGATTTTGCCGGAACCGGGATCTGTAGGGATAATGTACCTGTTGACGGCAACGCCAGCCGCTTTCTAGTATATGCATATTTCCCCAAACTCTTCCAGATTCCATGTTCAATTTCTCGTGTTTGGCTAATTGGCCACTATATCGCGGGACCATACATCCGGTACAGCTATATTGCTAGCTGCAGGAACCAGAGCAGACTTCTGTACGATGGCCATGCTCCACAATATTTCCCGGTGGGTGGCGGTCAATTGCTTCGTGTTCATTAACTACTCTTGTCAAGAGTAGTAGTTTTTTCTCCTGGGCCAAGGTGCTCTGACCGAAAATTTAGAAGGCCGAGAGCCCAGCCATTCATTTATTTCATATTGGAACCCACAATGCTGCATGCGTTCGGACTATATTTACACTACTCAGTATGGGGAAAGACAGGCATCTCTGAATCTATTATAAGTATTGACCTTGCTGGTCCAAGATCACTATCTGGCACCAGTTGAGAGCTCGGCACTTTGTGAAAGACCTTACTACCACCTTAGGCCTGTAAATCACCAACATGAAGGTCTCAATTCTCACTGCAGTATTTGCTGCGACAGCTGAAGCGGCAGTGCGTGGAAAGAGGCAAGCCGGAATCCCCGATGGTAGGGAGAGTCATTTCTTAGAAAAAGCTCACAGCTAACAGCATGAACAGTCAGCCAGTGCGGACTGGACGCATTCGAAGGCCACACGTCTGAAGCATTGCTCTTCTGTTCCAACATTTTGAGATCAGGAACGGCCACCACTACTGTAACCAATGGATTCACGAGAACGGCGACTACGACGACCACGACCACGGTGACCATTTCGCCTTCAGCCACCCCTAAGCCAACACCAACACCAACTCCTACACCGACGTCCAAGCCGACTTCTTCTACTCCTGTACCACCATCTTCATCCTCCACCCGCATACCTCCATCGTCATCATCTATTCCCTCTTCTACAACACCATCCTCGACGCTAGTCTCTTCAACTCTTGTGTCAAGTCCTTCCCCGTAAGCATTCATTTCCTATTCTGCTTAGTGACCATAAATCACTAACGAAACTATAGCACACCTACCGCACCACCCAGCTGCGGCATCGCAGCATACGTCAAAGTTACCCCGGCTTACTACTTCGAATCAAGCGGCACAAAGAATACCTTCGATGCCTGCAGCGCCCTCTGCAAAGCCGACTCCAAGTGCAAGAGCTTCGGCTACGGCGAAGCAAACTGCATGCTCTTCGACGTGACTGTGTACGTAACCCCCCTTCCTCCTACTCCCCAACACCTTTGCTAACCCCCACTGCTTTAGCTCCGAAAACACAAACCTCAACCCAACATCCCCATACACCTTCTACGACTCCTCTTGCCCCTCCGAAATCCCCATCCGCAAGCGCTCCCCTCAACTCGGCATCTCCATCGGCTTGCCCGGCGGCATTGGTATCTCGCTTGGCCTGGGTAATGCAGGTATCTCGTCTGCGTGCTCGTGCCTTATTACTAGTGGCCCGGCTAGGACGACGGTAACGAGAACGGTGAGCAGTGGAACTACGACGACGAGTACGGCCGTTAGTACGGTTACAACGACAAAGGCAGCAGCGAAGTGAGATAGTTGGGAGGGAAGGGAGAGACGAAAGAAGTAGATAGGAATTGAGAATCATTGTGATATTTAACGTGTTTGTATGGTCGTGTTACGTCTGTATAATCAACAAGTGCGTTTTGCTGCCAACTCAGCAGAAATCCGATAAGACGCCTGTACAGAATGTTAAACCGAATACTCGTCGCTGCGTCTCGTTCTAATTCTGACTCGGACCCATGATAACCACCGGTCCCTCGCTTCTCAGCATGAGATATTATCCTGCCGCAATTTCCATCACGGTACCGCATGCACTCTGCTTCAACGCCATTCATCCATTCTCATAAAAACACCAACCCTGCTCCCAAGCAAACCCGCCAAGTCGAGACCGATTGCTCCTCCTCGCTCCATCTCACCCTCACTTTCCTGTTCCATATCTCCCTCTCTTCACCCAATACTCCTCAAACCACTCCTTACAATCATGGTGAACCCAACACCCCGCAAAATGCACCGCCAAATCCCCATCATCCCACATCATATGCGGCCCCCCATTCGCATAAGCATTAAACCTGCGCTGCGGAAAAACACCCACGTGCTTCCTCACCAACTCATGCTCAACCATCAAATGCTTAATTGCATCCTGCTCGGCCAGAGCATGTTCCTTACCCATCAGCATCGTGCGATCCGTCATCATCTCCAAAAAGATCCGCGTGAACGCTGAGCGCCGGAAAAATATGGATCCAGCATTGACAAACTGGTGATCCTGCGTTATGAGGATGTCGACGTCTTCGACGCGGTAGTGGGTTGGTGTGTAGATGTTTGTCTGGGGGCCTTTTCCGTTGAGAAGCATGGTGTTGTGCATTATGCCTTTTTCGATGGCCGAGGGGCTGAGGATGTTGGCGATGAGGGGGACGGAGGGGGACATGATGATCATGTCGGCGTCCATGAGCCAGACCCATTCGGCTTTGGGGTAGAGATAGAAGGCTTCTGCTAAGGCGGGGATTTTGGCCCATACCTATATTCGGTTGTTAGACATTTGAGGGGGGTTTAGATGAGCGCTGAGAGAGATGACGCACCCGGTGGGAATCTCCAATATCGTAGCGACTTGTGTTCAACCAGAGGTTGGTGTAGCCGTGTCGACCGCAGTATTCTTCCCGGTTCTCTAGCACCCGCTCTAGTAAGTTGGGAATCGCATTGTTGTGACCGCCTCCATCGCTTGCGGTCAAGACGATGATGTTTTCGGGTTTCGGCTCGCGCTTGAATCCATGCAGGCTACTTGCGTAGTCGGGTACGTCCCAATTCCATTCTGGTTCGAGCTTGAAGTATTGAGTTTGCGGCCGTTCATTGTTTGGTTTTACTTCTACAACGGTATCACCTGTTACATATTCGCGATATCGCTCGATGGGAATGGCATGGCGGTAGCTTAGGGGAACTATGACAAAGAAAACAGCGAATGTAGCGAATATGAGTCTGTGTAAAGGAATTTTCTCAGCTATCTCAGTCTATTATAGACAAGGGTCAAGAGGTTGACTGAGTGTTGTTTGTATGCCGATCTGGGTAGAGGTACGCACAAATCGCGTTGTCGAAACTGGTTCTGGATTGGAAAACTACTCACTTCTTCGTCCACCACTGCGAAACCTGCATACTGTTTGTCATTATGGGCGCAGGGGCGCTTCTATATCGAAAGGAACTGGGTCGAAAGGAGGCGTGTTGGAATACAAGTCTTCTCGGTGAGATATATACCTTGTTCGTCCGTAAAATCAGCATTCAATTCAACGGCATCAAGATTAGGCCGAGAAACCTCAATATCCCCTTTCTAACAGGACATCCTGGTGAACCATCTGGAGTTTTGCACAGCGGTGTTAGTCCAAAAGGGGTGTAAGGTTCTGACGAGATTATACGCGCGGGACGACCGGCAGGCGTATCCAGGCTCTTGAATGGGAACAACACAATGTTATGCGTAAGCACCTTGGTAATCAGTCATTTTACTGGCAACTGCCGTTTGAGTTTCACTGATGCAGTGCTTGGCAGTACTCATAGCGAACATGTCTTTTCATTTTCTGAATACAAAGCAATAAGCAAAAACACCACGAACTCTACATTCTTCTAGTAGAAAACACCTACCTTTACACGGCTCGACCCGGTAATGCCTCGGAAATTTCTCATCTTGTATCGCAGATCTTGGCGAGATTTCCATTCAAGCAGGCATGGCCTTACACAAATCTCCTTTCAACCAATCAACCGCAGCAGAGACAAGCTTAATCAGCGCTAGTAACGCGCCACTCTCCAAATCTTCCGATCGGGAACCTTCACCTCACAACCCCAGCAAGAAGCTTGTGCCAAAAGAAAACAAAACGTTCAATCACTCCACAAACCGAAAGCCTTCCGGCGTAAAAAAAACAAAAAGAGGAAAAGGACATAGGAAAAGAAACGGAATAAAGAAAAAAAATGTCCTACCTAACCCAAATCACAAACCTAGCCGAATACGTGGCCTGCATCCAAGCCACAGCCGGCAAAACCATCCTCCTCGCCTACTGGCCCGAAGACTCGACGTCCAACGAAGTCGTCGCGGCGCTGCAAAAGCTGCTGCCAGCGTCGAGCTACGCAGAGCACGAGGTGGTAGACGTGTACTGCTTCGACATGTATTCGCTGCCGGAGCTGGGAACCATGCTGGATGTCAGTTTTGTTCCGACGCTCATGTGGTTTAGAGATGGGGTCATGGATCCGATTGTGTGGCATGAGGGTGTGGCGATTGAGGGGGAGAGCGTGGAGAGGGGGGTTAAGCGCGTGGTGGATAGGGTCAAAGGGGGGGATATTGCGGGGGAGGATAGTGATGATGATTGGTAGGTTGGTTTGGTTTGGTTGGGGACGGGGTAGAATTGAGGGGGGGTGTTGATGGGTGCGGATGACGGGGTTGGGATTGCGGTCGATGCTGGCTTCGACATGATACTCGTCTTGGCACCTTTTTCTATCCCATCTCCTCGGACGGCCCTTCTGGAACGGACGGCTTTGATAAGCGTAACATAAATTTCAGCACTTCGGTAGTATCTATCGCAGGACCCTTTTTCCGATGGCGCAAGGAGAATGCACATTAGTCTTACAGGGGACTTGTTAGGGCTCTGATGACAAAGGATCAAATAGCCGTCAGAGTACGAACTGTGGATTTTAGTCATACAGCATGAAAAATAGAATATGTTTCCATTAAACTAGTAAAAACAGAAACTGGAATGATGTCTTGCACAAAAGAAGCCCAAAGTTGTCACATGGTCATCACGTGTCGTAATATCACACTCCTACATCTCTCTTGCTTACTCGAACCCTTCAATCCACAACCTCGAGCATACTATACGCCTTATGCTCCACCGATTTCTTTACCACTGCCAACGGATCAATCTTCTTTGTCACCTTCTTAATCTCCATCATGCCATCCGCCCCTTCAACTTCCACTTCCTCCTCCTCAATCTCCTGATCGTCGTCAAACGCCCCAGTCTCCAGGAAGAGCCTGAGCATGCCTTGCGAGTAACCCGAAACAAGCGCTGTATTCGCATCGTCCATGGTCGCCGGCTTGCTCGTACTGCTTCCAGCAAGGTTCCAGAAGATGAGACGTGGAACCTCGTAACCCGCCTCCGCATACGCATCTTTAATGCGTTGGAACGAGTATGTCCATCGTTTCTCTGCTCCGTAGGCTGCGTTGAACTGCATATCGCTAAATACAAAAACCTGCTTGACCATATCTTCTTGCTTGAGCTTGTTCTTGATGGCCATGGGGAGAATGACGTCTTTGAAGACGGCAACGAGATCTGTGCTACCACCCCAGGGGCTGTGCTCCAGAAACTTGACTTGCTCTCTGAGTCCTTCGCCTGCACCGCTTGTAGAAATGTATGCGGGAGTAGTTTCAAAGGTGATGAAGCCGTTGCCAAAGGGCGGTGCTGTGACCTCTGAGATGAGGAGGGAGAGGCCAATGGCGGAGTCCATGGGACATGAGCCATCTTTGAATACTGGATAGCCCATACTGCCACTGACGTCGCATACGGCAATACTAGATTGCAGAGTGCCTGCGTCGCGTACGCGCTTGACGAGAGTCTTCCATTGGCCATCGATGAGATCGCCAAGTATCTTGTCTTGGTTGCGCTGTTTGGCAGCCTTGAAGTCAAATTTCTTGCCCTTCATCTGGGGCCCCTGCCTACTAGCGGTGCCTCGTGCTTTGCTGACTAGCGTGGATGGCAGCAGGGTAGCGCCAGATATGGTTGCAGTTCCGGCGGTGACGTGATTGACGTAGGTGGTAAAGCGCTCCTCATCTTTCTGCATGAAAAGTAGACTGTAACGGTCCATGGCAAGTGATGGTACCTGTTCATACTTGATATTCTCAAAGGTTTTCGCGGCAATCTCCCGCTCAACGACTCCCAAGGCCTTGCGTAGAGGTGATGCATACTGTTTTCGATACAGCTCGCGGACATGGCGGAGGTAGAGTTCGCGGTTGCTGGCATCAGGACAGTGCAAGGCAGGATCTGGGAAGAGAATTTCGGCAATAGAAGACTGGATGAATGTCTGCTTGTCGTGAAATTCACCAAAAGTGGGCGCCCACTTGGCTGCGAGCGATATCTTTTTCAAGTCTGATGCCTTTCCAGAATCCAATAGGGCTTTGTCAGACTTGAGTTGCTGTGCAAACAGTCTTGCGACAGTAATGTGTAGCGCACGATGGAAAGGATCGTTCTTCAGTTTGTCTTGTACCCGTTGGTTGTGTTCTTGTCTTTGGCGATGTCGAGTTTCTTTCGCAACCTTGGGATCCCAATTTCTTATTTTCTTTGAGTTCGTCTTAGTATCGATAACCTGGTTGAGCAGAGAGGAAGGGTCGCCATCGAACTTGAGCTGGTCATTTGCTGAAAATACTACTAGATTGAGGAGATCCTTCCAGTACCCATGTGACAATCCATGCTTGACGTCGTATGCTTTGGAAGGATCAGACTCGCCAACCTCTACCATTTCAAAATCGTCTTCGAGTTTTTTGATCGAGGTATCTTTGGACTCAGGCTTTGGCTCGGCCTTCTTCGCTATGACGGGTCGAACTAGCCACTTTAGATTTGCCAGAAACGTCAAAGGATGGTTCTCGACCAGCCAGCCCAAGGCTGTGTACGTGGTGAGTCGACTACTTTTACCCAGATGAATGCTGCGTGCGTTGAATATGATTTTCAAAGTTAGCAGAGGGTCTTCGTTCCAGGCATCTTTGAGTAAGGTCTTGAGTCTTTCGGGCCCGGTAGCCTGGCCAAGGTCATAGAATAGGTCCACGAGCACATCTTTCGATGAGATGTTGGTAATGTCGCCGTTTTCCGTCAAGTTCTGGTTGTTGGCCGCAAGTTGTTCATCTGTTCGCACGTGGGCGGCATGATTTTCCAGGCCAGCGACGAACGGCGCTTTCTGTGGACGGAGATTGTTAGCGTCAGACGACGCCTTTCGCTTCAATCCTGTGCTACTCACGGGCTCGTTTCCAGCAACGGTGACTGATTCGCTGCCATTGGCAGTGGATTTCTGTTCGCTGCGCTCTTCCAAGCCATCTGCGTGTATTTGCTGCTCCAGGAGATGTTGGAACTCGTCTTCTGACATGTGTAGTGCCACATCCTCTGGAAGAAATACAGGGAAGGATGAATTCAGCACTGAGTGCTTCTGTGAGCCGGCAGCATCAGTGTTGGCAGCCATTTTGAGTAGATGGCCCTGGGTTCTATGCTTGGTGTTTATTGGATTGCGGACATTTATATATACACAAGGTGTGAGTCAAGACGGAAGAGGCACAGTAGGTGTGGGTGTGGGGTAACTGGGGGCCTTGGAAGATGGAGGTGTGTGGTTGCCTATGGAGGAGCTTGCAGCTTTGCCACCGCCTGGATCCATAAATCCTACCATTGAAAAGAAAGGGCACAGCAAGACGAAAGGGCGCAGCTGTTAGTTGCCAGACAATTGTGAGGGTTGATCGAGACAGTAAACGCGTACCGAAATGCCAGGCTAAAGATAGTGCGGCCTAAAAAGAGAAGACGAGTGGGCGAGCTGCGAGCCTGAAAACAACCACGGGATATTGAGCACTGCATTGCCCGTATGTTTGCGTGTGAGTAGTAAGTAGGCAGCCGGGGTCACGTGACTATCACGGTACCTGTGCCATGGACGAGGGATGGGGATCGGGAGCAATGTCGATCACAACGCTTAGTCTCTTGACGTGTACAGGATAGTCGCGACCTGAACGGGCAGCTATTCCGTGTGTACATAGGTAGTTGACAGCATTGAGATGTAGTTGGCCTCGCATTGCCCTCTGGCGGTAGCAGCAGAGCTGGGGAGCAAGAGAATGGGCGGATGCGTCATCTCACCGACAGCTGCTGCGACACCCTCTAGCCTTGGTGCATTTCTGGACGCCTCGACAAAAACTCTGCGCACGTGTAGACAGCCATTGGCACGCCTGCTGGGATGTCCATGTCCTCGAACCCGCCGTGACCGTCAAGCTAGGCTTGGGGATGGCCTGAAAGCCAAGGCTGGCACGGCCTTCCGTACCACTTCCAAAACTCCGTATTGACCCTTGGGATACGTAGTGTTTACAGGTGCCTTGAACCTGGCTCGCGGGCCGGACTCCACTTGACATGGCATCGTCCCATGCTCAACCCCAGAGTCTTCGCCATGCCAACGACCAAGCCCTCTGGCCCGCCGCCCCCGTCCAGCTCGCGCGCGGCCGCCAGCCCAGAGACGCGCAGGCCAAGACGGTGCCCTTCACCAACATCACCACCTTTGACCGCTTCGAGGCCTCAGTTCGCGACTATCTCAGCAGCCCGCCAGAGGACCCGGAGCACACAGACGCCCAGTTCTCCTTCTGGATAGGCACCCGTTTCTCAGTCCCGCCACCCTCATCCACGTCGACATCCCGCCCGTCCCAGCAACAGCCGTCATCTCAGCAGCCCCCGTCGCAGCAACAGCAGCCACCGCAACAACAGCAACAGCAACAGCAACAGCAGACTCGCCTCCCCCACCACCACCAACAACAACCCCATGCCTCGTCCAGCTACCCGTCTGCCCCATATGGCAGGCCTCCGCAATATCAGCCTCTCCCAGACCCCACTCTTGCACCCCGGCCCAGCTTCGCCGAATCCGTCGAACCGAATAATGGGCCCAAGAAAGTGGAGCTCAGGGTCGAGTTGACTGTCGCGGAAGCGTTGCAGCCGACGCCAGACCCCAAGGACAAGATGCGGAAGCAGAGGGCAATAGCAAAATGCTGCGTCGATGCAATACAAAAGATCGATGGGTACCGCTACAGCTTCCACAATTGCTGGAATAGCAGAGAGGATGACAGCTTCCGCTTCTCCTACTACTGCAACGACTCGCTCCTCAACAAGGACCGTGCTGCCAATGGCAAAGGCGCAAAGATGGGCAAGCGTGCTACCAAACCTGTCTACGACTGCAAGGGCGTGCTGTCTGTCAAGTTCTCGGCCTCCAAGCAGACGCTTGATGTCTTCTACAAGCATGTGCCCATTCATAAGACATACGAAGAGCGCGCACCACCCCCACGCAAAGATTCCAAGCGGCGAAAGTATCTCGAGGAGAATGATCCAGAGGCATTGGCCAGGCTCACGACTCGATCCAGACAGCTGAGCAGCGAGGATCCGGACGTTCCCAAGACGAAGAGAAAGAAGCCTCCAACTCCATCTCTTCCAGAGCCTCCAAGGTTGTCCAACACTTCACTCGAAAGTGATCTAAGAGCTCAGAGTCTTCGATCGCTTTTGGAGCTCATACAAGTAGACGCGCCTTCACAGATAGCGCCAACATCCTCTGCACCACCTCCCCCTCCCCCTCCACCGCCCCCACCTGCTCCTCCTCGCCCTGCTCAGCCAGCACAAGAGCATCCGTCAGCCCCGCAAAACACACTGTATGTTGAACCTCAGATTGGGCAGACACCACAAAGAAAGCGACCCAGGACTAGTTGCAATGCATGCAAGACAAAGAAGACAAAGGTAAGTCTACAAAAAGAGTGGAAGACGTTGGCACTCGTCCTACTACCCACGCTTTACGGAATTGACATGATTGCAGTGCGACAACACACGGCCAATATGTCAAACGTGTATCAACAAAAACCGGGAATGCTTCTATCCAGAATCCGCGACCGATGAGGACCAACGTCCGCCTAGCGGTCCTCCCGAGCCGACTCCACACTCCCGTCAAGCGTCTCACTCTGGCCAGGCTTCGAATAACGAATCCGAGCTTGAAAGGTTGAAGAGAGAGTTGGAAGAAGCTAAAGCAAAGATACGCGAGTTCGAGACGGAGAGGCGCTCCTCGACCACTCCAGTGCAAGCACCGCATACTGCACCTCGACCACGGTCGCAGTCGCAACAAATTCATGTCCAGCCACAACAACCGCATGTCCAGCAGCAGTCACACGTTCAGCAGCAACCACGGCAGATGCGGCCTCAGCCTCAACCCCAACCTCAGTCTCAGCAGCAGCCTCAGCCTCGCCATCGCCCGCAGGTCTCACAGTCCCAGACAATGCCCCAAGTTCCTCAACAGCAGAAGCAGCAAACCCCACAACGCCAACAGACCATGCCAAGCCATCGCCAGCAACTATCGCAGCTCAACCAAGGCTCGTCGCGTGGCATTGGCAGCCCTCCACAGCAGTTGTTGTACAAGGTTGGCAGTCAATCCCCACAGCAACGTCCACAACAACGTCTTCAGAGCCAGCAGCAGCAGAACCAAATCGGGGCATCGCAGACAATGACGACAACACAACAACAGCTCCAAGCACACCAGATTCAGTCCTCTCAACTCCAAACACCCCAAAACTACTTTGCAACCAACCACTCTAACCACTCCCCTTATGGCACTCTGAACAGACCAATACCTCAGAACGGGCATACCGTCAACGTCATGGCCAACCAGAATGCACTTATGCCACAAAACAGCATACCAATGCAAAGCAACAATGTCCAAACAGCGCAAGCCCAGCCACAATCCTCGAACCAAACAAACCAGGAAATGCTCTCTTCCAACGAAGGAATAGCCTCTGCTGCAACAAATCTCAACCCAAACAATCCTTTTGTGAGAAATGACTACGCATGGCCTGCTTCTACATACTATGGCTTTCAAAATCAAAATGCGCCTCAGCACCAACAGCAACAATCTCAGGACTCTCAGCAGCAGCAGCAAGCACAGGCTGATGACGCGCAATGGGGCTAAAATAAGGAAACTTGAGTGGGGTTTTTTTAACTCAATCAGGATCGATTATATTGATCTCCCTTTCCCTTCTCCCTCCACTCCCCTCCTTCTTCTTCTCAACTTTGGGGTTTCTTTGAATCAAAGTATCATGGTAATCTTGATGACAAAAACTTTTGGATTTTCACTTCTCATTCTCTCTCTCTCTCTATGTGTGTGTGTGTGTGTGTGTGTGTGTGTGTGTGTGCAAGGGATAACGTTGGCGTCCAGCTTGTCTTATCTTTTTTTGTTGTTGTTTATGAATTTTGCAGCAGAATACGAATTTGAAATATTTGGCGTGTAAAAGATTTAGATACCCAGTCATTTATTCAAGTCGCTCTTCTTTTGATTGGCCCAGAAGTTTTTTTTTGGTTTCTTGATGCGGGGAAATTTTTTTGGAGGCGGGGTGGTTCAAAAGTGAGATTTGAAGTATGGTTGTGGGATGAACATGTTGCAAAATGAGTTGAGTCCTAATAAATGTCAAGGTGAATGAATTGTAGTTCTCAGTCAGTCATGCGTGTGTTTGATAAGAAACAAGCGGTCAAACTTCTCTTCTTTCATTCTGGACAGCAATGATTACAATTCTTCAAACCATACCAGATTGAAATAGGTACCTTGTCATACGTCCCTCTCAACGCCAGAATGCCGCTTGAATATGCCTGGGCTTCGCTAACCTAAACGCATGCTGTATTACCCTCTGGTAAAAATGAACCACCCCAAAATAACGCCCTGCAATGCTAATGACTATTCATACGCTTAAGCCTCTGGGTCAACTTTGTCATTTTCCCCTTTTGGCGTGGTCTTGTTCGCACTAGTCTCTCCATCTTCCACCACTTTGTCATCTTTCTTGGTTTCCGACTCTTCCTAGAAGCCAATCTTGGAACCCAGACCCCGGAACGTATCGCCAATGCCACTGCCCATAGAAGCTGACTTGTCGTTTGTCTTGTTTGGCTGAACTTCCAATCCGGCTGCCAACATGTTCAGCCGTGTCAATCGAAGGCGAAGGGTATGGTCGTACGACTCTGCCATCTTGAGCGCCTCTTCTTGTACTTCGTGGCGAGGGTCTCTTGGGGGGCAAATGAGTAAGCGGTCGACAAGATCTATCCGTGCATCCAGTTGGTGGTTCTTGATCATTTCTTCCAAATCTTCTTCAATCGTTCTGCCTTCAGCTGCAGGGAATTTCGAAGCCATTTCGTCGAGCGTGACACAGCTGAAAGGAATGAAGTATTGCACAATACTCTTGTTCCGGATGCGACTGTAGATTGTCTTCAGAATCTTGGAAAGATACACGTCGAGGAGATAGTCGTTACGGTAGCCTTCGAGTACTTCGAGACAAGCACTGTACTTGGAGTTGCAGAAGAGGTTGATGGCGCGGCGGATGTGCGGTTCGAGTTCCAAGAAATTGCGGAATTCAGTGTTTGCGAGAACTTTGCTTTGCAGGTCGCTGCGATCCATGTATGCCAGAGCGCAGAGACCACCGTAGACTGCCACGTCATTTGGTGAAATAACCTCCTTCTGCCACTTGATGTATGCTGCGGGCTCCGCAGTCAGGTACGCTGCCGAAGTGTTGAGAAAAGCCGTTGCGGCCTCCCTAAAGTTGCCCATTGCCATGTGACATAGGCCGCTGCATGCAGATATGATGGGTTCCAGCTTGGCTTTCTCTTCACCCTTGACCTGCGTGGCCTCTGACTTTGCTAGGTTTGCCAGTACGTTTGTCCATGACTTTTGTGCAATGCTGACGAACACGAGGCGGAGGGTCATATCGGCGAGGTGTTTCGGTGAGGTGCAATGCTCGCGCATCTTCATGTATGCCTTCTGTGCATTGGAGAAGTCGCCAATGTCATAGTAGAAGTGGCCGAGGTCCTCATTGCCCATCTGTGGTTTGTCAGAGCCAGAGTTATGGAACGATATCTCTGACCACTTACCCGTATGCTCTCCTTGATCAGGTTGTTCTTATACGACTTCAACTCGTGCTCCAACCTGTCATGCTCCTCACGGACTTCCCGTGTCTTCTTCTCCGCCCAAGTTGTGTCCACCAAGGCAGCAGAGTCATCTGGAGCAATGCTGCTGAAATCTTCGACTAATTTTGTATACAACCCGACGTTCTTACCTTTTTTTGTTTCGGCAATAGCCAGGCGATATGCATCGACAGCAAGGTATGGGGAGTGGGCACCAATGTGATACAAGCGATCGATTCGCGTATAACCTACCAGAATACATGAGTACTAGCTGGGTGTCTGATTCATGGTGCAAGAGTCGTACCAGTGTAGTTAGCGATATACGACTCCAGGTCGAACTTGGGAGGGTCTAACACATTTAGCACTGCATACCCCACGACAGGGTATTAGTTGACATCATACCCTTGACGACGATTTCGCCCTTGGCCTTCTGCTGCTGGAAGAAGGGAGACTGCTCAATACTCGACGCCATTATGTTGGTTGTCGTGTTGTGTGTGTCGTGTCTGCGGCGTCGGGAAAGCGGGCGGATGGGCAGTTGATTGTTGGAGCTCCAAGCTGTCCCCGTCGCTGCTGCCTTCCCCACGGCGGGGCGCATTGCGCCATGACTAAGCACAGTCCCCTTCCCTTCACTTTTGCCTCGCTGCATTTGACTGGCATGCTTTATCACGAGCTGGCAATTTGCAAGCATTGAACAGTGTTTGAAATTATCTTAAGTGGATTGATATATGGATTCAGAGAAAACTACATCTTCTCGCGGCCAGCCACGTACAGATATGCCCTTTTCGTTCACATATATTTACCCACTCATTAATCCCTTCTGTCCTCTCCCTTGTCAACGCCAACAAGCCCCAAGAAGAAAGCAAGACAAGAGCAGAGCCCAGTGGTATCGGTTGAATAAGAAAAAAAAGAAAAAAAGAAAACAGATACTTTGATGGTACAACAGAAAAGTTTCGTCATCGCATGTCATTAGCCGTGTCAGTGTACGGGTCAACCATGATGCCTGCCAGGTAACCTTTTTTTGTTCGCTTTGCATCCTTTGGTGTCCGCCAGAAAGAAACGGACCGAGGAATCGCTCAAAAACGCTCCAATCGAAGAGAGACCAAATATTTAAATGTTGTTTGAACCAACACGTCTTTTACACTGTCCACGCAAGCGGCATCGTCTCCATGGATGGAGCACCGCTTGAGATGATGTTGTCAGGTACCCAGGCGCCCCTCTCCTCAGCAGTGGCACCATGCAGCGCCTCAGCGCGGTTGAGCGTCTGCACATCCAGGTCTGTGACATACGCCTTGCCATCAGGCAGCTTCATGCGTACTTCAAACTCTTGGTCAAGCATCATGTCGTCTTTCCACAGTCTGCGTTGGCCGTCATACACACACAAGACGCGTTTCTTCATCTTCATCTTGTCGGTAGCGCAGCCCCAAGAGACGGGGTAGTTTTTGCGCTTTTTGCGTCCGGCGCCAGTAATGGCCACACCACCTTTGGAGAAGGTGAGGCCAGCGCGCGGACTAGACTTGGTGACGCGCGCAGAAGAAATGTGTTGGGTTGGGTTGTTACCACCCCCGACGTGCTGCGTTGCGCCGACACCTCGGGGATGTGTTGATTGTCAATGCGACTTGGTGGACTTGATGCCGCCCCTGCCTGAGCGGGTGTGGCGGCTGCCCCAAGTAGCATCATCTTGGTCATCGTTGTCTACCTCCTCCTCTTCGAAGTCGTCCTCATCATCGTCCTCATACTTGGGGATCGTGTACTCGATGCTCTTGGACAGGCCATTTCGGTCCAGCGTCTCGGTGACATTCTTGTCCTCCGCGACAGAGGTGAGCAGACGCTGGTTGATGGCCTCTGTAGGGTCGGTTTGCTGCACAACGCGCAGCACGCAGTCGTCCAAGTGCTCATAGAACTCTTGCGCGTTGGCAAATGTTACTGAACAAGTGGAGCAAGTGCCGGCAACGCTAGGCTGCGAACTGCCAAATGACTTGCGGCTTGCGGAGCTCTTCTTGCGGCTGTTGGGAGGGTTTTGCTCAACGGCATGAACTGATGTGAGATGCCTCTTGAAGACATCGGCGCGGTTGAACGACTTCTCAGCCGCTGAACCACTGCCTGGACAGAAGCCACAGACCATGGTGCCCTTGTAGTGGGTGAGAGTGTGGCGGTTTTTGTCGTACTTCCTTGCGAAGCCCTTGACGTGGTACTCGCAAGTGGTGATTGGGCACTTTTCGGGCCTCTCGTTTTGGTGGGTGAGCATGTGTGCCTTTAGATCTTTGAAAACACGTCCGCATTCTGGGAGTGGGCACATGCCCTTCTCCCGTGTCTCGTCGTCTACACCGTAGCTGCTAGAGCTCTTGCGGCTTGTGCCAGAGTTTTGTGAGTGGAGGGAGTTGACTGAGCTTCGTCGTTGGCCGTTGTACTTGGGGTAAGGGTGGTATTGTTGAGTGTGGAGGTATGGGCTAGCGCTGGACTTCTTGATCCGTGCGGAGCCTGGTCGTTGGCTATATGAAGAGAACTGCGACAGGGCTGGAGATGGTGGTTGCTCAATGACTGGGAAGTAAGGAGAAGGTGTAGTCCTGATCTCAGGATAAGGGCTCTGAGGAGCAAACGCAAAAGGCTGAATGAGATTAGGATCTGCTTGCAGCACGTTAGTCTCTAAGAGTCTCTTGAAATGGAAGGTGACCAACAAGATGGAAAGAATGGAGAAAAACGTGGCACTGATGTAACAGAAGAAGAATGGACTGGCGGAGAGTTGCGTGGATAGGTTTTGTGACTAAGAAAAGAGTTCGACCTCGCAGTAGACCGAGTCGCCGAGGCTGGAGTGACAGGTGTTTTGAAGACATTTTGCTTTGGGTTTGGAGATGGAACAGAAGAAGACGAAGAAAAGGAAGAAGCGGCTATGGAAGAAACCAGTGACTTACCCACATACGACTTGTCGTTCGCTACCATGCCTGAGTACTCAAAACCAGATGTGAGTCCCCCCATGGGCATTGGGTTCCATGGCTCGGTGAATTGGGGTACAAGTGATGGGGAGCCCACGGCAGATGAAGATACGGAAGCACCAGACTCTGATGATGCTGACAAGACAGGTGGCATCTCGTGAAAAGAGTTTGATATTGAGTGAGGGGATCCTGCTGGTGTCTGGTACTGATATGATGGCTTGACACCTTGCGCGATGGCGTCGTAGTGGAACTGGAGGTCTTGCAGCCTTGGAGCGTCTGCAAGAGGAGCCATCTGGTCAAAGGGTGCGGTGAAGGTGTGGTCCATACCAAATGTTGAGACAGGCATGAAGGATTGACTTTGTTGGTAGTCAATGTGCTGTTCCTGAGAGTGAGAGTAGAGCTCAAAGTCGTGAGCCATGCCAGGCGTGTATGGGGCGTAGTCGACCATGATGGAGGATGCAGTATGTGAGGCAATAGGAAATGGAAAGGCTACAGATGGAGGAGCAGCTTGATGCCTATTTGCCCAGACAGGGTCAGCATAAGCACGGAGTTCGAGCAATCAGGATCGCCGCGGTTTGGGTTGGTCGCGCAAATTAGAGGGACCAGCAGGGGAAAGCTTACCCTCGTCAAGAGAGTGTCGATCAATGTGTCGACTTGACGTATGGGTCGGCGATGTGTGAGTATCGTCGATGCTTTTTGCCGATCCTGTACTGTTTCCGGCTACGGGAGTGACAGCACGTAGTCCCGTCGAGGAGCCTGAGGCTAGCCGAAGAAGCGAGGGATAAGTCCTGAAGCGGGAGCGGGAGTGGTTGAGCAAGGCAAACCAGGGCGTCGGAGAGATCTCAACAAAGAAATGGGTACTGTTGATCAGAGGCCTGGGACTGGAGGAACGATGCCTCGGGGGCGAAGTCGGTTTATACACGAGGCCAGAGACAGGACCAAAGTGGCCCCCAGCGGGATGGAGTGCACGAAGCCACCAGGGCGGCATGGCCCACCCCTGCCCCGAAGGTATGCTGCCCTACGGGCGCCTGGGCCTCTAGCATGAGGTGGCTGTTTTGGAGCAGTCAGGCCACGCTAAGAAAAATAAAAGAAGGCACAAGTTACCGGCCGCCGTCCATTCTGCTCCCCGCCTCGATCGCGCGCCCCGACCGCTTTGTGGTAGGCTAGGCTGGCAGCAGTCGCGGTGTGCCCGACCCCCGTCCGCGCGAGTCGGGCCACCTGGTGAGCAGGCCATACCGAAAGTAACGAGGGGCAGAGCAGCGCCAGCGAGTAGGCATGCAGAGGGCGGGAGCGTCCAGGCTGCTTTTGGCAAAGACAAGCGGATTAGGGATGGGCCCTGAAGCAAAGCGTACGCTAGATGACCGCTCCAGTCGGGGAGCCATGGGAGGCATGAAGCCATGGGCTGCCATTCCACAGGCCTGGCGTCAGGAGCGCATGTCATTGGCGGCCGTCTCGCTCTGCCCGGTTCGCGGTGGTCAAGATCTGTGGCTGGTGAGCGGCTGTGCAAGATGCGGGGTGCTGATTGGCCCGTCGTGGTGCTGCTAATTTTACCGGTCCTTTGGAGTGCCCGAGCATTGCCTGCAACGGGGCAGCTTAGCGAGTCTGCTCGTGGGGCTCAGCAGGCGCAGCGCCTGCCCTGCCCCCCTTCACCCCCCGGTGCACCCCCCCGTCTGGCGGTCCCTCTGGCAGACATCGCAGCGTGCTGACTTCACCGCGTTTCCTACGGTATCATTGTCGTTGGTGGGACTCGCTGATGCAGTAGTAGCACCAGCACATGTTGCAATGCATCCTCGTCCACAACGACTCTCTGGCCCTCGCGGTGAGCACAATGCGAGGCTACACACCTACACTGTGTGCTACGTGGCGTGATCCGTCCTTCTGAATAATCACAGCCTGGCTGCCAGCCTGCCAGCCTGCTGTCGTTTGTTAGACGAGAGGGGGTATATGCACGAGACGTCGCCGTCTGCTGGATCCCACCCCATGTGACGGTGACTTGCACATGATTTGGATGCGAACATGGCAGGTAATTACACCCCGCCTTGTCCCGGTTAGAGTATCAGACGGCCTGCATGTGGGGTGTATGGTCGCCGTACCAATCTCCCTCAGTGCGTCCTGCCAGGTCGCCCTTCGCTCTGTGCCCTCCCACGCCTTAATTCTCGCCATCTCAGGCTACCGAGGCCATCCTGCCTGTCACACACGGACCTCACGTTCCGTACCATGTCCACGCATAAGTAATCTCGACAGTCAGCGAAGCAACCCGACCTGCTTCGCCTGGTCCCTGAACGCCCATGACCCGACGCGGTGGATAAGGTTGTTCAACCCGCGAACCACAGGCTCTTCTGGAACCAGCACGCCTACCGAGTATACCCTCCTGGAGCATACCACGTACAACTGCGCATGATTATTGACTGTGTTACCGTACCCGATGCATATGGACAATCCAATCTTGCACCCCTGCTCCACTCGCGCTCCATCTCGCTACTTCTGTTATTTACTTAATTGCTTACTTCTTAACCATGGGCCCGTCGGCTCAAAAAAATTCGTCAGCGTCGCAACTCAATACGCAACTTTGTTGTTGTTGTTGGTGCTGGCGCTGGTGCTGTTGCTGCTCCATGACAGGTACTCCAGGCGGCGTGCAAAGGGCACGCTTATCGCAACATTTGTGCCGCCATGATGAGCCCGACGATCGAATCGCACCACTTCCCTAATCCAGACTATTTTAGTCTACGAAATCACTGTCGCAGTCGATGCGGTAATGAGGCAGTGTACCAGGACAGTTTTGGGTTTGTGCATGCTGCCGGGTAGTTGGTCCAACTCCAATGCCATCGGTCTGTGACTGGTGATATGCAAGACAACGAACTATTTTGGTCCTGCGGCCCGCAGGATGCAATGTCCGTGGGGTCGTTTGATTTCCTGTACGCAATCGATACTGTAATCCGGCCACGCCAACGCCAGTATCGTGATCGTGCAGTCAGAGGCCAAGGGCGCAATGAAACTACTGCAGGAGAAAGACAGCTTGTCTCAGTGCTGTAATTGTGCACCGCCACAGGCACTCTTGTTGCCAGTCTTTTACTGCAGCACCCGGTGAGATGGGTGCATGCTCTAGGCCCCTCAGGGATCAAGGGTCGGTGCTCCCTGAGCATGTTTGTGTGTGTGTGTGTGTGAATGACCCAACAGGACATGGGACGCTCCGCCCCAGACTGTGGCAGTAGTCCAGATCGCTCCGTGACTGGCATTGGCCCTGCTTGCTGTGAAGCTGCACCTGCAGAGAAAAGGACCGACAGCAATGGCGCTACGTACCGCCAGGGTGCGTAAGTCAAGTCATTTGTGTCTGTGTTGAACATGGCATCTTGAAAATATAGATTGAGTGATGATAATCGCATGCGCCAGTGTGCAGGTAGCCGTGCGGCCCGTGACGTGTTGCAAGTTGACAGAGTTTGAACGTACTCTATACAAGTCCATACGAACGAAGATCAAGGGCGCAGGCGGTCATAGCGGCTGTGATGTGGGTGTGCACGTCTGTTGCGCATGTATTTAGGCGAAGCGGCTTTTGCCGCTGCCAGCAGTGTCGAGACAGGCGATCGTGGCAACAACCTTCATCTTGCCCTCCCTCCCCCCAAAAGGGGATTTAAGCTCCATCAAGTCATGCTTGCATGGGCCCCAAGATTCAGGACGCCCATAGAGGCTGGGCAGAGCAGTAGTAATAGCCGTACGTGTGTAATCGGCACTAAAATGGCTCCAATGGTCTGATTTCGTTCTCATTATCGTTCTCAAGGGCGGCCGGTGTTGGCTTCGCGCTGGTCAGCGATTGATTGGGTCGGATTTGGCAAGGGCGTCGCCTATAACGGGGAGGAGTGCTAAGATCACTCTGTGGCCGCCCGTTTCTGAACAGTTGATGGTGGTGGAGGTGGTTATGGTGGTGTGTACCTTTAGACACATGGGCCGTTCAAAGCCACCTGGACGGGTGATCAGCAAGTGATGCCTGCTAGGAGAATACCAGCAGTTTGGCACCGAGCGTCAAGCAGTAACCACCATCTGGGCTCATGCGACGCGAACGATCCGAGGGGGGGAACGACAGCCGGTCCATGACCTTGGGCTCGATTGCTGGCTGGCTCGATGGCGATGGCGCTGTACCCCCTCTTTCTCTCACGGCCTCGTGCATTTGTGCGAGCTTGGAGAGCCATTTTTGGCATGACTGCAGCGGTAACGAATGCGATGGAGCAGAGGGGCGATGAGACTCAGACTCAGGCTAGTGGCTAGCGAATGGCCGTTGCGGGCTTACAGAGACGCCAGATTAGTTATCGACGGCCGTTGCGTCGGCTCACCGTGAGTGTGGATGGGCCGATGGGCCAGAGTTTGGTGGTCGGTTTCGGGCTCGCCTAAAGCAAGTGACCCCGCAGCCAAGCCACCGACCCAGAAGAGGGAGAGCAAGACCCGGCCAAATGGGTCGCTGATCCTTCCCGCGCCCCATGAGCGGAGCGACACCATGGCTGCGAGACATATGAAGGGCTAAGCGTGGACAAGCACGCACGACAAACGTACGACTTTGGCTGCCCCCTCCCACGCCCATCTGCCTGCATCACTAACCACCCATCTCTCTAGCCATGTCTTCGACAGAGCCTCATCATGTGGCCAATCCCCCCTTTCGCCCCGCACGCGCACCAATGCCCAGGCGAGGCGAGAGCACACGCACACACTCACTGCTTGCACACTCTACTACACACACTGAGGTGGCCCGGGTCGACACATGGCAAGGAAGATGACGCACCCATGCACTTGCACTCACCTCTAGGAAGCATCCAACCGCGATCGACGCCGGCCTCGCAATCAGAGTTCGGATTCGCAAACATGCCTCTTCTGATGAAACTTCCCGGAGCAGTGCCCTAACGCTGGCAAGCCTAAGTATCCAAGCACCGCCCGTAGCTGCAAGGGCCGCCAAAGGCGCTGGTACATCTACACGTATGTGTATACGTATGTACATAGCTACTGTGCATGCAAACATACACACTTAGGCTCTGCCTCGACTGCGATCGCTAAAGCTTGCCCATTCTTGTGGTACCGAAACCATATCTGCTCGCTGGCGTGCGTTGCAAGGGAGCGCTGTCTCATCCCCAGAGGCTAGCCTACAAGGTACCGTCACCCATGGCCGCGGACTTGCGACACCATGGACGCGCCGGGTCCGGGCCCGGGGCCGACCAGACCCTGCCATGTCAGGACCAACTGGCAAGCGAGCACAAAGCAAACATGTCTTTGTCTGCACTTGGGCTCTCCATCGCCTCCGTGGCCTCCATCTGTGATATTGGCTTCAACTGACGGCTCTGCTTTTGCCCTTTCTAAAACACTCCTACGGGCTTGGACGACAGGGAGGCGTACAAGGGCTTGCGCCGAGCCCGGCACATGCCTTGCCCATATCGTGTCTTTTGGATTCTGGCCCCCAATCTTCGCTTACCCCAGTCTCTCCCCCATGTATCGGGCGGCAACTCGACATCCACTCCCGTCTGCACCATACCGGAAGCTGGTGATAAGAATTGCTTTTTCCTTCAGGGCCGGGGTGTTTAGGAGCATTCCCGCAATATCGCGATCCTTGGTTGGCGACCATGCAGCGTGGACGTGTTGATTTGGCGCCTATCCTGTAAGGTTTTGCCCAACATGGCACTATTTCAAGAGTGGCGCCGACGTGGTCCTCCGCGTCTGGCTTGGGGGCCAACTGCGTGGGTGAATCCGGTGGTCACGCACTGTGTCAGTCAGGCAGCCATGCCATGCTGTAATGTCGTGGGAATGCAATGAGGGGAAGTGGCCCGATGCGAAGGCGCCTCTCCCTTGCTCCTTGTTTTCTCGCGAAAACCCCCAATATTAGATGCAGAGTGAGACGGAAAATTTCAGAGTGCTGTGTAGTCGCAGATGAATTCAGACGTATCCATCTTGTCGGGTCCGAACTGTCCTCAGCTCATGCGGAGAAAGTACGGATGGGGCAGGTGGCCCTAGTACCCCAAAGCCATATCCTCTTAGACAGTACTCTATTTGGACGACATTACCCACCCTGTGGCCACTTGGAGGTGCTGCAGGAGATTTTAATATCTCCACATTCAAAGCGCATCCAAAGTGCATCCAGAGTGCATATTCACCAGTCCATCGACGCACTGCCTGCAATATGACCCAAATAACAAATTAGCGCGAACGCGAACACGAATGCGATACCTTGCGCACAGGGAACACACCACCCGCTGTAGGCTCAATCTACACCAATATCTTCAACCATGTACTGACCGCGGCCTTTTTATGGACTGTCTCGGAATGGATCAAAAGTCATCATGTCATTTCTGCAATTCATCGCCATTTCTCTCAAACGAGATGACGTTACTATTTACATCTCGATCGCTATGTACAACACTTGATTTCATGCTCATCATTGGTTACTTATCCCAAGAATCAACTATGCCAAATTATCACGCATCTAGACATAGCCACAGCATTAACACATCATGCAATGAACGGGGGTGGTGAGTGAAAAACCCTGTTTCGGCATTTGAAAAGAAACAAACACCATCTATGGAAATCTAGACCGACTGATCTACTCTAGCCAGGCCTTTCTCCAGATACTGCCCATGGGTATCGAAAATACAACCAACCAACGCCAAAGGAAATACCATGCAGTCCCCTTCCCACGCCCGGGAAAACAACATGTTCAATTCGAGGTTCTAGATGTTAGTCGCCCCGGTGGAATCAGTCGCTCATGACTCGGCCGTAATAAACGTCTCTAGTCACCTGCCACGAAAAATAGCAAAGGAGAAAGAGGTGGCTAGCCACTTGCAAGCCTGTTCTGGACCAATTCCTAAAGAGCGTAATCCAAGTCGAAAGATAAGACAGTCATCCTACCTTGGTCTAGCCCGATAACCCTACTTGGCCTTAATGCCATCCAACTCTGGCTGCTTCTCATCTTGAGTACGGCCAGCCCAGTCGTTGACCCAGAAGGTTGCGACAGTGTAGATCTTGATAATGGAGTGAGCATACGCAAACAGAGGGTAAGCCGGGATGGGGAAGAAGTACCAGAAGAAGTCTGAACGGTTCTGCCTATGCATGAACCACGGGATCGTCTTGGTTAGCTTTGACATCCAGATGAAAGAGATCAGAAGACCCAACCAGTAGTACTGGGCTGAAGAGTCATGAAAGAACGTGGTAGTGGTAAATGTCCAGACTGCCAGTGCATCCCAGAAAAGAGCGACATTGTACATCCACGGAAAGTACACCATCCAGACAGAGATGGGCCACTTCCACCACACAGTCAGGTCGACGAACAAGGCGATAGGGTTCTGTCGGATAGTCGTACGGCTCCAGCGCATGCACTGGTCCACAAACTTGAAGTTGTCCATACGTCCCAGCTGAGTGGTCATGGTCGCATCTTCGGTATATTGAATCTTGACGTCCATGCCATGCTTGATGACCCAGCGCGTGATAAAGTTGTCGTCATCAGCCTTGAGCGGGCCAACGCCCTCAACACCAAGGCTAGGAAACGACCAAATGTACTCATTGAGGAACTTTTCCACAAACTCTTCGTCCTTGACTATCCTAGACAAGATCAAGCTGGTACGACCAGAGACGCAAAAGACGCCTCCATCCGCAGTGTTCGAAGCGCGAATCTCGAAGTTGTGACGCACGAGATACAATGCCCCAATGGTATTCCAGAAACCAGCACGATATCGCGCAGCCATATTCTGATACCAGTTGAGCTCGGAATCATACTCAGGCAGTGACAACCGCTCAACCCACTTGCGCGTACCCACAAACCCTACCTTGTCATCCTGAAAAGCCGGAAGCGTAGCCTCAAGGAACTTTGGGGTCCACACTGCACTGTCATCAACCATGACCATAATCTTCGTCTCAACCAACTTGATCCCCTCGGCCGTCTGCGTCCGCTTATCCTTCTTGTTAGCTCCACCAGTCACAACAATCTCAGTGGTGCCGTAGTGCCCATCCATCTCTTTCTTCCCACCAACCACCCTACGCTCCTCGAACACCTTCTGGATCTCCAGCACAATCGGCCGCACAATATCCGCAATACCCGCCTCGGGTGTAGAAAACACGACGCGTTTTGGCTTGTTGGCCAGAATGCCTTCAACCATGCGTGTAAACAGCTCAAGGTTCTGGCCCGGACCAACCGTAGCGACGACAATCGTACAGTCCTCAGCTGTGTGTTTTGCTTTGCCGTAACGAGCGCGGTGCATCGAAGGCTTGTACTGCATCCAGAAGAAAACAGCAACAAGCGTACGCCAGTAGCGCAGCGCCATCAGCGCGCTGAACCATACCATCTGCCTATCCTGTGCGATCTTCGACTTCAGAATGGCGGCGAGGAGGCAGAGAGCGGGGACCATGTGGAATAAGAGGCCGAAAACGATGGAGGCCGAGACGGGCTCCAGTCGAGCTTTCATCGTCAGAACGAGGTGCAAGATCCAGAGTGCCATGGTGAGGACAAGGCAGGTTGCAAGAAACGTGCCGGGGTCCGAGGGGTTGTAGTTCCAGACTGCGTTCACGGCGAGGGAGGGTGCGTTGGGCAAGGTGGAGAGCCACCAGAGCCAGAGGACGGGGATGGTGGTGAAGGTTACGATGAAGTGCTTCATACCTGGTTGAAGAGACATTTTTTTTTCTCTGGCTTCTTTTCGAAGGAAGAAAGTTTTGTTGGAGATTTCTCTTGCGACTTTGTGTCTTGATTTTGTTGATTGAAGTAACCACTTTCTTTGGTTAGCTTGGGTTGTTGTGATAGAGAGAGAGAGATTCTTTCGTTATTCTAGGAACCTTTGATATACCTTCTTGAAAAAGGCATTGTGCAAACGGCAGGGACGGTGTGAGTCGAGTGAGCGTTTGTGACTATGCGGGTTGTACGAGCATAATGTGGGACGTTGTGAAGATTTGGGGGGACGTTGTGGTGGTACAGGTGTTGGGGTGGACAGAAAATTCCGGTGGTGTTGTGAAGAAGTGAGAGGTGGGCGCAGTGGATTGGTGAGAGTGGACATTGTGTTGTGTTGACAGCGCAGAAGGGAATTGAAAGGGCGGGGGACTGGTTGAGAAGAGAGACATGGCTATGTTGATAGGGATTTTTGGATTGGATCGATGTGTAGCTAATCTTGAGTACATTTTCTAACTGATTTAGGGATGTACGATTTTTCATTTTGTGACGACCATTTTGTCGTATGGTGAACTTAGATTCATGCATCTACCGCCTTTTGTAAGGAAATGGTATTTTGATTGCTAGGTGTCGATCAAGAATTATGAAGAAAATCCCCGGGAACCTTGAGAGTTGGTAGCACGTTGCTGATGAATGTACTCGACAACGAACTCGAGAAAAACGTTTGCATATTGGTGGTACAAAAAGGTCCGAGTACAAAATATAACTTTGAATGTTTGATAGATCACTATGCGATGGCAAATCCAGTCATGTCGCTTCCTAGTACCCATGATTAATATGCACGGAATTCTGATTGATAAAGTTTCTTTGGCATTGCAGTCTCGCCATTGAGGTGCGATGTCTGTTGGTTGAAGAACTTGTGGTCACTACATAGACATAGTGTCTCATGTGCAGTTTCTATTGACAAGGATATCCTTGGAAGTGACGTGAAAAAGGTTTTAGCATCGTTGTCTTTGCTTCAAGTAGACTAGTAAGTACGCGGAACAAAAGTACATTTTGAATGACTGACTGAAAACCACCGACATCAGGTCATTTGTAGGCTCACAGCGTTTGGAGAAGTTACAGAGAGGATAGTGTATTACATCCAATATTTCTCGTCGTAGAATGTCGACTTTCTCTGTCCTATTGAGACATACTATCTCAAACTAGACACCTTAGGTTGTACAATATATCAGGAGGTGAAACCCTGAATCAAGGTGTCCTTACCAGCACCTACAATTAAACAAACCAACATGGGCTATCCACGCACTTTATACCCAGGGAAGACGACAAGATATCGGTATAGTTGCCCCGCTTAGCGCTTTAGTACGACGCCGCCGTTGGCGCGCGATGAATTCCACTATCTTCCTCCTCCCTCTTCTTTAAAACTAGTATCACTGGCTTACTCACTAGCCTCCGCTTGACTAACAACATTATACCGATAATGCCACATTCCAAGCTCTTCTGTAGCGGTGGGCGTTGTGTGACAGGAGTCTAAGTCGTCCAGGCGCCCTTGGTCGCATTCTCATCAGCCCGAGCAATGCAACTCCGAACCACGCGAGAGCTGCGCATGCAGCGAGAATCCGGGGTTATGACGCTTTCACTGCAGTAATTCTGTGGGGCGTCGAGAGACCAGTGGTAGTGTGACCAGCGAGCATCAGATGCGCGGACCATGGGGGTAGAAAAATTGCGGGGTTAGCGCAATACAACGAGCGTGAACAGTCGGCTGCTGTCTTCCCTTGACTTGCGACTCTTGCATAGCGAAAAAATACCCAGTTAGTTCCTTGGGCATAAAAAGGTCCCAAGGAACAAGCCCTTTATACAAGGAAGGTGCAAACACATAGACAGTCACAAGTCAACATGATAACACGGAGATGAATACCAAACCGACCAAAACCATCAGTCCCAAAACGGAAGGCCGCCCTTCAACCTTCCCCCTCCATTAACCAGTCTGCCCTACACATGACTCAAGCGCACTCCCCCCCATGTTCTTAGTAGACTACATACGCTGTTTCATTTCCCCTAGCCCACAGTTCGCCGCATCACGCCACGATCCGCGGAGCCCAAGACTCGGCTTTTTAGATGAACAAGGCGACATGCCTCCACCACTCACAAGTGCAAGAAGACCAAAATGCCCTTTTCTTTCACCCTGCACTTAACTAAAATCATCAAAACACACATGCTAACGTCACCCCTAACTCACTGACTGGCCAACCAACCAACCAACTAACCGCCCCAGCTACTACTTTTCTTACTTACTACTAACATCAACCACGAGGGCTCTCACGCCCTCCCCCCTTGGTCCATTGCTCATTTCTCATCATGCGGCATGCCCACGTTGAAGGGGGCAGCGACCCTGCGTGCCCTTTGAATCCGCGAGACTTGCTCCAACTAGGACTTATTTCCGCGCGACCGATTACAGACCCTGTGCCTTCTCTCACTCTCTGTCTCTTTGACCCATTAGCCCCATTTTTTTTTTTACGTAGATGGACGTTGTAACGGTGCAAGGCTTTGATTTCCTAATTTGAGGTCCTCAGGCCAATCGGCGCGTGGAGATGGTGAAGGAGTGCTGGTCACGCTGGTCACGCTATGGGCTTTGTCTTTTCTGCTTCCAACGTACATGGCCGTTAGCGATGGGCGGGTGGAGCAGCCCAGCAGACCTGGATGGGTCTGAGATGAGGTCGTGGTGGGAGTGGGGCGCGCATAGGGAGGCTTTGGGTGTGTGATGAGGAGGGTTGTGAAATGTATAAGTTGGATAGATGGGACCGGTTTTTTCAGGATTGAGGTTTTTTTTGCTACCATCTGTTTGATTGCATTTTCTAGGATTTTTGTTCTTGCTACTTGGATACGAATAACTGCCACTCATGTCTCTGAAGTCTCTCTTCGTTTCGGCACCGTTGCTTTGGCGCGGTGTTACCGCACTCCCTGCTGGACCTGGTTCCTGGACACATGGAAACTCGACGATTGTGTCTTCTTCAGACTTCAGTGCTGCGGCGTCATACAGCCTGATCGATACGTATGACGCTAGTAACTGGGCGAGCAAGTTCAACTTTGAAGATATCGCTGATCCCACGCGTATGTATCACTTCACTCCAGTGTCTATGAGTTTTAATTTCTAACCTGAGGATGCAGATGGCTTCGTCGACTATGTCACTTTACAACAAGCACAACAATATGGACTATTCAAGACGCAGAATAATCAGGTATACATGGGCGTAGACTCCACATCTACCCTCGACCCCAACGGTCCGGGAAGAAGGAGTGTCAGAATACAAAGCAAGACAGCGTACAACCACGCTCTCGTCATTGCAGATTTTGCCCATGTTCCCGGTAGTGCATGTGGCTCTTGGCCCGCCTTGTACGTCCCCTTTCCACACCCCCCCTCCCCATCTCACACCTTACTAACACTCAATCCCCCACAGTTGGATGGTCGGTCCCAACTGGCCCAACCAAGGCGAAATCGACATCTACGAAGGCGTCCACCTCTCAAGCTCTAACCAAGTAACCCTGCATACATCCCCTGGTTGCAATCCCTCCATCGGTCCCGGCGGCGAAACAGGTCGTCGTCTCGCAGGCGACTGCGGCGCCGACGGCGGCTTCAACGGCTGCGGCATCCAAGCCGACAACCCCGTCTCCTTCGGCACGCCCTTCAACGCCAATGGCGGCGGCGTCTACGCCACCCTCTGGACCAGCTCCGGCGTCAAAGTCTGGTATTTTGCTACTCGCAACGTCCCCGCCAACATCAGGAGCGGGAGTCCTGACCCCTCGACTTGGGGCACCCCAATTGCCAATTTCGGAAACAATGGATGCGATTTCGATGCCAAGTTTCGAGATTTGAATATCGTCTTTGATGTTACGTTTTGTGGGGATTGGGCAGGCGGTGTTTGGGGGTCGACGACTTGTGCGCAGGTTAATCCGAGTTGTGTGGCGTATGTTGCGGGCCAGCCGCAGAACTTTTCGGAGGTGAGTTGCATTGTGAAGTGTTTGAAAGGGGAATCGTTATGCTGACTTTGGATAGTCGTACTGGCTCATCAACTCGGTCAAGGTCTACAGTGTTTAGACTTGAGAGTTGTCGTCTTGTGCATCCGGTTATGCATGCATCATATCTTGCACGCGTCAACCTTCCTTTTTTCGTTCTCTGACTATATTCTTCTTCCCTTTCTTCTATGTATTTACTTCTTCGACGTAGGGTGTGATGCGCTAGAGGAGAGACACATCACAGATGTTGCCCGATATCTACCTTGTATTTCCTATCTATGCTCTATTCCCTTGGATCAATCGCTTCATATACCCTCTATTCTCCTTTCTATAGAATCTATCGCTCATTCAGCATCTTTTCAAGCGCCTCAATCTCACCCTTTTGCCACTCTGTGACCTTGCCTTGCCACTTTTCGCCTTTGCCTCCGCCCTTGACTGTGCTCACAACCTCCTTGACCTTTGCCGCCATCTTCTCCACCAACTCCGGCTTGCCGAAAATGACGAGCGATCCTGAGCTCCTGACTTCACCTGTAGATAAAACTACGACGGCATCTCGATCCTTGACTGAATCTTTGATCTCGGAAAGGACGAGATTGATGAAATCCAGTCCCTCACTTGCGCGGTGCAGGAATGCGGCTTCATGGTCCTGAAGACGATTCTTGATGCGTTCGCCTTGAAATGAAGCGATCTCAGCGAGTAGCTTCTTCTCCTTTTTTCTTCCTTCAGAGACCTGATCGGCGATTCTTTGCACACCGGCTGCCACATCGGCTGGTGCCGAGCCTGAAGATAGCGAGACGGCAATGGAGCGAAGGCCTGCAATGGATTCTGTGGCCAGTTTGATCGCGCGATCGCCTGCTGTGAAGAACAACCGACAATTTGTACCTCGCACTGATTGCGTGTGATGCAGAAGTATTAGATTGATGTGCGAAGAGTTTTGAAGATGGGTTCCACAGCAGGCGTTGTAGTCCATGTCTCCAATCTTAATGAACCGCACCACGCCCTTTTCTCGATCGTAATCTTCAGGAAGACTGTCACTTCCTTTTCCCTCAGGCGTCTCTACTGTAATCGGCATACTTTCCCTAATCCTTGCATTGCAGTCCTTTTGTATCGTCTGCATTTCTTCATCGGTTGGTTTGCGTGGTAACTCGACATAGTTCATCTCCCCGGGCTGACCCATGCTCCATCCTAGGGTAGGCAAATCCATGCCATCCATGACAGCGGAGAGGAGGTGCTGGCCAGTGTGCTGTTGCATGAGATCCCAACGTCGGTCAAAGTCGACGGTCTGGCGTACAGATGTACCAGGTGTGAGGGGAGTAGGGGAAAAGTGTATACAGCGGAGACCATGGCGCTGAATACTTCGTATTGGTATTTCCGCTTTGCTTTCACCTTCCAAAGGCACAAGAACGCCATGATCAGTGTGCTGACCACCGCCTTCAGGGAAAAGGACCGAGTCCGCGAGCTCAATCAACCAGGTCTTGCTTGTTGTCGCATCTCCATTCTCGAGGGCTTTGGTTGGATCCGTCGACTTCTTGGTTTTGGACTTGCCGTTTTGCTGCGATGTTTTTGGGGGCACGAACTCTTCACACGACACCACTTGTGTCTCGAGTGTTTGAAGATAAGAATTTTTCTGGCATTGGAGCGCACCAACAATGGCCGGAGCAGAAGCAGTTGTGGCGCCCATCTTTGGTATTCTGTGCGAATCGAGATACAAAGAGCGACGAGGCAGTATCAATGAGGTAGTATGACTGGATGATGGCCGGAGTTTAGATCGAAAGATGGAGAAGCCGCGGGAAGCAATGCAAGTGCACTTAGTCAAAGTGATGACTACATTCATGGATGATCGAATTGCCTAGGCTTACAGCGCAGGGAAGTCTATTTCAAAACGTAGTTTTTTCAAGAGCACCATACTCTCAAGACTGCATGCACTACGAAGCGACGATGATTTGGGAGAGAAAGCAACCCTCACACTAGGCCCGTGCTGTCCGGGCACGGCACGATGCCGGGAGTGGCGATGCCAATCAGTCCTCTCGACAGACACAGAACCTTTTGGACTTCTTCTCAAACCCACACACAACTCACCATGTAATAAAAGCATGCGCGCTTGACGTTCCGGCGCATATCTAGTGGTTTGTAAAGCGACGGATGAATTGTAGGCCTAGATTTTCAATGCTTCACGGTTGAGATGCGATCATGACGTACTTGAAGCCAAAAGTCACAAAGATGGCGAAAGAACATCTTTGATCCCCACTAACGAACAGACTGAATTCCCACTCTTCAATGTCAAGACCGAAGAAGATCACGCATGCGGCTGTAACGCGCTTCGTCGAAACGATTCTACCGCTCAAGGAAAACGACGTCCAGCGACTGTACCACGTCCCTCGAAACCCTCGCTACGATGCAGAGACTGCGATAGTTGAGCAGATTGTATTGAGCGTAACGCCAACTCCACGAGTTTACTCTTTGATTGGCTACCCATCCGACGACAACAATGCGGGCTTTGCGGCGCAGATCTATCCACGACCACTGCGCACCCTCTGCTTTCTACACCGGCCCTTCAATCTCGATCGACGCAGCGTGCGCAAAGGTACTCTTGTTCTCTCAAGTCATACTTCCTTCGATGAAGTAATGACGGTAGGATGGAATACAGCGCTGGCACAAAGGTTGGGCATAGACACAGGGGATTGCCTCTGTGTCCAAGGCTATAAAGGAGATCCAGAGAGAAGGATTGGAGTCATTGGTCAAATCACTGTGCCTCTGCAGGAGCTCCTGATTCAGATCCGAGAACAATTTGGCATTTCCGAACTGGCGCATGCAGGTTTATCGGACGAAATACGCTTCGTCGCCATCATGAATGCCTTTAACGAGGGCGAAGTGCATCGTGTGTTTCAGATGGCACAAGAGCGTGGATGGATAGCACGGGATGAAGACGCCAGGCATCTGCTGTATCTGACTGGGCAACCCCGGGCTAGTGGGTTGGAAGCTGCGAAAGTACTGGGCATGTCGGTAGTTTGTGTTGGGCACAGGCAAGCGGAAGACTGGGGCGTTCGCTACATGGGCGAAACGCTGCGTAAGGCATTTCCAAGTGCACGCGTAAGGGAGATATATGAAGAGGAGATACCAGTTGTAAAAGAAAAGGAGCCAGCAGTACAAAATCTCGTGAATCAATAATGACGCCTTGAACCGTTGCTCCTCTGTTCTCTGACGACCAAAACGCTCACAACTTGAAACTGCTCCCACTCGATTCCCTAGTTATGTTTCTCTCAATATCTCTGCTGTTGATTGGAAATTTCCCAATACTAAGGTTTTTTTCAGCAATGTATCAGAAAACACGACTCAAGCGGATTTCTCGTATAGCCCTTGTGACCGGTGACAGCTCTCAGCCGTACCGTTGGTGACCGACTCTCCACGTCCGCAAGGCCCTAAGGCGCCACTTTCTTGGGCGCCTCGCGACGCGCTGGCAACCGCAACTTTTGTACTCGCTCTCTTCCACCATTTCCAGTATTGCACACAGCCTGAAAAATATGTCAAACATTTCCTTCGTCTTCGGTCCGCGAAATAGCATCTTTTTCGACTGTCCTCAAACATGGAAATTGTGAGCTTCTTGCAGTGCAAACTGGACGAGGCTAGATGATTGACAGCGCACAGTCATGAAATACCGCCCACACTTCGTCAGTTATTCAACAGCTCCATGAGCCCTGCTTGGAGGATTGCTAGCCCTTATTGCCTTGCTCTCGCACCTCATGTAAACACTCAAGAGCCAGTGTGGTACGTAGGGTGCAAGACATTGGACGGAGAGGACAAGCAATGTGAGTGATTAGGCCCCAGCCCCGCAGTAGTCGGATGCATGAGAACAGCGGCCTGTGTTACTTTAGACATTATACACCTCTTTGATATTGCGCTAATCAAACATAGTTTTTTCTCAAACCTACTTTGACGTCAACTATCCTGACCTTGCGCGATGGTCGAAATCGTTCCCGAATGCCGCCCGCTCGTGCTTCATCACCTTTGGCCAGAACTTCAGCTACTTTGCTTGCGCCCAAGGAAGAGGGTCAATATGGGCTGGCATACCTTCAGATCTCGAGGATAAACTCCGAAAATCACATGATACGCCCACCTGTGTCAGTCTCGGAGTGAAGAATGCATGGTTCGTCATGTATCCTGATCGGCGTATAGCATGGGATTTCCATGGCCATTACAACACACTGAATAAGATCATAATAGATGCTGCACCAGGAGCTATCATCGTAAGTATTTGGTCATGCTCTCCCGATTGTATGGAGGCAACCCTAACATAAACTAGTATGTCGCCATCTCGCCGTATCACCAAGACCACTATTTCATCGCATTCCAGGACGGATCTGTCAAGTACAACTTCCTGGGAGGACCTCCAGAATGGTCGATTCTCATGAACGAGGTTTTCAGCCTCTGGAATTCTCAGCGCGTGCACCAGCACCACACCAGCACGGCACCTTCACCTCAACCACAGATACCACAATATGCATATGGACATATGCAAAGACCTCAGCTGCAGCCTCATCTTCAACCACAGTTGAATGGTGCCTTTAGCACCCCTCAATCGCCGATGACTATTCACGAATCCCCTTCAATCCACAATGCTTCGTTATACCAGCACAATCAACATATCCAGCAAAGCACAGTTCAGAATATCTCACTCCCAAGCAAGGAACCGCATTATGGTGTGTCGGCAGTGCCGGTTGAGTTACCAGGAGATATGCTGCATCCTCTACCACAGCTCGCGACAGCACAAATTGTAGATCAACCAGCAAAGAAAAGGCATAGCTTTCTATCTAAGATTTTCTGAGGCAAGACTGAAGAAGTTTTCAGGTTGACATGCATGTCTCTTTCAGGCGTCCCATGATAGGGCCGTGTAATGGCCGGAGTACTTATGTAGGAAGCATCACAATATTGTGTGGGGTCTGTCGGTTGGGATGCTGGCACCAATCAAGTCACTGTCGCACGTACCCGACACCGTCGAGCGGACTTTTGGATGGAGTGCCGTCATGCAAGGTTAAGGTCTACCTTCCGTATCATCCCTGACTACCGAGGTACACCTCCGCTTATCGCTCTCGAAGTGGACTTTTATCACAAAAGGGGACGAACGTCATACCACAATACAAGGGTCCTTACTCAGGGCTTAGGGCGCCTTATTCCCACTAGCGTTCGGCTCGCTGCTATGGAGAAGCTGGAGAACGGTTCCTCTTTGCACCCACCTCGCGCCGTACTGTTTCCAACAAACATCACTGGTGTTTGTGAGTCAACGTCGTGGTTTTCATTCCAAGAGCTGGGACAATGCGGACACTTGCAACTTTTCTTTTGGCAACGACAGCATGGGCTATTGGTCCTACTGTCACAGTGCTAAACGGTACATACGAAGGCTTGCACCTTCCATCCTTCAACCAGGATGTCTTTCTAGGTGTTCCGTACGCACAGGATACTGGAGGTCAGAATCGTTTCCGAGTGCCACAGTCTCTGAACGCTACATGGAACGGCACACACCCCGCTACGGCCTATGGCGATACATGTCCGGATTCAATGAACAGCAGCCTCATCATGAGCGAGAACTGCCTAAGCATCAACATTGTGCGCCCAGCAGGTCTCTCCCTACAGGAGCAGTCTAAGCTGCCAATTGCGGTATGGATTCACGGTGGAAGTTACCAAATCGGCTCTACGGATTTGCCAAACTACAATCTGTCGTACATTGTTCAAAGGAGTGTAGAGATCGGCCAGCCCATTATTGGAGCTAGCATCAACTACCGCAAGGGTGCCTGGGGCCTGCTTTACTCACAAGAGATTCAAGGTGCTGGTCAAACCAACCTTGCGTTGCGAGACATGCGAAAGGCTCTTGCATGGATCTCGGAGAACATTGAGGCTTTTGGAGGTGACAAAAATGCCGTCACCATCTGGGGCGAGTCAGCTGGAAGTTTTGCAGTTGGACAGTTGGTTATGTCATATGGTGGTCAAACAGATGGTCTCTTCCACCGCAGTATCCAGGAATCCGGCTCTGCAGCAACAGCCTGGTATAACGGCACGGACTGGTACCAGCCCATTTACAATGACATTGTCAACAAGGCAAACTGCTCGGAAGAAGCTGACACACTGGCTTGTCTGCGTACACTGTCATACGATGAAATATTTCCTGTGCTTGCAGCTCCCAATTACAGCCCAAGCTGGTACCCAGTCGTAGATGGCGACGTCATGCCCGCCTACCCTACCGAGCTACTCGCCTCCGGTCGCTTCGCCCATATCCCTCATTTGTACGGTACCAACTCGGACGAGGGAACCGACAACGCGCCCTCCGATGGTGTTATCAACACCGACGAGGATATCTACGCCTATCTCCTCAACAGCACCGGCTTCGATTTCCCGGACAAAGTCGTCAAGCGCATCCTGGAACTCTATCCCAACGACCCAACAAAAGGCATACCCCTCAACACAGGCGTCGAGACCTTCGCAGAGAAAGGCCTCCAGTACAAGCGCATAGCCGCGATACTAGGCGATGTCTTTTATCATGCGCCTCGCCTAGCAGACGCCCGTGAATACGCCAAGTACGCTCCAACATACATTTATCGCTTCAACACTCTCCCGTGGCTGAACGACCCCACCTCTGACGAGGGTGGCAACGCAGAAGCATTCATGGGTGTTGCGCACTTTACCGAAGTTGCGTTCGTTTTTAACAACCCGCGCTTCTATGGTCCGTGGCCAGAGTACAAGGCGCTTAGCGACGAGGTGAGCGCGCAGTGGATCAGGTTTGTTGCGAATGGCGATCCGAATGGCGAGGGATTGCCGAATTGGCCGCACTATGGTGACAGCGAGGATGGGCTTGATTTGGTGATACAAGCGAAGGGCAGGGGACAGAATGGGAGTTATGTGGAGAGTGATACGTGGAGGTTGGAGGGGAGGGAGTATTTGAGTGAGTGGGCGAGGAGGAGGCATGTCTAGAGTGATTGGATGGGATGAGAGAGGGTGCTGGGTAATGGTAATAATGGGGGTTTAGAGAAAAAAGAGGGTAATATTGCTTGAGATGAATGTATCTATTGAAATCTCGATATCTGGATCTTTCTCTATATTGACGATGTCTTTTTCACTTCTTCACTTTTCTTGCTATCCTGCTCAGATGTGCCACGTCAGTTACTAGTCATCACTACTATCCAAACTCCTAGTCCAATTCTATGAGCATCCTCACAACACGAGAGAAGTAGACCTTAGTGTTGGCAATCTTCTTTCCTTCGGCTGACTATCAGAACCAGTGCTCTAAATGTCCTCGCACCAGCCACAGATCTCTTTATCCTATGGATCATCGTAGGTACAACACCACATCTTATGTTACTTGATATGTAATATCATTTTTTGCTAATATTTAAACACGCTCTACCCTTCAGCCACTCTGGCGGTCCTATTGGCTCTTCTAAACTGTCTTATCTCTTTGTTCTAAAATCTAGCCGTCTGTAGTACGTCTGGCGTATTGAGCTGGATGCAGCGGAAATTACTACAGCAGCGCGATCGCCTTGCTAGCGGCAGTGCGACTGAGAGTGAGGGTATGGTACGGGAAGTAAAGGGAATGTGGTAGAAGAGTTCAGTGGCGATTGAGGTGCCGATTTGAGATGAGCTCTAGCAGAGCATTTGTTTCCTCGTTCGCGTGTCGTTCGCAAAAGGCCTGCACTTCTTAAGGTACAGCACAAGAGACTCCCAGCCAGTAAACGAGCCAAAAGAATCGGCCAAAAAACGATCTCGAAGACCAGTCAGCCGCACCAGCCAAACTACTTACTTATGTAAATGGGTACTTGACAGTCAGGCTGGCTTTTGGCTTGTTTTAGAGCCGATCAGATTGCGTTTCTTCGTGCACGAAAAACCCTCTGGTTCAATCGGAATATGCAGCTAAAGCTGGAATGATCCCACCCTTTTGCTTGGGATAGAACTGCATGACCTGCAGCATTTCCTTGTTGGGTACAGCAGGGTGTAGAAGACTAGGGAGGAAGAGATGGGTGTGTATTGGTTAATGTTGGAGGGGCAAATTAGTCTCATTTTGTATGCTGTACAGTGGTCTCCAGCTAAGATGGGATAATACGTTAGAGGCAGCCTAAATCAGGCAGCCTCTCATGTGGGAAGGTGTTACGAACCTTGAGAGAGGGATAGCGCAGAGATGCAAAAAGAGAAGGAAGGAAAGAGCCTGCGTCAAGACCTCACAAAAGGATAAGAGCATACAGGACTATTCACGTATAATTGCCGCACGTTCTACGGTCTTAGCAGAACGCTACTATAAGATAAGTCATATACATTCTAAGCCAGACTGGTAGGTTTCAAATCCATTGTTGAGAGGGTTTTCTGAATAGACATCCTGTCTATCATTTTATCGGTAGGTCTAAGATAACGAGCCACGGTGGGTGTTCAAGCTCGCCCTTCTTGCCCTCCATTGCAGCATTGACGCACAGCGTCTGCTGCTTGCTCGCACGGAAATCTTCTGCAGCGCCTGGAGATAAGCATCTTAATCCTTTTTTGCGAGCTTGATTTGACCCTACCCAATCTTTAAAGATGTTTGGTTCTAGCTCGGGGTCACCGCTGTCCAGTTTCCTCGGGTCTTTGTATGCCAACCTGTGTGCTTGATAGATCCAGCCTTCCCGCGGAAGATGGATATGCCCAAAACAATGTAACTTAGGTTTCACTCGCACTATGGCGTTTCGTAGATGCTCACATCCTGCACTGCCACCGGCGGTCTCATCTAGAATATACTTTGGTGGCCCATGGGTCATAACGATGTCGACATTCTCTGGGATAATCGAGGTCTCAGTGCCGACGTTTCTCGCCCACGGTGGAGTAGTGCCTGGGGGATTGAATCGGTCACTGCCAGTCGGGTATTGAAATGCCGATGTACCGTATCCAGGAGTGTATGGTGAGGCATAGATTTTGAAGACGGCGCCACATGGTAGGTTGAAAGTATGAGTACCCTCGGAGAGAAAGGTGATGCCATGTTGGCTAGCTCCGCATTCAGGGTTAAATAGCGCCTGCGCTCTTTCTGAATCAAATTCTGCTCCACCTTGCGATACCCAGTACCCTTTATCCAGGGAGATATCATGGTTGCCAGCGATGACAAGTCTCAGTTTGGCTTTCACCTTGCCCAGGTTCCGAAGAGCGGCGAAGATGCTTTCTGGAGTCCCGTCTTCAGTCAAATCACCGCAATGGAGGAGCACATCGCATGGAGGAAGATTCGACGGTAAGTCGGCGCCATGCGTGTCGGAAAGTATAAGGAAGCAGACAGGTGTTGAAAGAGGGCGATCACACTCGACCCGAACACGCTTTTGGAAGTCTTTTGACCCTGAGGAAGAGCCTGATATGTGGCAGATAGAACGCTTCGGCATTTTGTGCAATGTTGAGGTTACAAGATATGTGCAAATCCGCATACTTATGGTTATGTATGGTCCTCGGGTCTTAGGCACGAAAAAACCATGGTTCATTTGGCATGGTTGAACCATTCAGCACAACACCAGATCAAATGCGCATTCCGCGATTGGGGAGGTCTAACTGAGTGTTCAATGCAACACGCGTGTTTTTGTGAAGGCCATTTGTGGCCTTTTATGTGAAGATGCATAAATAGAGAAGATTCATAGGTCTATGATTCGATTAGTAAATTCTCATAGTACTAGAAGTAATTTTGGGCACATTTCGAGCCATATGTGTGAGAGAGCAAAGAAATATGATGCGATCATCCCAGGATGATGTGTTCGTGTAGAGGTTGTCGGGGTCATGCGGGGCGCCCACGTGACTTCGTGTGAATTTCGAGAACCCTGCCAAAAAAGACTGATTGCGACTTGTACGCCCCACAAGTAATGAACCACCGAACACAGATGTTGACACTAACACAGCCCGCAGCTGGCTTTGATATTTGTTGAAACTGACATGTCCTTGTTCGGTGGCGATGGTGTCAAGCCAGGGCTCTCTTCCTATGAGTCCGACACGTCAGAATCCTCGTTCACTCCCTCATCACCGCCAGTTGTTGGGATTGCAGATGTGCACGATGCGCAAGAGGCACAACCAGTCTACACTCCAGTACAAATAAACGTAGACGATGATATAGTCACCGATGCAGATTCAAGCGAGAATGAGTTTGACGAGTCTGACGAGGAAGATGAGGATGAGGAACCCGCGCGGCCAAACCGGTTTCATGGAACGCCGCAAACATGGGAGGAGCATACAGAGGCCGACCGCCGAATCGCAGAGTCGATTGAACAAATGGAAAACTCCGACCTCTCTGCTCATCTGTACAACGCACATATGCTCAAGCGGCGGTTGCAACGACCTGCGCAAGACTTGGCGCGACTCGAAATGTGGCAGAGCAAGGACGAGTGGCTGATGCCTGAGAAAGACCTGAAGTATACGGACGCAGCGGGTCTGGTACAGGACGCCATAGTACCACCTCCCGACTGGACAGCATGGCCAGTGCCTCCGACAGAGCTTCCCGATTACAGCGAGAAGTTAGACAGTGGGCTAGTACGTGGACAAGCAGACGAGTGGGCCATCGAAAGTACCAGCAAACATGATGCAGGAGAAGAACTCATAGAAGAGCTCTTAGCCGTTTTCCTCCGGATAGCGAAAGACCAGTGGAATATGCGGGACGCATCTTCATCTACATCTGATGCAGACAATGACCCCGAGACTTCAAGAAGCCGGTCTCCGTCAGAATCTGCTCGACTTTCACAACCATCATCCGCCCGTACTGACGCTGAAATGGAAGCTTATAGTGACCCGTACGAAGAGAATGCAGAACATGAGTCCAACATGGAGCAGACCCAACAATATGGGAAGAAGCGTGGAAGGAAGAAACAGCCCGACACATTCACAAAGCCAGTTGTTCTGGCCGATGATGCGAAAGCACAACAGCTCTTGCAGCCGTCAATCCAGTCTATAATGAACAAACTAGACGACCTGGCACTAGCTATCTGTCGAATGCAGCTTAACCAGATTCGTGATGAAGATTCAGCCGGCTCTTCAATGAGTGAATTCACGTCCGGAGCAGAGTCAAGTGGGCGTGAGTCGAGGCCGCTATCCAGAGCTCGGTCAAGGACGGCTTCGAGCCTCAGAAGACCCAGAACACGATCGTCTTCGCGTGCTAGCTTGATAAGAACCAATCGTGTTGTAGAGCAGAGTACTCAAGAAAAAGATACCAATGCAATGGATAGTGATGCGACCTCTGGTGGTGCTTCTGATTGGGAGGCGTCCAGTCAAGCCATTGGAAAACGGAAACGCCGCAGACCCTCGGGCAGTGTGAGCGATGCTGGTTCCACAATCGAAGATGAAGAGATGGGGCGAGGCTTAATGGACTGGAGTGAGGTGCTTGGACTCGCAGCCGTCAGAGGATGGGACAAAGCAGCTGTAGCACGCACAGCTCAACGCTGCGCTGCTCTTTTCGGCGAAAGTATGTCATTTATACCATACGATGAGTCTCTGGCGTCACAATCTGCTCCTAAGCCGATATGGTTTACCCCATCTACTCCAGCAGCTACAAGCCTCTTATCAAGCACGAAGCCGCCAACTTCCGAGCGTCCTCTTTCCCAGTTTAACACTTTACGCTGTCCACACACAGATTGCTATGCTCATAAGCATGAATTTGAGTCACTGAACCGCGTTGCCGAGCACTGTTATCGTGTTCATGGATACGATCCCAATATCAATGACGCCGAAAATGAGGAGAAGGTGGCTAGCTGTGTGCATATTGATGGCTTTTTGCAGCCTGTCACAGAGAAGCCAGGATGGGTACGACATGGCCGAAGAACGACCGGGAATGGAAGCAAAAAGCAAAGCAAAGGAAAAGACAGCAGTTTTGGGGCATTGGAGGCTGCGGTCAGTGGTGAGGAATGAACAGACCGTGACATGGGAAATCAAGGCAAGAATTTACATGTGAATTCCAGACGTATTGCAGAAGAACTGCTTGACTCAATTTGCCTTACCAAAGAGCATTATCTATTAAAACCAACCCTGATTCCTGCACTTTTCTTTTTTGCTTCATGTTATGTACTAGCGTCACGGGGACGCGACAACCGATCGGCCCGTCAGCTCGTCCCCTTAATCCCCACGTTCTTCACCACCACTCTCCTGCCACACAGCCACAATCAGCTGGCTATCTTCTTTGCATCTATAGCAATTCTTTCCTATTGTGGGGCTATATCAATCCTTCGCTTATCGCTGAGAGGGGTAATGACCCACAACTTGGCTTGGTTTACTACTTTAACCACATTACGACACGTCGTTTTCTCCGTTCGAACAGTTACAGCACTTGCACTTATTCAAAAAGCCATTCACCTCTTATATCTGTGACCTTCTCTGTGTTCTTTTTTCCATCTGTGCTTCAGTCAGATTCAGACGAGATGGACGGTAATGTCGGAAGCGGAAATACAATTAACCCTCTTAATGACGACTCGGCCTACTTGTCGCAACAGTATTCAGAAGATCCAAGATACCAGCTATACTATGGGCAGGATCCACGATACCCGCAGCATTCACAGGATTCATGGTATATGCTGTACGCACAGGATCCGCGATATGTGCAGTATGCACAGTATCCAGGGTACGTGCAATCTTCATCCTACTCGCAAAGCACCTCCTTGCACTCCAATCCTTCTGGAGATGGACATATCGCATATGACAATCACCAGCGGCCCCGAATGGACGCAGATACTAAAGTTAGACCGCCAAAAACTATATCACAGCAAGATTCAAGAAAGAGGAAGTTCGAGGAGAAGAACCAACCTGAACATGGGAAGCGATCCAAACAAAAGAAAACATCAGATGACTTCATACCACAAAAGAAAAAACAAGGTAACGTCTCGTCCCACAACGCAAGGCAACACGGAACTCAAAACAACCCATTTGAGATTGAATCCAGCCCAGAGCCAAAAGCGAAGCTCGTACCAAAAACGAAAGAGCCTCGCCTGCCTCCATTGGGACCCCGCAAGGATCGCGGAAACACTGTAAATCATACCTATAAACCAGATCCTACTTTTAATTGGCCCTACTATTATGCAGTAGCTCATGGGAGAGTTCCCGGTGTCTATGCGTCTTCCTCTTCAGCTAACGAGCAAGTTTTGGGCTATTCTGGCGGACGTCAAAAGAAATTTACCACGCAGTTAGACGCATGGGAGTTCATCCTTGCAAACAATAGCCGTCTAGCAAACAATGACGATATCGGAAGAGCGGTGCAGCACCTGAGGAAAATGTCTAACACGTCGTGCAGGCCTGTATCAGCACAGAATGGGTGTATGGCGCAACAAACGCTGTCATCATCGCCTCCCGTCGTTGATACACCTAGGTGCAGCTATGCGATGCCTACAGAACCCTTTGGGGTCGATCTTCGACCTGGGAAGGACGGCGTACCGGTTTTCCTCCAGCCAAGTGTTTTAGAACAACAACAACCACTTGTGCAAAGTTCGGAGCCACAATTGGCTCCAGTGGATGCTTATGTACCGGAACCCGAACCCCAGTTAAGCGCCGAACAGAGACGAGTGGTTGATCTTATTGTTAAAGATAGGAAAAATGTATTTTACACTGGGTCCGCAGGGTGTGGCAAGTCTACTATCCTCAAGGCCTTTGTCAGGGAGCTCAAGGCAAAGGGACTGAGAGTTCAGATTGTAGCACCAACAAATCTCGCAGCCTTGAACGTTGGCGGACAGACTACATGGGCCTTTGCTGGGTGGACACCTGACAGTATGAAAAAGCCTCTGGATAAGTTGAAGCAAGCTGCTCATGGAAGAGATGTCTGGAAACGTTTCGACTCAACTGACGTTCTTGTTGTCGACGAAATCAGTATGGTTGAGAATCTGCTATTCGAGCGATTGAATGAAATCATCAAGGCAGCTACGGGTGAGAGTGGAGGCGGCCGTCCATTTGGCGGTAAGCAAGTGGTTGTTACTGGAGATGTAGGTTGCCTGCTTTTACCTGTTGAGAAAATGCTTACACAGAGTTTGTAGTTCTGCCAACTTGCCCCCGTGAAACCGTTTATTCATTGTATGGGGTGTGGCTGGGAGCTTATACATACAGAGACTCAGGGCGAACTAATGCACCATTGCGAGAATAAAGATTGCCGTTATGATATGTGGCCAGATGCAGACAAATGGGCTTTTCGAAGTCAAGCATGGCAGGTATGATGATGCCTCCTACTGTAAGCGTTATCGAACTGCATTAATAATATTAGGATTGCAATTTTGAGCATGTAAACTTGACCGAGATCCATAGACAAAACGATAGAAAGTTCATTTCCATTCTTCAAAAGATCCGCAGAGGTAATATTGTCCCGCTTTTACGCCACTATTTGTATTTGGAACTGCTTTTCTTTGCACACGGTATTGCCTTTGTGTGCAGATGCTAACGTACAACAGATGGCATCATTGTCCCTAACCACGCCAAAATACTTCTCAACCACACGTCGGAGACAGAGAACGCAATCAAGATCTTCTCACTGCGCCGAGATGTGGATCGTATCAACAGCGAGAACGTTGCTCGACTCCCATCCGAACCCCGCAAGTATCACTGCTTAGATGATTTCAACTGGAAGCAACACCACCGATACGATCAATCACTAGAAAAATATACCAGACCAGGACTGGGTGATCCCAGAACCCTGTATCAATTAGTACGTCACTCTTCTTCCCGTCCAGAACACCACTGAACATTTCACAGAAAGACCACCGCTACGACGCATATACCGAACTAAAAGAAGGCATGCGCGTAGTCCTACAATCCAACCTTAGACCCCAAAGCGGTCTTGTAAACGGTGCCCAGGGCACAATCATCGCATTCGAACCTTTTGACCCTAACCAACTCCCCCGCAAAGCAAAGGACCCAGACGACAAGGAAGGTACTCTGCGAGGCCCTCATGCCAGCTACGCTCACCAGCAAATTAAAGCCTTCGCCAACGACAATGGACGCCAGCCCTGGCCCATTGTGCAATTCGACAATGGCCTCAAGGAAACGATTTACGCAGACTGCACGTATAGCGAGTTGGGGAACGAAGAGGTGGTGGGCGTGAATGAGCAGATGACGCCGGATCCTAGCTTGCTTTCCCGAACGCAAATACCGCTCATAGCGGGTTACGCAATTACGGTGCATAAGTCGCAGGTGCGTCCCTTTCTCTCGTGTTTAATCCAGTTTCAAATGTGTCATTTGTACTAATACGTTCTTGGGAACAGGGCATGACACTTGACCGTGTGATAGTTAATTTGCGCGATGCGTTTGAGCCGAGTCAGATTTATGTTGCTCGTAAGTCGGCACTTGTCCTTTCTTCACTTTTCTTTCCCCCTCCTGGGATACACATGTACACACAAACAAGCGAGTATACATGGGTAGTTAAAGATAATGGCTAACATGACAAAAACAGTTAGTCGAGCCCGTTCACTCAAGGGTCTTTCGGTCGTAGGGCTCCCACGCAAAGACCTCGGTGGCACGAACAAGCAGGTTAAAGAATTTCTTGAGACGTATCTCGATTGTCGCTCTAGTGTGAAGCTGGGTTTGCCGTCGTCTCAGGTGACGTCTTCGCAGGTATAGTGTTCAGAGCAGTCGTTGGGGTAGGAGAGTTTAGGTAGAGCAGGCTTAAAGAGTTGGATACTTTCGTTTGTTTCTCTTATTGTTCTCAACGTATCGACTTTTGGTTATGTTGGAACTATAACTACTTACTGTCTTTCCTTTAGTTTTGGTTGTAGACTGGCGTATGAAAGATGTGGTCACGGCAACGCCGACTGGTAGAACTCGTCTAGGCTTTCAAATGGATTCTGTTGTGTATCTCGGAATGTATAAATGAATGGTTTGAGTCATGTAGAGAGACACGTACTGATCGCCTGTTTAGAAGAGCATGTTCACGAGTACTTCTGGACTCCTGTCGCATATACACTTCCTAACTAAAATATTTATACACAAAATTGGAGAAAGGGTATCAACATCCTTTAGGGGAACGGGTTGCATCTCATATCAACCTCTCGGATGTCCTCTGCTTATCTACAATGTCTTGTGAATGAGACCTTCAGTAGGCTTGACGCGCTGAGCCCATTCCGTCCAGCTGCCATCGTACAGACGCCTCTGTTGTGTCGGGTATCCAGCTTCAGTCAGGGCGGCATCAATAATGGCTGCGGTAACTCCTGTGCCACAGCTGCTGATGATAGGTACGTCAGGCTTTATGCCCTTTGATTCGAAGACGGCCTTGAGCTTGAAAGCAGGGAGGAGAGTCTTGTCATCAGGATCGAGGAGATCAGCGACTGGTACGGAGATGGAGAAAGGAATGTGACCGGAGGATAAACCTGTGGTTGTCAGTATGCTGCTACCTGTTTGTACTGACGGTTTTCTGCGTACCTTCTCTGGGCTCTGGGTCGACGCCCTTCCATCTTCCCAGGCTCCTCGCATCCAAGATCTGCACCTCATCGGCCCCTTCTTTGCCCAACTCCTTTGCGATGTCCTTGACTTCTTCGAAAGCAATGACTTTCTTCTCGTCCAACTGCGGTACCTCATACTCGGTGATCTCGGGTGCCTTGGGCTCCCCGCTTTCCGTGGGGTATCCCTCCTCGACCCACTTGCGGAAGTTGTTGAGTACATGGACTCTTGGATGACCAAAAACTTGGAATGTCCAGCCGACGCGCGGCGCAGAAAAGATGCCTAGCTCCTTGCTATCGTACACGACTACACTATCCTCGCGGCGAATGCCCAGATGTCTCACTGCGTCAGCGAACTCGGAAGGAGAAGGGAGCATGTGGGGGTACGGCGAATGCACATCCTTGACAGCGTCTAGATCGAAGAATTGAGAATGGGGAATGTGCTGCGCAAGAAAAGTTTCGTAGCCATTGCGGTCGTCATTGGGGAGGAACCAGGATGCACAGAGAGGAATGATACGAGGTTCGTGCGACAGCTTGCTGGCATTGAGTTTTAGGGCCGAATTGAGCTCTGCTGGGGTGACAAGGTAAGAACGGAGTTTCTCGTGCGATGACATTGTGCGCCTGTCGGCTACAGAGACTGGATAGCGGAGAGACGAGACAAATGAAGAGGGAGAGCGCAAAGAACAGCGGAAACGTGAAACAAACATTTTGCAAGCTGCAGTGGTTAGTTGTTGGAGTTGGCAAGGATGAAGATAGCACTGGCGGGATAAGTGGAGAAGACGGCGAGGTGATGCCTTTGCTGCTCGATATTTCGTGACCAGGCCGGAGGGGCAGGTGGAAGCTACTAATACTGATAGTAAGTGCGGGGAACTGAACCGCAGCGGATCAGGGCGAGACTATGGCGTGATTGTTAATGCATCGTGAGAAATGAGAAACGACCTCGAACAGGTCAGGTCCTGACGGCTTACTCAAGCACTGATAGATAGCACTGTGCAGGTCTGATTCTGGTGTTGCACTTGTGTGCATCTCGTAGCTTTGCTGTGGCTGCAGCAAAGCTTGAGCTCAGACCTCTGCCGGAATTAACGCCCAATCTCCGCTTCTCACCGCCTGCGAATCTGCCGCCTGGGCGTGTTTTGATGCTGTTGATAGTCTTTGCTTCATGCTCACATACACAACGTCGTTTAATGCCGTGACTTGGACAAAGACCGAGACCATGAAAGTCACTATCCGCGAATGGAACGCTGTCGCAGCCTGGCACTGGGACATGCCCGATGACGATGTCTGTGGAATCTGTCGCAACCCATACGACAGCACCTGTTCCAAGTGCAAGTTCCCAGGCGATGAGTGCCCGCTACGTACGTCCAGGAATACCTAACTTTTTATACCAGCTTATCAGACGTAGTACTTGGAGAATGCAATCACTCTTTTCACATGGTAAACTACTAATTGTCAAACCGACACACGCACAGCTAACGACAACCAAGCACTGTATCTTCGACTGGTTAAAGCAGGAGAGCTCTTTGGAGAAGTGTCCTATGTGCCGCCAGCGTAAGTTAAATCCACACTGTCTAAGATGTTCAAAGGCCTTACTGATATCCCGACACAGCATTCAAGTCGAAGAGTCAAGACGCGCCAACCGCCACCGAGACGCCCAGGCAGATACAGGAACCGGATACAAGTCCCCTGTAATCTTCAACCTGGCTTGCTACCGATGAACACTGTACGAGTGACGAGTCTTCCATCATTGTCTTGGAGAGCATACGACGGGACTTCTCATAGAAACATTGAATGACGCGTGGGGCCAGGCGAAGTAGGAGTTTGGATTGTTTAGACCATCGATGTAATTGTCTTTGGCACGTTTGATACCCCAAGGATTGCTTCACGCACGCCATCTGATAAAGCCATGGTGTCTCCGGTACCTGCGTTTTGTCCCACTTCCCGGCTGTCGGAAGGGTAGTGTGCATGGACCACCTGTCTTATCGATCATGCACCTGAGCTAGAGCTCGCTCTCCCGAGCTCCACTAACTCCACTCCGCCATCAATCTCCCCAACATGTCTGCCAACTTCGACACTCCAGAACCACCGCCAATACCTCGCGCAACTCCCTCGCCACGTACGAAGCCCCTAGACCACCCAGACTATCCTCCTGGTGATGATCCCAACGAGCAACAAGAGTTTGACGACGCGCCGGAGGAGGAGGAAATACCATATCCCGAGCCTAATGCTGAGCAACCCCTGCTACCACCACCAAACTTCCGACCCTTCTTCGCTTTGATTGAAGACACCACATCGGGCGAGCACTACCACCCTTATGTCCACTATGTTTTCGCCGACGATGATCCTACCATTGTCACTGCAGCCTCGATGCGAGGCTTAGGGCTGGACGATACAAGATACCTTCCACACGATCCACCGCCTGCCGGAGATCGACGTCGGGGTCAGGAAGGTGATGAAGAAGAGGTTGAAGGAGAGGAGTATGAACAAGACCCACCAGTCGAGTCGCCATTCCCGCCGCCCATACCAGGTGTTAAGGAACACTACCTTATTGTCGATGTAGGCGAAGATGGACGCACAATCGTGGATGCACAGTCGCTATCACCAGAGTGGCAAATAATAGACACGGGCGTGCGGACAGCTCCCTCTTTTGATGAGGACTCTCCGGATCCAGGTTATATGCTACGCATAGAAGGCGTTGAGATACCGCGAAAGAACAAAGGAAAGGCTGAGGCCGGAATAGACAAGCTGACTGAGGCACGAGAACGACAAGGCGACATTTTTGGAGCATTGGAAGGTCTGATTCAAGGCATAGAGCGAGGTCTGGGTATTGCGCACAAGATATCCAGTGCAGGGCAAAGAGAAGGCGAAGAGGGTATACCAACAGATGTTTGTGAGGAAAATGCAGAAAAGACGGTGGATGATGAGCAATGACGCTCTTCCACTGGAGGCATATGCATCGTTTTTACATCAGAGCGGCGGGCAAGAGTACGCATTCATGAACGCAAGGCTGACTAGAGGGAGAATGATGCCTAAATGCATCACAAGCGCCTTATACGACATTTGCTGCTACACATTACATAATGACAGCAATGAAGACCAACAGACTCTAAATGCACACTGCAAGAGTCAAAGAACACGATGTAACTTTACTGCCGCATCTTGCTGCTGTGAATGACATAGCCAGTTAACGATATCCACACGAACCAATCATCCCCACCCTCTTGACCAAGTCCACCTTTTCCCCTCTTCCTCACCACCCAATCTCCTCCCCAAATCGATCCACCAACCTTCCACTTGCCCACTCCTCCTCCTCCATCCTCTCCAAAACCCTCAAGCAATCTGCAACACTCTCCTCCACGCTCACCGCCCCTTCTTCCTTCCACGCTACCAACCCCGTCTCCACCCTCCCAGGATGCAACAGTAAAAACTGCACCTGCGGCACATCGATCGCAAAACTCCTCACCACCGCATTCAGCGCTGCTTTACTCGCTCGATACGCGTATGCGCCTCCTGCGGAATTGGCCGAGATGGAGGACATGCGGGAGGAGAGGATGACGACTTTGGGACGTGTAGTATTGGCATTTTCCAGTGACGATGACGAAGAGGAGACGAGAGACGGTAAAAATGACTTGACAAGGTTAAACGTTCCCCAGGTGTTTACCTCAAAGGTTCGCATCATTGTTTCTCTGTCCATGACTTCCAGTGTCTCGGTGCTTGCGACATTGCGGTTTGTGTCCTTCTCGTGGGATACTATTGATGGGACTAGGCCACGGATGCCGGCACAGTGGACGATTAGAGTAAGAGGCGTGTGGGTGTAGGTTGATGCGAGGTTTTGGACCGCTTCGGCGCTGGTGATATCGAGGCGGTGAAAGGAGAGTGTTAGTGGGTTCAGTGTAATGATCTTTTCGGGTAAGGGGTGGGTGTCTATGGCTATGATTTTGGGCGTTGAGGCGGGAAGGGAGAGGTAGTGCGTTAGGAAGCCGAGGCCGAGGCCGGAGGAGGCGCCTGTTATCAGTATTGTTTCTATGGTGGACATGGTGGTATCGATCTTGGGTTTTTTGTTTTAGTGGTGGAGGAGAAGTGATCTTTCTTTGCTCTATGTTTAGTGTCTTACGATCTCATTGAGGAAATCACGACTACGGAAACTACACTGTAAGAAGCCATGATGTATCTGTTGGAATTATGATGTAATGACGCAACTACATATTCAGCACATACACACAAGTCTTTCCCGCCTAGATGTGCCGATTGCGGGATCCCGATATGTACGAGGGAACCCCGCAGTAGCATCCGTAGCAGAAGACACTGCCCCACCAAAACATCAAGCTGCTGACAGGGTGGTATGGGGTTTATATACTGGTCATGTACCCTGACAATGGGTGTGCAGTGATACGTACCTTGTACCTTTGTGATATTTATTGATAGGATCTTGTGTACTGTAAAAGGGAGATTATACTTGTTTTGGGAGAAAGTAGCACTGGGAGACAAACATGTTTTACCGACCGGGCAAGGAAGATCATGGGCTACCATACGATCCGTTTAAGGTACGTGATATTGAAATTTTTCAATTGTATACACTGCTATGTTCAGTGGATACATGGTGTTTGGCAAATATCCACTTCACCATTCCCAGCACGATGAGAAACCATCATGCCATTCCAACCTAACATCTCTTAACAATCAATTCCACAACACGCGGCCAATCTCAACCCCGAAACATTTCCTATAAATTCTAAATGCCCAAATGCAACCAATTTACACATACTCCAGGCCTGCGTCGTCCCCCGCCCCATCGGCTGGATCTCGACCGTCTCCCCCACCGGCAGCGCAAACCTCGCCCCTTACTCCCAATTCAACAACCTCACCTTCGATCCCCCCTATGTAATGTTCAGCGCGAACCAAGCCCCCAGCTCCACGCAAAAAGATACGGTCCGCAACGTTGAGGCGACGGGGAAATTTATCTGGAACTTAGCTACGTACGAGCTGCGCGAGCAAGTCAACATCAGCGCAGTCCAAGAAGCGTATGGCGTTGATGAATTCGAGAAGGCGGGACTGGAAAAGGAGGAGAGCAAGCTTAGCTCTGTGCGCATCGCCCCCCGAGATGGAGCGGAAGCTGGGAAGCACGAACAAATGTTTATCCCAATGGTAAAGCAGAGCCCCGTCAAATTCGAGTGCGAGTACTACAGCACGTTGCGTATCCCAGGGAATCCGCCAATGGGGTCTGTAGATGTGGTTATCGGGAAGGTAGTTGGCGTGCATATTGATGAGCGCGTGTTGACGGATGGCAAGATTGATGTTAGGAAGACGCAGCCGATTGCGCGGTGTGGGTATTATGAGTATGCGGTTGTGAGGGAGGTGTTTGAGATGAGGATCCCCGGGGAAGATAAGGCGATTATGGCGGGATTGGAAGGGAGTGTGAGGGAGAATAGGAAGTTGGGTGATGGGGAGTAGGTAGAAGTGGAATGCAGAAAAGATTGTGTGGGTTATGCATGTGTTTGAGTGATTCTTGTTTTTTGTTGTTGAGCAATAGATACGGGTTGTCATGAAGGGTCATCAGATTAGTATATTCTCATGTATACACCTGCGTAATTCATTCTATTGATTGCATAGCAATTTCCTGTAGAACCCCGGCAATGTCTAGTAAACATAACGGAAGTTTGGATTCTCTCTATCCGTCAAATCCTCGAAGCCATGGGCATTGTTGATTTCCGTGCCAAACTCACGGTCCTTCTTTTTGTTGCGGAGCGTGAGATTGAACCGCAAAAAGATAATGACACAGACTAGTGCAGAGTAGCACCCAAGATGGATGGCCAATGTCTTAAGGTAGCGAGGGTCGTTGTCGAAGAAGACCTTGGGACCAATAGCGTTGCCGGCGCACCAGGCAAAGAAGTTCATGGTGATGCAGACGGACTTCTTGGTCTGTCCTCCTACGTTACGTGTCAGCATGGACATGCCGAGACCCTGGGCTGCCCAGAAGGTAAAGACGATCCAATAGCTGATGAGCAGACCGGCTCGGGTTGCGCTGTTGGTATTCTTAACAGTCATGATGACAATAGTACCCGTGAAGGCTGGGATCAAATATATGGCCATGGTCACAAGGTTCTGCTTTGTCTTCTTGACGATGTAGACCGAGCTCATGAGCGTGAAGATGATAATGGCGCCGAGAACCATAGCCAGAAGCTGAGTCTGAAGAATACTGAATCCGAGTCCTTGGACAATGATATTGTAAAACGCACCAAGTCCAGAAGTAGGAAGCGTAGTGAATATCTGGATACCCATGTAGCAGTAGGTCTGGGGGTCGAGAAGCGCTTCCTTGAACTGGTACGCGCGGAATTTCTTGTTTTGAAGACCAGTCTGGTTGGAGCGTACGCGCTCGACCATCAACTTCTTGTCTTCTTCCGACCAGCACTTTGCGCGCATAGGGCTGTCGGGAAGTCTCCAAATAACGAACAATCCCCACAAAAAGGAGAAGCAGCCGTAGGTGATGAAGATGGCCTGCCATGACCGAAGTGATGCGGTTCCCGGGTGACTCTTGAAGCTTGGATGTCTGATTTGTGAAAAGCAGTAGGCCAAGAGCCCACCGACAATCTGCTGCATACCGTCTGAGGCAGTAAATTAGCAGATAGCAACAAAATTTTAATGCGTCCTGACTTACTCATCATGTACCAATAAGTCACAATCGAAGCTTGCTCCTCTCGCTTGTACCACTGCGAGGTCATGATGAGAAACGCAGGCTGGCAGACTGCCTCAAAAATACCAAGCAGAGTTCGAACAGAGACAAGAGCTGGAAAGCTAAAGCAGAGGGCATGACATGCAAGCACGACGCTCCATGCAAGAATGTTCAAGCCGAGGTATTTGGCGACTGGCACTCTTTGCAGGATCCAATTGGTGGGGTACTCAACAACGAGTACAGCGAGGTAGATACAAGTGGTAAGCCATCCAAACTATCATGTGTCAATTTTGGGTCTTGCAGACTTCTGTATGCTTTGGAACTCACTGTCTGGTTTGAATGAAGAACTGGAATATCGTCGCGGATACCCATGATGGAAGTCATGGACATGGTGCCTTTATCGAGAGACTTGTTGAATTAGGAAGAGATACGTTGATTTATTGATGATAGTTACCTGCAAAAAATAGGTGAAGACCATGACAGGGAGCACACGCCTGTCGATCAATTTTTTCAATCGCTTGTTCTCCTCTTCCGAGATGTATATTTCAGTCCCGCTGGCATACTGCGCGACCTCTCGGTCGATACGTTCGTAGTTGACATGTTCACCCTTCTTGTCGCCAACCGACAGCACACGCTCAACCTCGTTGACGTCTTTATCGTCCTTATCGTCGAGATGACCATCAGTGGCAGGCAAGCCCTGCACCTTGTCGGCGCTGTCTCTGGCAGCGGCCATACTGAAAGCCTTTCGGGGATGGGCAATCAAAGAAAATGGGGATGAAAGCTAAAAGGCCCCAACACTTGCTGTGAGGTGCTGAGTTGGAGGGCCACTCGAGATGATATTTCTGCCCGAATCATATGTCTGGTACGTCCGAGCGTACCCCAGTCTACCCCGTACCCCGGCGGGCTCCTCCGCAAATCACATACGATGAGGGCATGTCCCTCGCGGCAGGCCTGTATTGACGATTGAACACAGTCACCTCATCGGTTGCCCCGCCCCAACGTAGCAAAGGATCTTCACAAACGTGGTGCTGCTAGCCCGGCCAAATGAGCGCCATTGCTACAACCTCAGTTGTTCTTTGTTAAGGTCAACAACCCCACGGGCATGGTATCCACACAATTTGCGTAGTGGCCTACAATGCGGAGAGACGAGCATGTAGGATTAAGCACTGTGAAGAAAGCCACCACTTGGCATGTCTCCCAGAAGAGGATTGTCTCGGCGTGCATGATGCCGAAGATGCGAGTGGTAGGCCACCAGCTGCCTGATGGCTGGTGGAAATACTCCTTCGCGCTGGAGCTGGTGGCGGCTGGCTTCCCCAGCTTGGATGCGAGTCGGTCAGCAAGGGCTATTCAAACGGCGGCCCTGTTTCCTAGACGGTTCATTGCTGATCTTGGCCGCCTGCGCGATAGCCTCCCGCGGAGTCGGCGTAATGATCGACGAGGGTCGGCGCAATACATGGCGAATACGGAAGACATCTTCGTGTGGCCTTTCAGCAAACAATGACGAGTCTTTTGGTGTTGATTCAGATGCATGGATGACCCGCGGCTTGCCAGGGACCAAGAAGCTGGTGCAAAATCCACGTGTGCCAAGCTTGTGCCGATGCAGAAATGAGCAAGTTCGGTGCAGATAGGCACGAGAATCTGGCCACGATTTACACCAAGCCTTCGAGGTATGCAGTGGGAAACTCTGAGTTTCCCCGGTCTATACCCCCACTCTATAGGGCTTGGTTGACATGTGTGACCTACGGAAGCGATCTAATACCCGCCCGCTGGACTACGCGTATTGATAACTTGTCGCGCCTCCGCTTCTTGCCTTCTTCTTGTGCACTGCGTGAGAGTAATTTGGATTCTACTGCTCAACATTTAGTTTCCACTACCCAAGAGCGCCCATTCTAAATCCATACAACATCTCAGAATCCACATCCGCCATGTCGACACTCACAGTGCATGGCCTAACAAAAGGCCAGATAGATGAGAAGATCCTTCTCCTAACTCACAACCTAATCAACATTCACGACACAACCGGCGAGTTCCTACTCAAACTCGACGATGGACGCATAATCGATACCAAGGGTTGGGACGGCTGGGAATGGACTCATGGAATCGGACTGTATGGACTATGGCACTACTACACGCTGACAGGCAGCACGGCGACGCTCGACATCATAAAAGGCTGGTTTGACAAGCAACTCGCGAAGGGCACAACCAAGAACATCAACACAATGAGCCCATTCCTCTCATTGGCGTACCTGTACGAAGAGACGGGCAATAAGACATTTGTTCCATGGCTGGACACCTGGGCTGAGTGGGTCATGCACGGGTTGCCCCGCACCAAGTTTGGCGGTTTCCAACACGAGACGTACAACTCGTTCAACAAGGATGAGCTCTGGGATGACACGCTGATGATGAGCGCGCTACCGTTGGCAAAGATTGGCCTGACCCTGAACCGCCCAGAGTACGTAGAAGAGGCGAAGCGCCAGTTCATCCTGCACTGCCAGTACCTATGCGACACAAGCACTGGCTTGTTCTACCACGGCTGGAAGTGGGAAGACAAGGGTGGACTGGAAGTCGGACATAACTTTGGAAAGGCACGATGGGCACGCGGAAACTCGTGGCTCACAATTGCTATCCCGGATTTCATCGAACTTCTGGATCTCAAGGAGAGTGATCCGCTACGGCAGTTCCTTGTTGGAATTCTTGAGTCACAATGCCGGGCGCTTGTCAAGTGTCAAGCAGAGAGTGGCATGTGGCGCACCCTGCTCGACATTCCCATTTCTGAGGGCAGTTATGAAGAATCATCAGCCACGGCGGGTTTTGCGTACGGTATGCTCAAGGCGTGCCGGAAGCGATACATTAGTGGAGAAGTATTCCTGGAGAGTGCAGTGAAAGCGGTCAAGGCGGTCATTGGCAAGATCAATGCAGAGGGTGAGCTGACGGAGACGAGCTTTGGCACCGCCATGGGACATGATTTACAACATTACAAGGACATTAAGATTACCAGCATGCCGTATGGACAAGCCATGGCCATTATGGCACTTGGAGAGTTCATGAGGACCTTTATCTAACGAATCCATCATGCTAAGACACAGTTCATGATGCGTATCTGCAATGTACCAGTATCCGTGAGGGCCATAACTTCAGTGTGTATGTAGTATGTAGTATGTATATGGGCCTAGTTCGAGTCGTTGTGCAAGGGGTATAAGTCTCGGCGGGGTCGCGTACGTGTAGGTTGGGGTGTTGGAGGATGGATGCGGAGTTGCTGCTCTATTTCAGGCATGCGAAGAAGCTATAATTACTCGTAAGTCTCGTCGCCAACGGACCGAATGTGTAGCACAGCGTGGAGAAAGCGATGGTGGTGGAATTCGGTGGACGCGTCTCGACAGGGCGGGGAAGTCGTGTTTGGCGGTGAGGCTCGATTGCAGGCGCAGACGCGCGCTGATTGGCCAGGCGACAACCTTCTCTGCCTTTCTGCCATGCTGTCTAGAAGATTCTCGAGCTCCACCAAAGGCTATATGAGCCCCAAACATGAGCCTCCTCTGCGTTTTTCTTCATTGAATTGCTCTCTTTCTCTCTTACCACATAGACACTGCAGTCTTGCAATTTGCTCTTTTTCACGCCCAATAGAAGAGCCTAATACTCCAATTACCCCGCTCATACTGTTTGTCTTCCCCGCATCAGCCGCACATCTAGTCTACTCTTTCCGCCACTTGCTGCAAAAAACACCATCTGACTCTACTGTTTGCAGCTCCGAACACTTCACACACCCGTCACCATGTCTGGGGAGACTTTCGAGTTCCAGGCTGAGATCTCTCAGCTGCTCGGTCTCATCATCAACACCGTCTACTCGAACAAGGAGATCTTCCTGCGAGAACTCATCTCCAACGCCTCCGATGCCCTTGACAAGATCCGATATGAGGCCCTCTCAGACCCAAGCAAGCTTGACAGCGGCAAGGACCTTCGCATCGACATTATCCCCAACAAGGAGGCTAAGACCCTCACCATCCAAGATAGCGGTATTGGCATGACCAAGGCCGACCTCATCAACAACCTGGGTACGATTGCCCGCTCAGGCACAAAGCAGTTCATGGAGGCCCTGTCAGCCGGTGCCGACATTTCCATGATTGGTCAATTCGGTGTTGGTTTCTACTCCGCATACCTCGTCGCTGACCGCGTCACCGTCGTATCAAAGAACAACGATGATGAGCAGTACATCTGGGAGTCAAGTGCCGGTGGTACCTTCAAGATCACCGAGGACACTGAGGGCGAGCAGATTGGCCGTGGTACCAAGATCATCCTCCACCTCAAGGATGAGCAGATGGACTACCTTAACGAGAGCAAGATCAAGGAGGTCGTCAAGAAGCACTCCGAGTTCATCTCATACCCCATCTACCTTCACGTCCTGAAGGAGACCGAGAAGGAGGTTGAGGATGACGAGGCCACCGAGGAGAAGGTCGAGGAGGGTGATGAGAAGAAGCCCAAGGTTGAGGAGGTCGACGAGGAGGAAGAGAAGAAGGAGAAGAAGACCAAGAAGGTCAAGGAGTCCAAGATCGAGGAGGAGGAGCTCAACAAGACCAAGCCCATTTGGACCCGCAACCCACAAGACATCACCACTGAGGAGTATGCCTCATTCTACAAGTCGCTATCCAACGACTGGGAAGACCACCTTGCCGTCAAGCACTTCTCCGTTGAGGGTCAGCTCGAGTTCCGTGCCATCCTCTTCGTTCCCAAGCGCGCACCTTTCGACCTGTTCGAGACCAAGAAGACCAAGAACAACATCAAGCTCTACGTCCGCCGTGTCTTCATCACCGACGATGCTACTGACCTGATCCCTGAGTGGCTCAGCTTCGTCAAGGGTGTCGTCGACTCTGAGGACCTGCCCCTCAACCTGTCTCGTGAGACCCTCCAGCAGAACAAGATCATGAAGGTCATCCGCAAGAACATTGTCAAGAAGACCCTCGAGCTCTTCAACGAGATTGCCGAGGACCGCGAGCAGTTTGACAAGTTCTACTCTGCCTTTGGCAAGAACATCAAGCTTGGTATCCACGAGGACTCCCAGAACCGTGCCGCCCTCGCCAAGCTCCTTCGCTTCAACTCCACCAAGTCTGGTGAGGAGCAGACTTCTCTCACTGACTACGTCACCCGCATGCCCGAGCACCAGAAGCAGATGTACTACATCACTGGTGAGTCGCTCAAGGCTGTCCAGAAGTCGCCCTTCCTCGACACTCTCAAGGAGAAGGGCTTCGAGGTTCTCTTCCTCGTTGACCCCATTGACGAGTACGCCATGACTCAGCTCAAGGAGTTTGACGGCAAGAAGCTTGTCGACATCACCAAGGACTTTGAGCTTGAGGAGTCCGAGGAGGAGAAGAAGGCCCGTGAGGCTGAGGAGAAGGAGTACGAGGGTCTGGCTAAGAGCCTCAAGAACGTCCTCGGCGACAGGGTCGAGAAGGTTGTTGTCTCCCACAAGCTCGTCGGCTCACCATGTGCCATCCGTACCGGCCAGTTCGGTTGGTCAGCCAACATGGAGCGTATCATGAAGGCCCAGGCTCTCCGTGACACCTCTATGAGCTCTTACATGTCTTCCAAGAAGACCTTTGAGATCTCACCCAAGTCCGCCATCATCAAGGAGCTCAAGCGCAAGGTTGAGGCCGACGGTGAGGACGACCGCACTGTCAAGTCCATCACCCTCCTTCTCTTCGAGACCTCTCTCCTTGTCTCTGGCTTCACCATTGACGAGCCTGTTCAGTACGCTGAGCGCATTCACAAGCTCGTCTCCCTTGGTCTGAACGTCGACGAGGAGGTTGAAACCGAGCAGGAGAAGGGTGAGGCCTCAACCGAGGCGCCCGCCGCCGCTGGCGAGAGCGCCATGGAGGAGGTCGACTAAGCGTGTCGCCTGTGTCGCCTGGTTTCAAAAAGTTTGGTCGGCGCTTTGATATCCCTTTCATGTGTCATGGCTTTCCTTTTCTTTCTACATCTTTTGCATGAGGACGGAGCTTAATCTTCGATGGAGTCTTAGAGTGGTGGACCTTTATGCATCACGAGTAAACGGATATCCCGAACTGTTTCTTCGGTAGATTTGTCCATAGGTAGTTACTTTTGACGAATGATGAAATGTTCAAAAAGCAAAGTGTTCTGTGCGAAGATGTGAGTGATGTGACGCAAGTGGCCTTTGGGTTAGGTGTGGGTTGAGGCGAGTGGCTGCTCTAGGACTACTGGAGGTTGCAGTACTATTCTGCTTGGCCAAGACGGCGTTCTTTGGCTTTGCATGTGTTGTGCGATATGGTCGTACTATGGTGTTGCAATCTAATCGGAGAGGGCAAGGGCAAGGGTCCAAACGGGCTGGGCTCCGCCACGATGATCGTCCCGTGTCCGCGAAAACAGGATCTCTCCGCAGCCTGGGCCACATTGGCATCTCTGTAACGACAGGGATGAGGAGAAGGCATGACGTAGGAGGTGGCACAACCGCAGTATCTAGAAACATAATTTAGATCCAGCTCTAAAGTAGGCAAGTTTACAGCAGAATCCGTGGCATTTTGAATGCAATCATTTTTTTGAATCATCCAAAAGTCCATCAAAGCGCATCATGTCCGCCTTGGATCAAGTCAAGCAGCAGAATGCAGCGCTCCAATGTAAGCTGACGAGCATGATACAAGTATGCTGAGATGCTGAGAATGAGGGTTACAGCGAGTGTGGGGAGCATCTCCAAAGCTGCTGGACCGACTGCGAAGAAGTCCACGACAGCGACACCAGTGAAGCCAGCAATCAAAGCCGGCCCTGTTAAGAAGGCATCAGCGGTGACTACAGACACAACGAGCCCAGCTGCTACGCCTGTAAAGAGGGTTCCCAGAAAGCTCAATGCAGCTGGCACGCCTACGTCTAATGTGACAAGGACAACGACTACACCTGTGGCTGCAAAGAAACTTGACAGCACTCCAGCGGTGAAAAAGACACCAGTCACAGCAGGCAAAACAAATGTCAGCTCGGTTTCCAAGCCCGCCCGCACACGCACACCTCTTGGTACTATCAAGCCCCTGCCCGCCAGGCAGAAGTCAGCTGCAGAAACGCCCGTATCCAAGCCCACAAGCACCGTCAAAAAGACGACGACGACAACAACAACAACAAGCACACCCGTCAAAAGCACTTCTACTCCCGCAAAAGCCACGTCGGTCAAGGCTCCTGGCAGCACAGGAAACAAGACGGCAACCGTGAAAAAGACACCGGTCAAGGTGAACCCGGACGGTACCTACCCAACCCCCCTCTCCATAATTCAAGCTTATCCGCCGCCAGGCCACCAACAACGCGCGCCAGGCGCCGTCGGCAAAGCCATCAACACAGCCACGGGCACGCTCAATAAAACCGTCGGCACAACGACCGGCACGCTAAACACTATCACGGATTCCGCAACCGCAGGCGTCAACAGAACCGTCGATGGCGTCACGGGGGTTGCGGGCAAAGGGTTGGATAAGCTACCGGCGGGCGTGGGCAAGCCTGTGAAGCATGTGACGGATGGTGTTGGCAAGACGGCGACGGGCGCGGTGGATAATGCGTATTACACTGTTGGCAGTGCGACCAAGGGGGTTCAGGGGACTGTGAGTAAGACGACGGGGGCGTTGGGGAGAGGGGATGTTAAAGGGACTGTTGCGGGGGCTACAAGTGGTGTTGGTATGTTTGTTGCTTTTTCTTTTTCTTTCTTTTTCCTTTCTCCTTCCCTTTACTTACCCCCCCCCTTCTTCGTTCACATCTCTTCATTTTTTCTTGTTTGGATAATTGGCTGATACGGAATTTGCTAGGCAATACTGTCACGGGCGTGGGCAAAGGACTCGGGAATACGGTTGGTGATGGGCTTGCTGGGCTGGGAAGCACAGTTGGAGGGCCTGTTGGTGGGGTGGTGGGGAATGTAGGTAAGGGAGCTAATAATGCTGTCAGCGGCATCACGGGTGGTCTGGGTGATGGCGTAAGCAAGCTTGGAAAGGGGGATGTGATTGGCGGTGTTGGGAGCACGCTTGGGGGTGTAGGGAGGGGTGTGGGCGGACTGCTGGGTGGTATCACGGGGTATGGGGAGGGGCGGGAGGAACAATGAAGGCGCAAGGTGGAGGCATGGTTGTCTGGTGTTTACAACTACACGACGGTGGCGGAAGCAGTCGGGGGGGAGGCGGAAGGAGAGGGTGATATGTGCAGTGGGCCGCTGGAAGGCTCTCGGCCCCGAGATTGCCTCCATGAGCGAGTCGGCGCCGAAAGGGCAGGGCCACAGGACACAGAGCAGACTGGACATTGCGGGTTAAGGGACACAGTATGATTTGTTTTATTACGGGTTCGCGTTTATCGTTTGGGCTAACTATGTGTTGCTTTATGCGGGAGGGTTTTTTTTGGGTTCAGCTAGCTCAGTTAGTCGGGTTGATTCAGTGGCTTTCCATACAAGCGACGGGTTAATTCCTATCGACCGTTGAAACATTGCAGGGTCACGGCCTGAAGTCTTGCATGATAGCGCCACGGGAGATGTCCCCTCGCTATTGCCGTCGGACAAGCATAGGGCCGGTCGCTCAATGTCGAGGTTTATTTCCTCGAAGCGCCGTTGTGCTTGCTGCGTTGATCGTCACTGTCTGGGCGATGACAGTACGATTTTAGCCAAGTTGTGGTATAATGGCATTCGCGACTCGCATCTCGTAATATGCCGCAAGCATGACGCGTTCAATGGACGTGTCTACTTGGATTGTAATGATGATCAGACTCGATCTGCGTAAGTACGACGGATACACTGGCGCTCATATGCACAGTGGGGTGGTTCATGGTGGGCTCGTATATGGGACATACGCCGCCGAGAAGTTCATAGGCTGCGCTGCGACCAGCGTTGTCGACGGCCATGTTCAGGCCCCCCTCTCGCCCAGGCTTGATGTGCCTTGACATGCGCCGCCGAAGCTTATTTGGACGGGCCCAATGACACATCGAGGCTTGTTCTGGGGGGTGGCTGACCTATACGGTTGCTGCGGGCATGTCCCTGCGGCTGCGCGACTTTGGGAGTCGTCTCCTTTTGTCCCTCAGACACCCACGACACCATCGACGGAAATGACGGCATCCTTGGAACAGTCTACACGCTACATGTCCGCGGGAACACTGCTGCTTTGGGGACAATCATCCATGGGCTACCCGCAATGATTGTAAGTTTTTGCGCCAGTCCTGTGGCTTATCCCAGCCGCGGATCCCGGCGTGGTCAGCACAAACGCGTGACAGGGGGGGTTGCCTGTACGAAACAACACAGTACAGCGCCATTCGCACAGTGGCTGGAGCGGACCCGGCCCTCCGTACAAGGTCCCGAAAGCCGGGTGGCTGTGCCACGAAGGGCATTTGCTCGCGGCGGCCTTGTAAATTCACGCACCCAACCAAACTACTGTGTACCGGCGCCCTAGCCACACGCTCACTGGCCCTGTCCGCTTTCATCTCACCATGCTGCCTGATAAAGCATCGTGACCCCCATCCGCTTGCCTGTGGCTTGACTTACCGACCAACCCCGCTCACTCAGGCACCTGGTCGAGACATTTCCTTTTTGTCATTAAACACTCAGTGCGTCAGTCCAACAGAAAGAGATACATATATACAACCGCAACGGGAGCCACTAACCAGGCTCAAGACACTCTCGGCCCGTCCCTATCACCAGTGTACCACGCGAAACAAAAAACCCCCCAGCCAGCCTTTAGTATTACAACCGTGACGTTTCTTTCCAACAACACTCACTTTCAACTCAACCCTATTCATTCCTTTCACCTTTCCACTCGGCCACCAAACAAAGGGGGAAAAAGAAGAAAAAGAGGGATTACACTATCAACTCGTTCCAACCCTACTCTCATCCACCATGTTCGGCCTAATCACCACCCTCACCCTCCTCCTCACCACCGCCCTCGCCGCTCCCACAACCACCACCACCACACACCACACCTCAGACCTCCAATGCCGCTGCCTCACCTTCTCCACCAGCGCCGCACCCACGCACTGCCCCTACCAAGAACTCCTCACCCTCGACTGGGACGCCGCCTTCTCCCTCGCCACGGCAAATGACCTCAAGATCCAGTTCGCCAGCGACACCACCATTGCCGAGATCCTCGCCATCCCCACACCCGTGGACTCGGCCATTCTGGATGCCATCCAGCAGGGCAAGACGCTCCCGCTGGACCCGGCCCAGCAGGTGCGCAGTGAGAACCGCATGATTTGCGGGTTTGAAGACGATGTCGACAGGGTGGAGCGGTGCGACAATGGCATGAGTGTAGAGGTGCATTATGTAGGCACCGTCGTGGGACTGTTTATGCTTTTCTTTGTGTGTTATCTTGTTGCCGAGTATCTCTGGACTGTGTAAGTCTTATCCCCCCCTTCCCCCCTTTTTTTGTAACTCCGAAGTGGATGGGAACTAACATTGGTTGTAAAAAAAACAGATGCTTTGCGAGGACACGGGGCATCCGACTCGAGGGAGAAGAGAGGGCGTTGACGGTCGAGTGTGATGAATTGATGGCAGACCAGAGGTGAAGAGAGAGAGGGGGAGACTTGGATGGGACAGATGGAGAGAAGACTTTCGAAAGAAAAAAAAAGAAGATACGACGATATGACTTTCAACACACTACACGCACCAGCTCTTGGTCTCCGGTTCGGTATGGAACACGGCCACCCACACGTCCGCCACACAGCTCTTTAACGTCACGCGGGACACTATCGACTCGTCTTCCCGTATACTTTCCGGGATATCGGGCGTCCGGTCGTCCTGCATACTACCACCGACCTTTTCTTTACTAGACCGCGGGGGAGGCAAGGGACAAACCATTTCTATGCACCGGTGGCAAAACAGGAATACAGTTAGGATTGGGATTGGGTACGGGAATACTACAAGGCATAATACTAGCCTGGCCGGGGGGTTGCGAATGAGATTTCATCATGTATGATAAAAAGTGAGAAATACTACATAGAAGAAAAAGGTATCGACGTGTGTGTATGTGTGTGTGTAAGTGACACATGATCAGATTCGATTTGGATATACAGAGAGAGAGATATGCATGGGAAACAATGTCGCTCAAGACACAAAGGATGCAAGACGAGAAGAAACAACATCAAGAACCCAGATATGCACAATCTGCAGGGAGGAGAAAGGACCTTTTTTTTCCTTTCTCAACTCCGAAAAACATAACGAAATAGCGCGAGGGGGACAAGTAAAAAAAAAAAAATAAGAGTAGACACGACCATATCAAGAGAAAGATGCAACGACTAAAAGATGATGTATAAACAAGTCGTTACCAAAACGGCACAGTGGAGAAGAACAATGCTTAGGTAACAAGAAGAAGGCCAACAAAAAAAGAAGTAGTCCATATCTACTATACTCGTCCCGAATCTAAGCGCTCAAAAAGAAGAGGAGAAAGAAAGAAAGAGTCAATCCCTCGGGAGACCCTTTTTTAACGAAGAGAAATCAGTGGGACCAGCGACCAACAAGCTCCCCTCTCATGTGTAAAATGTACGTGTCAAGTTAACATGTACAAATCCACCTAAGAAGAAAGACAGGTAAAGTGTGCCGGCTATGTTGGCCAGGCGGCGCTGGTCCTCACACATGTACAACGAAAGTTATGTGCAAAAAAAAAGGTGGTTCCAAACCAAAAAGTGCCTTGTATCTAGGCAGAAAGTACGTATGTATCCTCCTCATCTGCTGCGTGGCGAATTTGGAAAGGCTGGAAGCCGTTGTTCTTGCCCTTGTGGGCATGAACAGCCAATCCCATCTCACGCATGCGCTCTGCACCACGACCGGGGGCAGGACGCTTCTCCTTTGTGCCCTTGCGATGTTGCTTTCTGTACAGCTTCTCCTTGCGGCGCTGCTTCTTCTTCTCAAGCCCGACCTTGATGTCAATGGCTCGGCGCACAGGCATGTCAGCGGCATCATCATCTTCTTCCTCAAGATCAAACGGATTCCTCATGGTGATGGACGTGCGTGGGACAGAGGCAGAGACGGTAGGCACGGGTCTCTCGGCAATGCCAGCAAAGCGTATCGACATGTCGCTACGCTGGCGAGCAGCCAAGGGGTTGACAGAGCCGCGGCGAGTGGGTGGTGGCGATCGAAGACGCATGGGAGGTGGAGGAGAGTGAAGCCGCTTAGGAGAATTGCCAAACAGCTTGCGTGGCGGCGGTGAGCGATGCACACCACGCTTGGCGGGCGGCGGTGACCGCAGGCGCCTTGGTGAAGGTAGGGGCGAGCGCTTCTTGCTCATGTCTTTGCGGCGACCGCGCAAGTCGGCATCCGGATCCATGCGACCGTGCATCATCAAATGGTCGGTCTCTGAGGCTAGGTTCTCGCATTCGGACACCTCATCCTCTTCGTCATCAGGAAGCTCGGGATCCGATGTGGGGAAGGTAGGATCAATGTCTTGTGGAGTAGGCTTGTGCTTGGCAGCACGTCGGCGTTCTAGTGTCGACATGTATGCCTCCTCTGCCGGCCTATCTTCATCAAGGGTACCACAAACAAAGTCGGTGCTGTCAGGCAATTCGGGGCTTGGAACACGGATGTTGACCGGCCTGGACTTCTTCCGCTTTGGTGGTTTGTCCATGATCTTGAGACCATCTCGGCTTTCGAGAGATCCAATTGACGACTCAGACACGGTGCGGGTAGGTTTTAGGCGAAGCTGTTCCAGGTGCTCCACTGATGTCGCAGCGGTTGATGCTCCAGGGGCCCACCAGTTGTAGTCGGAACCTGCATCGCTTTCATCATCGGAGCCAGCGAATCCGTTCTCGTCATCTGTCCGGAAACCCTCGTCGGTGGTTTCGCTACGCGCATCACTGTCATCGTGATCATCATCATCATCGTCGTCGTCGTCCATTTCGATAATGTCGTCGTCGTCGTCTTCCTCTTCTTCTTCGTCTTCCTCCTCCTCGATCGCCTCCTCTTCTGCAACTTCCTCGCCTAGTTTGCGTAGGTTGTTCTCAATTTTGAGTGTGTCTTGGACTGTTAGTCTGCTTCGGTGGCAAGTGACTTCTTGAGTCCACTCCTCAACCTCCTCCTCCGAGCTAGCAAACTCGTGGAAGCGGTATGCCTCACAACGAGCTAGATCTGAGTTGGCACTCAAGCGGCGGGTCCGATCAACTGGGCGGGCTTTCCGAACACTAACAGGTGAATTGTTACGGACTGTCGAGTCAGAATCGCGATGGACTTTTTGGGTTGCTTTGGGAGACGAAAGGATCCGTTGTGGTGGTGGAGCTGGGCTGGCCATTCGACGGGGTTTGGCTGCGACAGGCTTTGGAAGCGCTTCTTCTGAAGGCTTGGATGGGCATGCAAACTTGATGGTGCTGACACGCTTTGGAGGCTCTTCCGAGGCAGGGACAGCGACAGCGGCAGGAGCGGGTTTCTCGGCAGCTTCTTCTGGCTTCTTTTTCTCCTCTTTGGCGCCACATGCAAACATGATGCGTCTCTTCCTTCCGAGAACTGCCTCAATGTTCTGCTCGGTATCTTGTGGGGGCACAACCTTGTGCACTGAAATGGTGTTGTCGCCATCGTGCGAGGCGATTGAGATTGGCAACTCCAATGGCTTGTTATTGAACATGGGCAACGTGCCATGAAAAGATGCCGCAGGGAGCGGGGGGCTGGGCGTGCAGGGTCGAGTTCCAGGGCTTGTGAAGCCTCCGTCACTTGTAAGATCAGTAGTACCGCTGTTGTTGCTCCATGTCGAGACACACGACATGCCGCGGACTGGACTCGTGTCGGACCGGCTGTCGACAGGGGAGCTTGTAGTAGATCCCGATTTGAGTGCCGAGGTAAGCAGCGATTCTTTGCGGTCGCAGACGGGCTTTGATTTTGTAAAGGATGCAGTCGTGGTGTTTTGAAGTACCAAGGGTGTAGGGCGCTGCGCGCGGGGTTCGGGCGGCTCATCAAGGTCGCCCATGGTCTCGTCCTCGGCAGTCATGAGGGGTGGCGATGCTGTAGCAGACATGATCTGTGGCGTGCTTACTCGCAGTGCGCCGTGTTTGCTTATGTGATCCTGGTCGTTGGCCATGAGGTTCTAAGACTGGCCAATGGTCTGTCAAAAGTCGTTTTGGGTTGTGGAAGCGGAAATAGGTCTGGTGATGTGGTGTGAAGGAGATGGCCGGGTGGTGGTGCGATGATTGATGAGCTTGTCAGGCTGGCAGTCGATGATCGAAATGTTGGAAGAAAAAATGGCTGAACCAATGCGTAGGATTCCGCCAGGCTCTACAGACGCGTGGTCGTGGTGGTAGTGGTAGTAGAGGGGGGTGTGTGTGTGTGTGCTAGCGGAGACTATAGTGGCAGGTTGGACGAAAGTGTGTGGGGGGGAGCGCCCCAAGGAGACAGTGTTATAATATCTCAAGCAACATGGTGGAGAAGAGTAAAGTTGAACCTGGGGGTTGGAACAATGGACGAGCTAGAAGACGTATCAGAACCAGGCAGTGTCAGGCAGTGTGGAGAGGGAAGGGGGTACCTGGTGACGAGGTCAAACCTAGGGCGACGACGTGTGGCGACGGGCCGTAGCTGGTGGAGGGGGCGGCCGACAGGCGGTTGCTAAGAGGAATGGGGCTTGGCGGATGGCGTGGACGAAGGTGGCAGAAGGCCGTCAGTCAGACGACTTATGCGCACTTGAGAGCTGCGACAGTAGCGGCGCGGGCGGGCGAGTCGGAGCGCAGTGAAGGGGGGTGGGAGGGGGAGAGAAAGGAATTTGATGTGCAATGGCGTCTCGGCACCAATTTGGGGTTGGCAGAGAGAAACAGTGGGTAGGGGACGCCAGTGCTCGGCTTGGCTGTGCCGCTCTGGCCTGGCAGGAATAAGTAGGGACTTTTTTGCGGTAGCGCAGCAATGGCTGGGACGCACGGCGCGCCTGCAATTTGATGCTTACAGCGGCCGTTGTGTGTGCAAGTGCGCGTACGTGCTGGCGAAGTCGAGAGGCAGGGCAAGACATGGGCAGAGCAGACGGCGCCGTCTCACGCTGTCCAGGGCAGCGCCGGGCGCGAAACGCAATTGCATTGCGCCAGTCAGTGTTTGGGCCGCCTGTGTCGGAAGACTTGACGTCGCTGTCAAAGCAGCACAAGCAGCAAGACGCTGAATTGGGGGCAGCATGGCCGTGTCGTCTACGCTACGCCAAACAGTGCATGTCTAGGCGTCGGCTGGAGAGCCAAATGCCTCACTCTGCACGCCGCGTCCTCGTATTGCATCTTGGGCTCTAGGGCAGATGCATACACAGACCCGGGTGAGTGGATGTAGCACATACAGCCAACGGACGCAGATACACGGACGCGGCCAGCGCAACCTCACCGCTGCCACTCACCGCTCCCTGGCAGGCCCATGGATGCGCCCTCAGAGCCCCTGGATTTGGGGGCCCATCATCTGACCCGCCCAGCGCGGCCGGCCTGGAGTGTCGCCAACCACGTCGAGTCGTCCAGCTGCGCCCTCGCACGCCGTGCATCAACGCGCATTGCCGTGTGGTGCAGGTGCAGGTGCAGGTGCAGGACGGTACAGCACAGCACACGCCCGGCCGTAGGGCTCGATGGAGTCCGGGGCAGCGTGGGGGGGAGGGTTTTGTTTGGCGCGCCCGTGTTTTCATCCTTGCCGCCGCTGCCAATTTTCACAAGCAAGCGCCCCAACCGGCTTGCGGGGACACTTGGCCTGCTGCTCTCAGCGCCCAACACCATGACCCGCCGTCCACGATGCATTCATCCGTCTGCGTCTGCGTCTGTCCGTCTGCGCCTCGACAGCACGCTTGGCCGGACATTTTCTTGTCTCTGCGTTACCAAGCCGTCCATGTGCGGCCATGTATGCCCTTGGTCAGTAATGTGCTTGGTGCTACTACTACCCCACGTACGAGCACACGCACATGGGGCGGTACTCGATGCATCCGCCTACAACCGCGGCTTCCTCGTTGCAGCCAGCGGCCCCGAGATAACGCGCTGCATTCATCCCAATGGCCTGGCAATCCACGACCAGCACCCCGGTGCTCCCCAGCCAGCATGACGTAAAGCCAAAGACAAAACATGAACCCCCGTCATGCTCATCATCACCATCACTCCATGTCTCTTGCTCACGCGTCATGTCTGCTTCAAAAATAAAAGCCTGCCTTCTGCTTCCACTCGTCAGCATGCATAGCCCCGCGTGCACAGCAAAAAGTGTGGAGTAGCTCGTCACCTATCCCGGTTCCACCAACCACACATGCTACGACCAAATGCCGTCTACAAGCGTCGCCATACCTCCCTGCTCGGCCGCACGCTATTTCCTTTGGCGACACGGATCAGAGTGCTCCTGACGCAGCTGCACCCATGGCCAGACGTGTGTCTGTGTGCAGAACAGAGCAGCAGCATCTTGTTGAGCAGGTAAACAGTGCAAACAAACAAACAAATACAGTTCATGAGATGCATGCCGCACAAAACAAGCAAGCCAGCCAGCCAAGCCAAGCACGTGCACGTTCCTTCCTAGCCACACGTCAACGCCACCATACGTAGAGCATGCGCGCGCACAGGCCCCTTTCGCTCATTGTCCAAACATCCATCTTGCCTCCTTACTCCCAAACCCCTTCGGCTTCTTCAGCTAACCATTAGCCTCCAGCACACGCTTGTATCCGCTCCTCCCACACAACTCGCCGGTCCGTACCAAAACAACATTCCCTCCCCCCTTATCTCACTTCCTCCTTCCCGCCCCCAAAAAGAACTGCCCAACTGCCCAGAACGAAAAAACAAACCATCTTCCTCCTTGGCAATATCTAACCTTTGCGCGCACAACCGTCCGCTCAAGTCCGCTCATTAAGATTCGGCAAAAGCCAAGTCAAGCCAAGCCTGACCCAAAACTATATGCTTTCTCTCTCTTTCTCCCATCCTTTTTATTTTGCTGTCCTTTTGCATCTAACATGGTTTGGTTTTGATGTATGGCGCCCCTCTCCCGGGACCTCCTGTTGATCTCTTTCTTTCAAAATATTGTCGGCAAGTCCCGGATACTACAACAACAACAACAACAACCACACGCAAATACAGACTTGCGCATTTTGGCTTCAACGGAAGACTTTTGCCAAGATGGATTTTCAACGCTACTAAATGTGCAATGACACACAAGCACACACGCATCCCATACCTGTCAAATTCCATTTCTGAATCCATACAAGTGTTTTACATACATTGAGTCCATGAAGAAGAATCTCCAAACATAGGGGTTATCCAAGTAAGAACAGCCATGATAATACGTAACTATCTATTTGCAGTACCATAACTACCCAAAAAAAAGATTAATAAGTTTTTCCTTGCTTTCAACTCTAGTTGCCTCCCCCTCCCTCCTACACTTATTGCCCATCCATTCATGCATCATCCCTTGTCAACCTCGTTTCAGATGTCAGGTTCAAACAAAATACGACCGATAAGTATACCGTACCAAACCCCCTCCCCCCCCCCAATCTACCCACAATCCTCTTCCTCCTCCCTTTACCCTCAACTCCTCGCCCCCCCCCCCTTCTCCCGCACACAGACCCCTATGGCCCCACGACCGCACTTCCCCGAGACCAGTAGTAAGAAAGATCGCCCAGCCAAAATCGTGCCTAGATCTCACCTCCTACATGCACTACTGACTTGCTTTCCCCACCTCATGTGCATGCCGTCCTCCTCCTTACCCCTAGCATTCCAGTTCCAACTCCCTCTCCCACTTCTCCCTCACAAACCGCACTGCGCGTGAAAATACCGCGTCGCGCTCACGCGCCTCATGCTCCGGCACAAAGGCATTGGGAAACTGCGTCCACCCATGCCTACAGCCCGGTGCGTGCCAAATCTCCAATCCGCCATTCTTGGCATTGGATGCATTCGAGCACCGTTCTTGGCCTTGGCCATCATCATCATCATCATCATCACCGCTGCCGCCCCCGCCCCCGCCCCCGCTCGTGGTCATGATGGTGGTGGTGGTGGTGGTAGTGGTGCCGTCCCAATCGCCTGCTCGGCCATCGCCAAAGCGTACAGGGCCCGTCCAGTTGCTACTGTTCATCTTGTCAACCCACACATCACTCTGCACCGCTAGCGAGTCCTTCTCCGGTAGCACAAGGAAAATAGCTGCGTTCTGCTGGATATGGTCTGGGTCGTTGAGACCGGGGCTAGCGCGAGGATGCGCCCGGAGTTTCTTGGGCAGGTACGTTGGTCCCAAGATAGAGAAGAGGCCTGGCTGTCTTGGCTTCTCAACGTGGTGGTCGTCTGGTTTGAGCGCGCTGGGCATGGGCTTCCTCGGGCGTTCGTGGGGCAGCAGCCGTGCGTCGAGAGATGGGTAGAAGAGTAGTAGTGGGACCAGTCGCGGTTGCACTTGGGGCGGTGGGAGGAGCGACGGCCACGACTGAAATGGATCGTCTAGAATTGTTGCTCTGCGGTTTGCCGGGAGGGTTGGCGACATGCAATCGCCATCCGCAGGCCCCAGTGTTTGTGATTCCATCATGCCCATCTGCGGACAGGGCGGAATCGATATCGCCATGTTGAGCGCAATGTTGCCTCCGGCTGAGAAACCGGATATCGCCAGATGCGTCGGATCAAGCACAATATCCGTGACATGCTCAATGTGTGGAAGAACCGGCTCTTTTTTGTTCTTTCCCGCCAGCACATTCGTACGTACTATGGAGTAGTATCTCTGTACCTCTTGCCGTAGGATCTTGCCTGCCTCTGATGTCCCGCTCGTATCCAGAATCGCAGATAACACATCCTCTGCATCGTGAATTGCTGCAGGAAACTGGTGGAACGGTCCGATGCGATACGACACGCTCAGCACTACGGCCCCAAGCTCACGCGACATCATCGATGCATATGGTGCCTGTTCCAGCGGCGACCCCATGATGAAGCCGCCTCCATGTACTACAACGCGCGCCTAGAGTCAGCATACTTGCCACAAGCATCCTGGGGCATACCGGTCCTACACACAGTCCAAAACAACCGGGACATGCCATTCGCCCGTCTCTTTCCGCTGCTGCTCACTCTC